ATATATATATATATATATATATATATATATATACATATACCTCTGCAATGCTATTCAAAAGCTCTTTCTTCTGGCGTAATCAGGAGGAGACCTGGGAGAGTTTGCTTTGGCCATAACGGCCTGCGGATCGAACCCTAATGATGCACAAATAGTGCAAATACTGAACGCTTACCTCGCCTCTATGCCGGGGTCTAGGAAGTTCTATCACTGCACTGACGACGATGCTCTTGAACACATCGAGTCATACTTAGGACTGGTGAGCTGCTGTTCCTGCTGTTCCTCCTGCAACTGCCGCTGCAGCTGCTGCTCGTGCTGCTGTTTCTGCAACTTCCGCTGCAGCAGCATCAGCAGCTACTGCTGCTGCTGCTGCTGCTTCTGCACCAGCTGTTGCTCCTGCTGTTGCCGCTGCTGCTGCTGCTCCAACTGCTGCTGGAACTGCTGCTGCTGCTTCTCCTGCTCCTGCACCAACTGCTGCTGCTCCTGCTGCTGCAGCTACTGCTGCTTCTAGTGCTGTTGCGTCTGTACACTAAAGCAATTCAAGTACAACGCAGGAAGGAGTCGATATGTTTTCGCCTGACCCCAACACCCAAGCAGAAATCTTAAAGGCCCTTGAACAACCACGAAATGTACGCAGAGCTTTCTTCACAAATATTTACTTCTTCTTTCCTCTTTTTCTTAATAAACAAATAAATAAATAAATAAATAAAGCTAACAAAAGGAAATAAAATAAAAAACGAAAGAAACAAAAGGCAAACAAACAAACAAACATATAAATAAAGAAACACGACAAATAAATAAATAAATAAATAAAATAAATAAATAAATAAATAAATATTTTATATTTTATGCGATCTCTTCAGGTTGGCGATATGCATTTCAGGAGTATGATGAAAAACCCAGGATGGTAAGAGAAGGAAAACCCTCCTCTGTCTCTGTCTTTTTATCTTTACTCGTCTTCTTATATTTATTTATGTTATATTAATGCCTTTTTATATCTTTATTTTAGGGATTAGGGCTTAGGGTTTCTGTTTTGTTATATTCGTCTTTGCTTTGTTATTTTTGTTCATGTCTTTTTACATTTATGTCGATTTATAGTTATGTCTTTTTATATTTATTTCTGTCTTTTTATATTTATTTCCTTTTATGTTTATTCTTGTCTTTTCATATCTATTTCTTTTTTTATATTTATGCTTTGTTATATTTATGCCTTGTTATATTTTTTGTTTTTTGTGTATTTTTTCTCTTCGCTTTTTCCTCTGAGTATTTTTGTTTTGTTATATTTTCGTTTTATTATATTAATTTGTTTAGCCGTTTTATACATTAATCTGTTTGTTTAGGTATCATGCAGAGCGCGGTGAGTGTAGAAAGAAGAAAGGTAAATATTATAATTCAAAATATATTTTCTTCTTTTTGTGTTACGAGAGTTGTTGTACGTTTTTTCAGGTGTCTGTACGCCTCAATTCAGAGCAAAATGTTTGCTGCAGGCCTCGCAACTGCAATTATTAAATCTTTTTTCACTGTCTTCTGGGACCCCACAAACATAAACCAGAAGAGGCTGCAGCTGGAGGTGTTGGCTGGGAGACGATCCCCGCAGGCTTTTATCGTGGGTTTCTGTATGAATAACTTTAAGTATATTTAATGTACATATTAAATATACAAAATATAATATATATATGTATATTATATATATTTCTAATTTATCAAATATCGATATATGCAATATATAGCCTACACTATATATGTAATATTATATATTATATGCATTATTTATGTTGTATGTATACTTCTATTATATAAAATATGTATATTATAGATTATCATAATATATAAATTATATATATTATATAGATAATATGTATATATTGTATATTATATAAACATCAGGAGGTTGCAACAACACAAGACTGCGAAGCTGCAGGCATCGCTCCTCTATTAAAGGCAAAGGACAGAAGAGCGAGGGCTTTAATTAATCACACAAATGCAATAAACAACAGAAGAAAAGAAATATCAACGTTTTTCTCTTCACAAGGATTCTGCTCCCTCTCTGCTGAAGAGTTAGCCTCTCGTATGGATAGATACGGTAAGAAGAATAGCAGAAAAAATTATTTCTATTTTTTATTGTTTGTCTAAAATATATTGATAATCAATCAAAATGTTTATTCCCTATAAATGTATATTCGTTATTTGAAATATATATATATATATATATATAAAGCCAAATGATACAATAAATATACAAGCAAATGCAAAGCCTTATCGTCTGCCCTTCTACAGGATTAACCTGGCTAGAAAGCACAGGTAAGCAGCTGCTGCTGTTGCTGCTAATGCTACTGCTGTTGCGACTGCTGCTGCTATTGCAGCAGCTGTTGCCGCTTCTGCTGCTGTTGCTGCAGCTTCTGCTCATGCTGCAGCAGCAGCAGCAGCAGCGGCAGCAACTCACCCCACAAGCCCAATGCATGGCTGCTGTTTGCAGGAGCACGCCTTGGAAGGGATCTGCCCTTTTACCGCATTTCTTTTTTATAAAAAGCAAAGCGAGAAAATAAAAAGAAAGAGAATAAAAGGATAGAGTTTAAGCCACGATAAACAACAACAGCAGCAGCAACAATAGCAGCAAACACGAGAGAAAAACAACAGAAGCATCAATGAAGACAGAAAAGTTAGACACAAAAAAGAATTTATAATCTTCATAACCGTTCAGGGCCCCACACCTCACCCCCCCTCCTCCATCTTCCTTATCAGCAACAAGCTGCATGCAGGCATACCTGCTAGTGCTGCAGCTGCTGCTCTTTCTGCTATAATTAGTGCAGCATCAGCAGCAACAACAGCAGCAGCAGCAGTAGCTGTTGCTGCTGCTGGTGCTCCTCATGCAGACTTTGTGTTGCAGTTGATTATTTTTAATATTTTTAAAATTTCTTTCTTCAGTCTTCATCGAGCCCTAGCCGGTCGTTAGCAACATTATCTTCTTCTTCCTCTTCCTTTACTCCTCCTGCTGCTGTTGCTGCTGCTGCTGCTGCTGCTTCTTTTGCTGCAGCAGCAAGAAACGGCACGATAGTCTTTTCAGCAGCAGCTAAGCTACGACTAAGAGTATTATTCTTCTTCTCTTCTTCTCCTTCTCTAATAGGGGCCCCCCCCTCTCTCTCTCCCTCTTCTCTTAGAAGCTCTTCAGCGCTTCCTTCGCAGACAATCTGCTTACACTCTCCATCTATAAATGTAGCGCTTGTAACAACAGCAAACCCACTTAGTTCTGCAGCAAATGTTGAGGGGCCCCCAGGGGGGCCCCCCGACGATGAATCGGGGGGTGCAGGAGTGCTCATAGAAACTGCGGTTTTTCTTTGTTAAAGAAAGAGTTTTTAAATTAAAATATATAATGTTATGTTTTTTATATAAAAGGAATGTGAAGAGAAGCAAAAGAAAGAGAAGGAAAATTATTGGAGGGAGCATCACGTTAATCGGAGCTGCTGCTGCTGCTGCTGTTGCTGCTGCTGCTATTGCTGCGATCAGCCCCAGTAGTTTTGCATGCATGCAATATTTGTGTTGTTTCTTTATAAATAAATTATTAAGAATTAAAGATTTACTCGGTTTATCCACCTATTCTTCTTATTATATGCATATATATGTGCGTATATATAATAATATGTGTCTATATGCCTTACCCTCGGAGGAGTCAAGCACTGCTTAGCAATTAAAAAAAGGTAGAAATAAATTAATGCAAATACTAAAAAGAAGTTTTTTTCTCATTTAATCTGCAGTGCCTGCACACCTCGAATCCGGAGAAGAGGAAACAGCCAGCATTTACCATCGCTTTTATTTATTTTTATTCTTCTATTTAAATGCATGCAATAATATGTGAGTTGTTCCTCATTACATATTCATAATGCTATATACTTATATTAACAAATATGAATATATATATATATATATGTTCATTTATTTATAGGAATATTCATATTATTATGCCGCTGGCTTTTAATACTAATATATACGTTTATTTCTTTTTTAGAAAAAGAATATGTATATTATTATGTTGCTGGGTATTAATAATAATAGAGCTATTATAATTGTTTAGAAATACGTACTATAGATGTTTTAAATATATTGAAATAAAAATAAAATCTCCTTCAGCTACTGCAGCTAAGTAAACAACAACTGGAGGATGCAGCAATTGCACAGAAAACAAACAAAAAATGCACGAAAAAAGAAGAAAGAAAACAGAGAAAGAAGAGGAAAAAGAACCGAAAAAGAAAAGAAAAGAAAAAGAGAAGAAAAGAAAAAGAAAAGAAAAGAAAAAGAAAGAGAAAAGAAAGAGAAAAGAAGGTGAAAAGAAAAGACAGAGAAAAAGAAAAGGAGAAAAGAAATAGAAGAAGAAAAGACAAAGAAATAAACAAAAAGCAAAGAGAAAGACAAACAAAACAAACATCAAAATCAATAAAAAGAAATAAAACCAAACTTAATTATTTTTTTCTTCGTTGTTTCCCTATGGCGTTGCAGCCACAGAAGATAATAACAGAAGTATTATAAAATAATAATTAGTATTTATTTATTAATATTAATTATATTTTTAAAACAAATTCTACCTCCATTCATCAAGGAACAGAAGAAACAAGCTTCTTCAGGCTAGCTGGCAACAGCAAAAGCTGCTGCTGCTGTTGGTGCTGCTGCCTTGAAGCCTGCTGCTGCTGCTGCTGCTGCTGCTGCTGCAGCCTTGAAACCTCTAGATGTTGCTGGTGCAGCTGCTCTTTCTGCTGCGTTAAAACCTTTTGCTGCTGCTGCTGCCTCCTGATGCTGCTGCCGTTCCTGCTGCAGTTGCTTTGTTCAAGCAGCAGCGCCTTTTGGCGCGGCTGCTGCTGTTGGCGCTGCTGCTGCTGTTGGTATTCCTGCTGCTGTTGGTGCTACTGCTGCCTCCCGCTGGTGCAGCTGCTTCTGCTGCTTTGTTGATGCCTTTTTCGGCTGCAGTTAGTTAACGAACAGGTGAGAGTGGCTACTGTAAGCACTAGCTGCAGAATGCTTTAGCTGCAGCAACTTGCAAGCTAGCTGGTCGCTCTTGATATCTACTGCTGCAGAAAGGTGCTGCTGATGCACTTGCTGTAGCAGCAGCAGCCCCTCATCTCCCGGCATAAGAGAAGAAAGCATCAGCAGGGGCCGGTGGCAGCAACAGGAGCACTGTGCTGCTGCTGCTGCTGCGCTGCAGCAGCCGCAAGACACCGCACTTCCGTGCTGTTGCTGCTGCTGCTGTTGCTGCGCTGTCTCTGCCAATACAATGACATTGCTAAGGGCATTGAGAGCTGCTTCTGCTGCTCTTCCGTCTGCTGCTGCAGCAGCAACCTCGAGAAGCGACCAGAGGTGCTGCAGGGCGCCGTGCTGCAGCAGCGGCAGCAGCTGCTGCAGCGTTGCTGCAGTTGTGCATGCATTGGAGACCAGCCACAGGGCCTCCTTTCGTAGATCTTCGTTTACTTCCTGCTGCTGCAGCAGCAGCAGCGCATGCCGCAACACGTTGCACTGCAGCAGCTGCTGCAGCTGCTGGCTGCTGCCAACAGCAAGGTTGCTGAGAGCCCAGCAAGCTTCCCTACAGAGAGACGGGCGACTGAGTTGCAGCAGCAAGCTGCGTAGACACCTCAGCACCACAGGAGTTCCTCTAGCGCAGCAGGGTTTGTAAACGCGTTTCAGCATTAAGCTACGATCTGCAGCACCGTTGCTGCTGCTGCTGCTGCTTGTGCTGCTGTTGGCGTCGCCGCTGGAAGCACCTGCAGCATCGCTAAGACACCGCATGCAGCAGCAGCAAGACAGCAGCTGCTGCGTCTGCCTCGCTGTCCCTGCTGCAATCTGCCCCACAACTCGCAGCGCAGGGTGCAGCGGCAGCAATATTTGTTGCTGCTGCTCCCAAGCTTGCTGCAGCTGCTGCAGCTGAGGATTGCAGATGCGGCAGCAAGCATTGCGTAGCCCTGTGGAAACGTCTAGCTCAAATGCACGAGCAGCAGCAGCAGCTGCTGCTGCTGATGCTGCTTCTGGAGCCACTATACCTCCACCCCCGCTGCTGCTGCTGCTGCTGCACTCAGCAGCGCAGCAGCAGCAGCCGCTGCTATGCGCCAGAGTGTGCACGACGTGCTGCAGCAGCGGCTGCTGCTGCAGCAGCAACGCAACCCCTTCAGGCCTGCTTACGAGGCCGTCTATAGCCCAGCAAGCATCAGCTAATGTCTCTTGCTGCAGCAGCAACTCCGCTTGCTGCTGCGGCTGCAGCACCTGCTGCTGAGATGTCTGCTGCACCGCTTGGAGCAGCAGCGGCAACAGCGGCCGCAGCAGCGCAGCCTGCACACTCATCGCAGATGCAACAAACCCCAAGCCCTAAACCCTAAACCCTAAACCCTAACCGCTTCGTGTCTGCTTTGCACACGGGTCGCAGCAGCGCCTGCAGCAGGAGATATACGATTGGAGGTTTAGGGTTTGAGTGCAGGGCGCCGGCAGGGTTTAAAAGAGGGGGTTTACGGGGATTAGGGTTTACAGGGATTAGGGTTTAGGGTTTAGGGTTTAGCTAACATCGGGCCTGGGGGTCCCTCTGCATAAATTCGAGATGAGCCAAACCGCCGTCCTCCAAGTCTGCGGTCTCTTGGCGTGCTGCAGCAGCAGCAGCAGCTGCTGATGCAAGGAAGGCAGCTGCAGCTGCTGCTCCTGCCGCTGCTGCTGCTGCGCCTGCGGCAGTGTTGCTGCCGCCGCGACGCGTTGTACTTGCTCCAGCAGAAGCTGCTGCAGCTGTGGAGTGATAGTATACTGTTGCATGTTTCGTTGTTGCTGCTGCTGCAGGAGACCCTGCTGCTGCTGCAGCTGCTGTTGCTCCTGCTGCTGCTGCTGCTGCTGCTGGGTGAGCAGCGAGAGCACGTGCTGCTGCAGCAGCTCCTGCGACAGCACAATGTCTCTGTATGCAGCAGAATCTCCTGTTAGATTTCCTAAGGCCCACAGCAGCTGCTCAAATGCTTCTTCTTCAGTAGGGCTAACTGTACCTTCTCTATGGGGCCCCCCGCTGCTGCTGCCTGCTGGCAGAGCTGCTGCTGCTGCTGCTGCTGGTGCTGCTGCAGCAGCAGCACCAAAGGAGGAGCTGCAGCTCAGCGATAGACGAGAAGGAGAAAAGGAAAAGATGCAGCAAAATATAAACCCCAACGTGCCGCAGCAAACCACTGCAGCAGCATCCGCGCTGCTGCCGCTGCTCAGGTTTGTAAGACACCACGCAGCTTCCAGCTGCAGCAGCAGCACACACAAACACACAAACCGTTTGCTGCTGCTGCTGCTGTTGCTGTTGCTATCGCCGCCTCTTCAGCAGCGAGAAACGCAGCACACAGGCGTACACACATATCCAGACCCATGCAGCAGCAGTAGCAGCAAAATAAGAGCAGCAGTAGCAACAACAACAAAAGCAGCAGCACCACCACCAATAGCAGCAGCAACAACAGCAGCAGCAACAACACAAACAGCAGCAGCACCAGCAACAACAAGAGCAGCATCCGCAGCAACAACAACAGCAGCAGCAGCAACAGCAGCAGCAGCAAGACGAACCATCAGCGCTTTGCTGCTGTGTGCAAGGCAGCCAACAAGGAGAGGGAGGGCCCCTGCTCTAAGACAAGCAGCAATGGGGATATCTCCAGCAGCAGAGAGAAGCTGCCGGAGGCCCCGAACGCCTCTAAGCAGCAGCTCTACTACATCGTCCTCTTGCTGCTGCTGCTGCTGCTGTTGCTGTTGTTGCTGCTGCTGCTGCAGCGCTCGGTGCAGCAGCTCAGGGAGAGGCTGCAGCAGCCGCGCAACTTCCCGTAGTATCTCAGGGCTGTCGGAACCTGCTGTTACACCTTCACCTCCAGCAGCAGCAGCGGGTGCTGCTGCTGCTGCTGCAGCATCTGCAGCAGCAGCAGCAGCTGACTTGGATAGAGACAGCTGCTCTCTTAAGCGAGCTGCTAATTCATCGACAGATGAAGACGCAGCAGGGGGTGGTGGCTTTCCCTTACACTGCGGAAGAGAGGCATCCAGAGGATGCATCTGCATGTGCTGCTGCTGCTGCTGCTGCTGTTGCTGCGCTGCTGCTGCTGCTGCTGCGTGCAGCATCAAGGACAGAGCGATGGAGACACAGAAGGGAGGTAGCAGCAGCAACACCACCGGATTATAGAAGCTCTAGAGAGGCTACAATTAAAAAGAAGACAAAGACAAGAAAGTAAAGAGGCAGTGTAGCCTCCCTTAGTTGAAAATGCTGTGCAAGACAAACCCCCCTCTACCATTCATCATCCTGCTGCTGCTGCTGCTGCTGCTGGTGTTTCCGGCGCTGTTGCTGCGTCTGCTGCCGTGTGTTGCTGCTGCTGCAGCGCGACACTGCTTCTGCTGCTCCTTCCGTTACCACTGCTGCTGCATCCAGTCTTGTCTGCTGCTGCTGTGCCGCTGCTGCTGTTGCAGTTGTTGTTGCTGCTGCTGTGGATGTCTGGCTGCTGCTGCAGCAGAGGCGTTTCTATAGAGTCGGTGGGAGCAGCAGCAGTCGTCGGTGTGTTGAGTCTGCTGTGTGGCTCATTTGTCTCCGCTAGCAGCAAAAATAAATTCTGCTGCAGCAGCAGCCCCTGCTGCAGCAGTTTCTCTTTATTGTAAGATATAGAGAAGTAAAGCGAAGGAATTAAAGTTTGCTGCTGAGATTAATGCAAGAGAGAGCTCAAAGCCTTTTGCTGCAGCACGCCGTGTCTTTGGGGGTGGTGGGCCGGAGGGGTTGCTGCTGCTGTCGGCTCCTGTGACTCGGCGCAGTGTTTGCTGCCGCTGCTGCTGCTGCTGCTGCTGCTGCTGCAGCGCTACTGCTCTTGTTCCTCAAGCTGCTCAATCTTCCTTTTACAAATAGATTACTAATGGCTTTAATGCTGTCTTTCTTCTTCAAGGGCTCTTCTTTAGCGATTGTAGACCTGCTGCTGGGCCCCACAGGGCAGCAGCAGCAGGAGCCCCAGCTGCAGCAGCAGCAATAGCAACTGCTGCTGCAGCAACAGCAACAACAGACGCAAACAACAGCAGTTATCTACGTATTTGAATCCAACAATGGGGGGAAAGAGGAGAAGAGAGGCTGCTGTAGCAGAAGATGCTGCAGCAGCAGCAGCAGCAGACGATGCTGTTGCAGCAAAAGGCGCAGGGACAGCAGCAGCAGCAGCAGGTCGCCGAGGCACTCTGCTGCAGCGCAAAATGCAGCGGCTGATGCCTGCAACATCAGCAGCAGCAGCAGCAGCAGAGCTGCCGGAGATCACGCTTCCTGTGCGGGGGCCTGACGGTGTATGGACAACACCGACTGCGCAGCAGCAGCAGCAGCAGCAACAACAACAGGAAAAACAGGAGCAGCAGCAGCAGCAGCAACGTGAGAAGAGCCGCCACAAGGAGAAGAAAAAACAGCAGCAGCAGGCAAAGGGAGCAACCGCTGCTGGCCCAACCAGCAGCAGCAGCAGCAGCAGCAGCAGCAGCAGCAGCAGCAAGAAGAATAAAGAAGACGAGGAGATATGCGAATCCGCCTGGGCGGTGGTTCGTCGTTGCAAGACACTGCAGCAGAAGAAGCAGGAAATTGCAGCAGCAGCAACACGCGTAATGGGGGCCCCCGAGCATTCACCAGAAGATATGGATATTCTCTTTGCCTTCTGCAGCCACAGCAGATCTGCTGCAGCTGCTGCAACGGCAGCAGCAGCTGCTGCTGCAGCAAAGGGAGAGTCAGAAGAACAGCAGCAGCAGAGAAAATTGAAGATACAAGAGCTGCTGCACACGCAGCAGCTCGCCATCTTGTCGCTTGCTGCAGTGCTGCGGGATGTGCTGCCGCAGCACCGCTTGACAGCAGCAGCAGCAGCTGAAACAGCAGCAGCAGCAGCAGCAGATGCAGCGAAGAGTGGCAACAAATCTGCTGCTGTGAAGGCATTCAGGCTCTCTAAAGATGTAGAGAAGCAGCAGAAGCATGAGCAGCAGCAAATCCGCACCCACAAGAGGTTTGTGTTGCTGCTGCAGCAAGAGCTGCAGCCGCTTCTAGAGCGCAAGCCAGGAAGCAACAACAGCAGCAGCGAGTTGCTTGTTGCAACAGCAGCAGCAAGAGCAGCAGCAGAAGTTGTTTCGGCTATCCCCATATTCAACGACAGCGACACCTCTTTGCTGCGGCTGTCAGTCAAGGCAGCAGCAGCAGCGACAGCAGCAGCAACAGAGCTGCAGCAGCAGCAAGAGGAAGACGGGAGAACACCAAAGCGACAGCAGCAAGTGCTGCTGCTGCAGCAAGCCAGCAGCAGCATCACAACAGCGCTGCAGCACGTTATTGCGCTGGACAAGGAGCTCCATACAGCAGCAACAGTAATTGAGGTGTGCGTACAGCAAGCCACAGCCCTTGCACTGCAGCAGCAGCAGCAGCCGAAGCGGCAGCAGCAGCAGCAGCAGGAGCAGCAAAAGCAGCAGCGGAGACAGATAAGATATGCACAAAGTGCTGCTGCAGCTGCATTGGTTGACGTCGTACTGAAGATTGAGCTCGGAAAGAAGAAGGTTTGTTGTTTTTCTTTTTTATCTCCTTTGTTTATTTTATCTTATTTCAGCAGCCGTTGCAGATGCTTCACTGGGCCCTCAACCTCTTTCTCTTTCTTCGTGTCAGCGCGGCTTTAGGGTTTAGGGTTTAGGGTTTAGGGCTTAGGGTTTGTGGCGCAGCGCGACGCAGAAGCAGACCAATTAGACCCCCACTTAGATGCCGACCTCCGCAGAGACCTCAGAGCAAGGCAAGGTCTTCCTGCTGCTGTTGTTGCTGCTGCTGTTGTTGCTGTGGCTGCTGTTGCTGTCGCTGCCGGTGGTTTTGCTGCCGTGGCTGCTGCTCCCCTTGCTGCTGCTGCAATTGTTGTTGCTGCTTGTCCTGCTGCTGTTGTTGCTTGCTGCTTGCGTTGCTGCTGCTGCCTTTGTTGGGGCCCTTCTAAGCCCGGATACTTTTCATTGGCTTTATGGATTGCATGCACGCTCTTTTATTGCACTTTATAATGGTTGGGGCCTAGGGTTTAGGGTTTAGGGTTTAGGGTTTAGGGTTTAGGTGGTGTGGCTGTTGTTCAGCTCCATTCACGCGGATTTGAAGTCGCTGCAAAAGTTCGAAGCAAAAATCCTCCAGACGCTCTTTGTTCTCTACGCCAAGTAAGCAGCGGCAGCAGCAGCAGCAGCAACAACAGCAGCAGCAACAGCAGCAGCAGCAAAGAGCAGCATCGGAGAGCTGCGGCTAGCCGAAGCAGAGGAAGCAGTCTGCGCTGCTGTAGCGAAGTAGCGATGCTGCTGTTGCTGCTGCAACTCCAGCAGCTTCGATGCCTGTTGCTGTTGATGCATGCGTTGGTGCTGCTGCTGCTGCTGCTGCTGCAGGACCCTGCGTTCTCCTGAGATCGCTGGAGCGCCCTTGGTGCTGGCAGCCCTGCGGGGTGTCTGTACATTCGGAGACTTCGTTCGTGACGACTTGCTGCTGGATTTTCTGGTGCTGCTGCGTGAAGCAGCAGCAGCAAACTCCACGTTGCTGCTGCAGTTGGGGCCAGCAGCAGCAGCGGCCTGGGTCCTTGTGCCGCTGCTGCTTGCCCGCAAACTAAGGAGCGCTCTGCAGGTGAGCCAGCCGCCTCCTTGCTACTGCTGCTGCCGTAGCTGCTGCTGCAGCAGCAGCTGTTGCTGCTGCAGCAGATGGAGTGGTGCTGCTGCAAAGTCAAGTCTTAAAACGTCATGCGGTTCAGCGGGAAGTCGCAGCAGTGCTGCTGTTGTGTAGATGCATTGCTGCTGCTGTGTTTGCTGCTGCTGTTGCTGCTGCTGCTGCAGACGGATTGCGTCTGGGCTTCGGAGTGCATCACTAGTCTGTTGGCTGCTGCCCTCCCTCAGTTTGCTGCAGGGCAGAGCGGCACTGCAGCAGAAGGAGCAGCTTCAGCAGCAACTACTCTGTTGCAGCAGGAGCACAGCAGCGGCAAATCCTTCTTTGGAGCGTGCAACAGCAGCAGCAGCAGCAGCAGCAACACCTTCGACACGGGGTTTGCCTGCAAGTTGCTGCGTGGTCTCGAGCTGCTGCAGCAGACGCCGCAGCTATGGGGTGGTGGGGGGGCGCAGCAGCAGCTGCAGCAGCAGATTGTGCGTGCTGCAACAACCTCTCGAGGTCTAGCTGCTGTTCGTGTGCAGGATGACTTGGGGTGTATGGTGAACTGCAGCAGCGGCAGCACAGGAAGCAGAGCTTGTGTGGAGGCGTTGCTGCCGCTAGGTGCTGCATTTCTTGCTGCTGCCCCCGTTGCTGATCTTCCTATTGGCAAGCAAATCGTACGGAGGGTACGTATGTCTCTGCTGCTGCTGCAGTTGTGCTGCAGCTGGCTACCCTGTTGCGCTCACCTTGCTGTCGCTGCTGCTGCTGCTGCTCTTACTGCTGCTGCTGCTGCTGTTCCAGTTGCTGCAGCAGGCGTTGTGGTGCTCTGTCTGCCGCAGCTGCTGCGGCTGTTGCAGCAAATGCCGCGCCTCAGCTACGCAGTAACACCTGAAGGAGCCACAGATGCAGGGTGAGCATTTCGAACAGCAGCAGCAACAACAACCACAACAGCAGAAGCAGCAGCAACAGCAGCAAGCGCAGCAGTAGGAGCAGCCTGCTGCGAGTGAGTAGTGCTACAGTAGTTTCTCGTAGTTGCGATTTTCGAGCTGCTGTTGTTGGTGATGCTCCTGCTGTTGCTGCTGCTGCTTCTGCTGCAGCACCTCATTCCACTACTTGCTGCTGCTGCTGACAGCCAGCTGCGACCCCCAGACGAGCGACGCTGCCTTAGCTGCACTTGGACTTGTTCCGGAGCAGCAGCAGCAGCTGCTGCAGCAGCTTGGTCAGCAGCAGAAGAGGAGGAAGCTGCTAGAGCAGCATGGTGGTGCTGCAACAGAAGCAGCACGCACAACGTGCAGCGTCTGTGCAGCAGCAGACTGTACAGCCATGGATTTCTGCTGCTTTGCTGCTGCAGATGAGCAGCAAATGCTGCGGCAGCTGTTCATGCATGCGCCGCAACCAGCACCACTCAACTGCGAGCAGCTTGCTGCCCCCTCTGCTGCTCGAGGTGCTGTTAAAGCTGCAAGAGCTGCTGCTGCTACTGCTGCTGCTGCTGCTGCCCAGCCTCGCGCCTCTACGACTGGCAGCAATCCCTCTCCAGAACACCAGCAGCAGCAGCAGCAGCAACAACAACCGCAGCAGCAGCAGCAGCAACCGCAGCAGCAGCAGCAGCAACCGCAGCAGAAGCAGCAGCAACTGCAGCAGCAGCAGCAGCAGCAGCATCAGCAGTTGCTGCAAAAGCAAGAAAAACAGCTACAACCCCGCCAGCAGACGCCGCTGGAGCAGCAGCACACCGAGAACCAACAGAACGGCAGCAGCAGCAGCAGGAACTGTGCTTCATTCCGCAGACGCCAGCGCAGACGTGCAGCAGCAGCAGCAGCAGCTGCTGCTGCTGCTGCTGCTGCTGCTGCTGCAGGCCCTTCTGCTCCAGATGCTGCAGCTGGACCTGCAGCAGCTGCTGAAGCCGTGCCTGCTGGAGATGCGGCAGCTGTTCCTACAGTATCTGCTGCAGCACTTGCTGCAGCAGCTGATGCAGCACCACCTGCAGCAGATAGTGCAACAGTACCTGCAGCACCTGCTGCAACAGTACCTGCAGCAGCTGATGCAGCAGCGCCTGCTGTGGCTGCTGTAGCAGATACTGCAGCAGATACTGCAGCATCTAGGGCAGCTGTTGCTGCAGCAGCTGCTACAGCAGATACTGCAGCTGTTCCTGCAGCAGCTGCTGCAGCAGACACTGCAGCTATTCCTGCAGCAGCTACTGCAGCGGTGCCTTCTGGGGAAGCAGCAGGAGTGCCTGCAGCAGCTGTTGCAGCAGCGCCTGCAGTACCGTGCGCGGATGCGTCTGTTGAGTGAAGCAGCAGCAGCAGCTGCTGCTGCTGCTGCTTTGTTCATTGGTTTTAGCTGTCATTTCCAGAGTATTAGTTTGAAGGTATTAAGGATGGCTGCAACGGCAGCTGCAGTTGCTTGCGGTGCAGCTGCTTGCTGCTGCAGCAAAGGCACTATCAGGTAGGGGCGCTGCAGCTGCAGGAGCTGCTGCAGCTGCAGCTGCAGGAGTTGCTGCAGCTGCAGCTGCTGCTTTGTTTTGCGTTGCGTTCATCTCTTGCTCTTCAGAGATGCAGCAACGAATGCCCCACAGCTCGGCCTTTGCGCCAGTATATCAATGTGTATACTACTTTGTTTTGTTCCTATCTACGTTTATATATTTGTATTATATATTTTATTTATTTTTTATGTTGTATATATGCATAAATATATAAATATATATATACTCAGTTTCCTATTGAAGAGGGCGTTGCTTTGTGTTGGTTTTTCTGCCTTCGTTACCAGTGGCTGCAGAAAAGTAATAATATAAAGAAATTAATTAAACTAAGTAAATAAATATATAGTTTATTTATTTATTAAATAAAACCATACTATTAAAATATAATGCTAATACTAGATACTTATATTTAAATAGAACCCTTTGTTTGTCTTCATGCACTGTCTGTATGCACCCATACATTAATATATATATTATATATAAACAATAAATAAATAAATGTATAAAGATAAACATATTTATTTATGTGGTTTGTTTATAAGAAGCGGCATATGCGTATATAAAAGGCAAACAAAAGAAGTTTCCACTCTTTTTGTGTGTATTATTTCTGCTGCCGTTTTGAAAAGAATAAGTATTAAGGCCACCAGGGTATGCTGTTAGCAGCAGAAAATGCATTTGTTTGATTAAATAAATCTTATTTAAATATAAGGTGAAGAAAACTACGAAAAGTACAAATACTGCATAATCGCCCCCACGCCCCAGCAGCAACATCATGCGCCTGCAGCCGTGTCTCTCGCTGCAAAAGGAGTTAATTCAAATAAAATAAATAGATGAATAGACTAAAAATATAGTCTGTTAATGCAAATTAATAAATATAAACAATTAAACACACAAAAGCATTCGCTACAAAGAGATTCAAGACATGCGGGCAAAGTGTTGCCGCTGCAGTGAGCGGCAAATGCTGCAGCAGCACTAGAGAAGTCTTCAATGGCTATACTTCTAGGTGAATATTAAGGAAATAGTTGATGAAATAACATTTAAATTCATTAAAAAACAAAAATGAATTAAAAGAACACCAGCAGAAGTCGGTATGGTAGTTGTAGTAGCTACCGCTACTACCAGCAGCAGCAGCTGCAGCTGCAGCAGCTGCAGCAGCCCCCGAGCGGCTGCTCTGCAACCCAAGTATTTAAATATGGCCAGCCTTTGTCACAATCCTCCCTTTAAAGGGTTTGGGGTCTTTTTAACTTTGTCTTCTCCTCCGAACAGCCGCAGCAGCAGCAGCAGCAGCAGCAGCAGCCACGAAAACAGCGGCTTCGGCAGCGTCGAGTTGGTTTGTTCTTTGAGGCAGCAGCTGCAGCAACAACAAACAGCAGCAGCAGCTGAAGGCAGCAGCAGCAGCAGCAGCAAACAACAGCAGGAGTAGCAGCAGACCTCAACACCAGTAGCCGCTGAAAATGGGGAAGGGCAGCAACGCATGCGTAAGCCTCCTCACCACTCAGCAGCAGCAGCAGCAACAGCAGCATCTCCTGTTGCTGCTGCTGATACTGGAGCCCAAGTATGGGCCTCCTTAAGGGGGTGGTGGGGGCCTCTTATGTCTAGAAGCATGCAAAAAGCATGGGCTGCTGCAGCAGCAACTGCAGCAGCAGCAGCAGCAGCAGCAACTCTGTCTAGGAGAGTGGAGAAGCTGGGGGTGGAGTGTTCACGTATTTTCATGTTGATTGTTGCAGGAGATGTACACCACATATTAGACAGCATTCTCCCTCAGTCGCGGCTGTGAGGCACAGCCATCCAGCAAGGTTTAGGGTTTAGGGTTTAGGGTTTAGGGTCTAGGGTTTGCGTGCAGAAAAGGAATACAGCCCGAAGCCGCACTGAAGACAAGACGGCGAAGGAGCCGAAGAGCCAGCTGAAGACAAATCAAGCAGCGATGACGATTAAGTGCAAAGTATGCATATAGGGTTTAGGGCTTAGGGCTTAGGGCTTGCAGTGCTGCTACAAAGGGGTTAGGGTTTAGGGTTTGTAGTGCTGCTACACAGGGTTTAGGGTTTGCAGTGCTGCGACAAAGGGTTAGGGTTTAGGGTTTGTAGTGCTGCTACAAATGGTTTAGGGTTTGTGGTGCTGCTACAAAGGGCTTAGGGTTTGTAGCGCTGCTAATACTAAAACAAAGGGTTTATAGTTTGTAGTGCTGCTAATACTGAAACAAAGAGTTTAGGGTTTATTATTATTAAAGCAGAGGGTTTAGGGTTTGTAGTATTACACGAAAGGAAACCCTACTTAGAGAGTCTATTAGCATAGAGCAGCTGATGATACGGGGCTGCAAATATAAATAGAAATATAAATTCATACAATTAACTAAGTATTAATTTTAAATTTAAATTAATATTCTTTTAATAAAAACACAAACTCTCTCTGATGTTTCTATAAGAGCAACCACAGGAGAAAGCTGCTAGCAAGGGATTAGGGTTTGAAGGTGCAGCATTAGGGTTTACGTTTGAATTTGTTACGCATTGGGGTTTAGGGTTTTGCTGGTCTTTTGCTTCTGTTGCAGCTGCTTCTTGTGTCTTTTGTTTGCAATGGAGTGTGGGGGTTTAGCTGTAGCAGCTAGCTGCTAGTTGCTGATGTTTAGTTGTTGTTTCTTTTTTATTTTGCTGCAGGTATGCATGCAGCCGTTTATGAAGACGCAGAGCGCATCTCAGCTGTCTGAACACGCGAAGAATAAACATGGGAAGAACCTAGAAGATTGTTTTCCAGATGTTGCAAGTGGTGCATAAACTCTGTATCTGATTTCTTTTTTGTTCTTATTCTGTCGCCGTCCTCAGCCCCTTCTTCTCTAGCAAACATGCATTTTATATCGCACTCTATACTCCCCTTCTTCCCTGTTAAGGCTGCTGCTGTGCTGTACTTCCTTCTCTGCTCTGCATTATAGTGAGGGCCCCTTAGGCGCTGTAGGAAAGACTTGTGAAGACGTTGCAGGGGCCCTCAGACAATTTCTCTTTAGTCTTTTTACCTGTCCGATGTGTGGGAGAAGCGCCTTTGAGAGTTGTTGGCGGGCCCAGAGGCTCTTTCTATCTTCTTTTATAGGACGGTAGACTCTTAAGCAGTAATAGGGATTAGTATTTCAAGAGATATTGACGAACATTTTTTGCACCCAATAGGAGGTATTTTTTCTTATAGAGGCCCCTTCGAACCCGACCACTTCATAAAAGGCGGGTGGGGGCTCTTCCAGTGCACTAAGGAGGGCTTGCACTGCAGCAGCAGAAGTATTACCAGAAGCAGCAGCAGCAGCAGGAGCAGCAGGCCATGTCAGAGTTTGCTGATTAGTGGACTGAAGGAAGACGGCTAAGAGAGCCCTTCACAGTTGTTAGTTGGAGCCTGCCTTGCTGCGAGTATTTATTGCATTATCTATCGCTACATTTGCTATAGTGCTACATTTGGTGTAGCGCCTGACTGAAAAAGCGCTTAAAAGTTTTTTCGAGAGTTACAGCGCTAGCAGACATTCCGGTAGTTTGTAGCAACGGTCCTGCAAGAAGTTCTGCGAGTTTGTTGGTTTAAAAATAATCCGTAAGACCCTAAACCCTATTTTTCTGCTGAGGCCGGGAGCGCGAGCCCGCAGTCGCTGAGCTCTGCTTGAAGCTGCTCAGGCTGATGGACGCGTCGTGGTGGAAACGAAAAGTGGTGGAGTTAGAAGCAACTGAACAGCTTGAAGGACGTAACAACCTGCGAAATTTAAGGGTGTGAGCGGGTGGAGTAAGCGAAGTGTTTTCGAAGAAATATGGATGCATTGGTGATGCGAGAACCCAAAATGTCGTTCTTTTCAATCAAAACAGCAGTTCTGTTAACGGGTAACTTCAAAGCGTACATTGCTTATGAACGCATTTCACAGGTCCACTTGGTTCAGATAAGCTGCCGCGTAGATACATGATATTCACAATGCAGCTTCTGCACCTAGCATGCAAATATTCACAAATAAACCCTGGATAGCAAATCGCTCTCCTACAACGGTGCCCTCGGAGAGAGAAGCTTTTTAAAAAGCATGGCAGTGCCTACTGTGCCGAGTTCGCTGCTTGCGGCGTTGCAGCGAAACGCAGGCTAGGAGCCCACTCTTGTGGATAGGCATGTATGCATGCATCAGCCCTTGAAAGGGGTGCTCCCGCACAGATGATGTACACAATCGGCACACTTAGTACACCTGGGGTTTGGGAGTGGAACCTCCCTGCTTGCTAAGCTAGCGTGGCCATGACAGCTTTGGTTGTAGGGGACTTCTGGCCTTCAGCCTGCAGAATTTACCTTTTGTGGCTTCTATTCAACGAAACGTTGCTCCTATAGAGCACGATGAGGGGTTCTTTACTCCCACGTGAAATGCTTCCCATTTCTGAGCGCGCTCTTGTGTGCCTGTGGTGTACAGCCGTACCTCCCAGCATAGGCCACCAGCATGCGATTGTACTCCAATATTAATTAGAACTTTCCAGGCTGAACTGCGATGCAGCTAACACCCTCTACAGATCCACTCTGTTTAGTGCTCCTAAGGGCCAAAGCTGCAGTGTCGTTCACGCAGAGAAGTTGTTCTCCACAATGTAGAGATCGCATGCAGACAAACTTTGCTAAGATGTTCAAAAGAACACCAAAGGAGCACGACAAGGTAGCTGGAAGCAAGAAGCTCCCGGGCTAGTCATGGTTTGTGTGTGCGTGTTGGGGAGCTGCGAGCACTAGCCTGTGGTGCAGTAGGGGAGCCATCCTTTGTGTTGTAAAATGTAGGGGCTAGCAAAGGACACTAAGCCAAACGGTTAAGGAACAGAGTGGCCTCAGTGGGTATTTCAGTGACTTTATCTGCTTATTTAGCTCAGTAGTGAGTACCCGTGAAGCGAACAGGGGTGACCTAAGGTGCACAATTAGATTACAACTCCATCCCTTTTCGCCCCTTAATGTGCTCATTGAGCAACAATTCCTGGTTATTCATGTTTCTCCTGGCCCATTCAGTCGGGGGTTGGTAATAATAATATAGATGGATGACGTGCGTGGCTATCGCTGGAACATCTTGGAGCACCTGCGGCGCCTTCGGCTTGCGCTGCAGCTCGCCGCATGAGAAGCAGCTGTTGTGCAAACACAGAAGAAGTAATGCTTGATGCAAACTCCTAGCCTCGTATGATATCGTGGATTTCTCCCATAAGCTGCACTTGTCACACCTGACCCGAAGACGGACGTGGCCAGCCGCACTTGGCCTCAGCCTTTATAAACTCGCACAGGTGTTCACAAGTTCCTCGATCTTTAGTCGTGCTACCTCAAGTTTACCTTAGGTTGCACCTGCATTGCCCGTCCTCCAACAAAACTCGCAAGAAGAGCAAACCACTTGCTGGGGAAGCTGCTTTGGCTTGGCATCAGATCCTGCGCTCTCTTCCCCTGATTTACATAAACCCTTCCTCCTACACAGCGGTTCAAATAAAATAAAAAATGGGTTGATGCTCTCTCACCAAGCCAATCGCCCGAGAAAACACGAAAAGGACTTCCTGACACTCCCACCAATTCACAGAAAGAGAACAGAAGCAGTCGGTAAATGCGTAGGCACTTCAGCGTTCCAACTGATCACCGATCAGCTGCGTACCCGACGGAGAGTTTTCAAGACTTCACCAGTGAAACAGTTGTTCTGTGAACTTGCTTTCTCGCGCAGTACGACTGCACAGACAAGTATAAAGACTATAACCAACCTGATTGCTGACGCACTCTCCTGACGAATTACTAATCAAGCACTATGTTCTGCAACAGCGCTCGTCAGGGATGATATCCATTGTCTTCAAACATTTCATTCTGTTCATTTCTTCCGTGCTCACCCGCCGGGGTTCCTTGCTAAGATTAACAACGAGCGACGGGCTAAGCACAACTGTAATAAAGGCGAACTCTCGTGGTACTAGACAAAGCATGGAGCTCGCCAATTCTGCGTTCCAGCTTCGCTAGGCACACCTATTTAGCGTAAAGGCACGTTCATGAGTCAGCGGGCCATGCTGGCTTCACCAGAGTGGAGCGGTGGTTTGTGATATGCACCAGAGTGGAGCGGTGGTTTGTGGTATGTCCGTCGCATAAGGGCTATCTCGTAATCTCTTTTTTGCTGCCAGCAGCGAAATAGGCAGAACAATTTCAACCCGGACTCTTGCGGAATACTTCGATTCCCAAACGGATATGGTTGGAAGTCTCAGTGGACTTCGTTGTGGATAAAGGCTTTGGTAATTTTTAACTTGCTGCGAATAGGCTCAGCCACTGTACACACTTCAGAGAATGTTCGAGCTCAGTTACAGCAGGCGGTATGCCATTCATGACGCTTCTAATCTCCACGGTTTCCACGAGGGAATCGCCACCGACAGGAAGCCGAAGTTTGGGAGAGCCTGCTTGCGTGAATACGCAGCGCTGCTTAACATTGACCGCATGCTACCAACCAACAACCAACCAGAGGCAACTGATCAAATTGAGTGTTTAGGCCGTAAACTTTTACAGCATTAGTTACTCTCACAAGAGTCCATCCGAATTATTTCATTTCCTTCCTTGGGTAGAAATGGTCTATAATACAACAGTGCACTTTTCGAGCCGTGATTATCCACCACGCTTGGTCTACACAGAAAGCCCGTTGCCTGACCCGGCTTTAGATATGGTTGTAGGAAGCCAGCCCCGGACAGCAGCAGCTGCTGCCTGCCATACCCTGGTTGCAACAACTCGAGAGTGTGTGAAGAAGGCACAAAAACAAGAACAGAACGCACTAAGCTAAAATAGAGTACGCTCGGCAGTTATTCTCAACACTGGAAACTCGGATTACGTGGATTCCCACTCTCTCCGAAGCTAGCTGGTTAACAAGCAGGTTTGGAAGTCTACCATACATAGGGCACTTGCTTTTCCTCATCTGGGCAACGCTTTGGCCTGCCCCTTCGAGCGGCCCCCTACGCGGAGGCGTCATCGTATCACTAGTATTGCTGTCTTAAAACAATTCAGCGAATCACGGAAATTCCACCGAACGCTCCATACATGATGGCAGCAACGCCACAATATGTGGAGATTTAAGAATAAGGAGCTGCAGATGCCACAGAAAACAATATTACGTCAAATGACTAGGAGACCGGCACCACCAGTGAGTTCTGAGAAATGTTTTCTGCAGAGCAATTCCTCAAGTGAATCACCGTACGGCAGTATCTATTGCGTGGATACACGCACCTCCGTTTCAATTTGGGCCATGTGGAAACGTATGGAGGCAACGAGTCTGTCCCGATTAAAGATGAGCTCATCTCTTCTTCTGTAAATGTTCTTCGGCGTTAATTATTTCTCCGCCCCGTCCTGAGCGTTTGCCTCTACCAGCTTGGAGCCATGCCATCAACCCTATTTTTCTCATTTTTTGAGGCGGCGCCCCCTGCTGCAGCTCTGCCTAACGTTGCCCGCACGCGCACCGGTGCTGGGGTTCATTGCGTATTCTTCCCTACGGTGGAATGTTCACAGCAAAAAGCGGTACCCAAAGCAGTTAGATGGAGCGTTGGCCTGAACGACCACTGGCCACGCCATTGAGGGGGCTCGTTGCATCGAGACGCGGGTAAGCAACAACAGCGGCAAGTCAAAGCAGCACATCCAGAACCTGCTAGCCTCCTTTACTTCCATCAGTATTTCCTTACATATATATATATATATGTAAGAATTATATATACATGCATATACAAATATTTGCTCAGGGTTGGCCAGGCACACAAGGACATGCGCGGCTAGGGAAGGGACAGAGTAGGTCTTTTTTGAAGTTGGTACCTGTGTATGCACTTATTGCTTTCAGGCTGTTTATTAATGGCCAAGCAAGCGTCCAACAATTGTCTACAGTGTTGGTGCATGCAGCACGAGGGATTTCGTTGTGTTTCCAGCAAGGGTTGCCTTGCAGTACTAGTTGCAGCAGGCTCCGTTGAAACATATGGAAGGCCCTGCTTTCTCCCCATTCCTCTTGAGGGACTCTTTCCTATAGTCTTCGTGCTCGTGACTGTCCCCAGCTAGAACCGAGCACGCTTCACAAACCCGCTCCACAGCGTAAACCCATGAACTATCGCGGCTGGCCTGGCTTGTGCGCCACCTAGAGAGTTAGCCTCGAATAGCAATGCCAGCCGCAGGCAGACAAGTGCATTCAATGGATATCCGAGGACACTGCAACGGAACATAGCGGCTCTAGCAAACCCTTTGCACTTTCGCGAAAATGCAACGACTGACGCAGCTGGCTGCGGGAGACAAGGCTAAGTAAAACCTACGTTTAAGAAATGTTCGGTTGGTGGTCGCCGTTTTCCGTGCCTTTCAATTCGTTCACATTGGCTTTAGCAAGGAAATTAGGCCCTGTAAAGGCTGCGAAAGCCCCAGCAGCCATCGAGCGGGGCGAAGCGCTGCAGCACCGCTAATCCTGTTGCAGGCCAATAGTTAGCTGCTGTGATGAGTTGTGAATCTTTGAATTAATCGCGTATGTTGGGGTTTAGAAGTGCGAGGAGTAAAATGTGTAAGAAGGAAACAACAGGAGATACTAGCAGAGGCTCTCCTGCAGCGGCGCAGCAATAGCACGTGCAGCAGCGGCTACAGCAGCTGCCCGCAGCGCGCCCCAACAGCAGCAGCAGCAGCACCAGAGGCAGGCGGCATCGGGGGCTTTGGGGTTCATGGTTTTCGTCTTGCTTTCTTTATTCGAACGTGACTCTGCAGAACTTGTTATTTCGTGAGAGTTATTCAACTCAGCCCATCACTCAAAGCGCATTCCGAGAAGCACAGCAGCCTATCAAGAGCTGCGCCCCAGCAGCAGGACCCCGCTTGGCCGCGACAGCCGGAGCAGGAGGAAAAAGTGCATGAAAGCTGTAATAAAAAACACTTCTGTGTTCTTTCGACCTACAGCCATCAAATATCTTCTAATTAGGACTCCATATAGCCCACGAGTCTCGTTGCAGCCAGGTACTGCCCCTCACCGCAGCAGCAGTTCATCTTAACTTGGCTCTGAGCGCTGGCTGTGGCTGTGTTCTTTTCTGTCTCTCTGATACGTCCGACTCTCTTCAGCTCTATGTTCTTATTGTTTTTGTCGGCTTTACGTGTCTTAGATGGCCTTTGCTTGCCTTGCGTTTTCTGTGAGCGCTCGTTACCTCTCGGCTCTTGGGGCGCAGTACCCATCACTCCGGTCTGGGTGATTGGGGCATCACGGTGTGTCTGTTTTACTGTTCTTTGTTTTCAGGCTCTACAGATTGCTGCTTGCACCTTCTGCCTCTTGCTGTGAGGCAACAGCCGCTTGTCCTGCGTAGGTCGGTGGCTGGTTGATAAGGGGGTTCTTTTGCGGACAGCTCAAGCGCTCCTCTCAGACGGCTCTTCATCTTTATGTGTACGGTTGCTGCTGCGGCGGCTGAGGGCAGACAAACCCTCTGTGCAATGAAATCTGCGTCTGCCGTCTTTGTAACCCGACCCGTATTTCCGCGGTTGCTGAGAGAAGGCAGCCGTGAACGCTGCGTCGGCCCTTGAGCTTCCTCTGTCTTTCGTCGCCCTTTCGTGCTTTGAGTGTCTGTACACTGCGAGCTGCGCGCGCCAGCGGCAGGCTCCAATTCAACAGCGGACCCACTGTTGCCTCTAAGCCGTACTCTTCTTCTTCAGGACGTTCATGTGAACGCCCACGCCCCCGCTGCAGGCGGCTTTGCGTCCGCTGCAGCGCGAAAGACTGCAGGAACAGCAGGAGAAAGAGTAGAAGCTACATCAACAATCGGACATACAGCAGAGACACGGCAACTCCACCTGCCAATCACAGCAGTGCAGTGAGCCTGGCCTTGTTATTGGAATGCAAACAAACAACATCCAGGAGGAGCAACAGCAGCAACGGCGGCGCCACAGCTGGTGATGGTCGGCGGCTCTGCGCGGCGTCGCAGGTGAAGCGGTGAGGGCTGGAGACAGCCTCAGGGCTGCGTACCCGCAGGAACTCACCAAAGGGGTGAGTGAGACTTTCGCCTTCAGCCACAGGCAGAAGAGCTAGGAAGCCACATGTATGCTGTATGCACAGCCTGCAGACATAAGGCGGCAGCGCACTAATTTGCGCCGACGGCTGGGCTGCACACGAGCCTTGCTGTAGCTGTAGCGGTATTCAAGCTGTGCTACTATTGTTTTGTGTTTTCGGTGCAGCATTCTTCTGACCCCGCCTCCAGCAGCAGCAGCGGCTTAGAGCCGCAGGGCACTCCCCTTTCTGCTCAGCGCAGCATGAAGGAAGGGCGGCCGGTGCCTTCCAGCCCGGCGTTTCATTTCGGCGGCGGCGCAGCGCGCCAGCCAGTGTCCCGGTGTCGCGAACCACCGTGAGACAGCAACAACAGCAACAACAGCAGCAACAGCGGCAACAACTGCAGCAGCAGCAGCACGAGCAGAAGGGCTGGGCATTTTCGACATTTCTCGGCTCTCCCCACTATATTTCAACAATCAAGATGGGTTTTCTTTCGCGAATGCGCCGCGATAAGCGGAGCTGTGATGGCAGCAACAGTTTCTGCTGCAGCAAGAGCGAGGCGGACTCGGAATGCAGCAGCCTGCGTCAAGATGTCTGCGACACCCTGCAGCAGCAGCAGCTGCTGCCGACGCCATCCTATGCGCTTGACCAGTGGTCCTTTCCCTCAAGCCGCAGTGGGCTCCGCAACAGCAACAACAGCAGCAACGGCAGCAGCAACAGCAACAGCAACGCCAACCGCCTCTTCTCTCGCCTTGCTACCCACGGCGCGGCCTTCCCAGCAGAGGCCCCTCGAATGACGGGTCGCTGCATCAGCGGGACAGCTTCACTGTCCCGTCAAGATAATTTACTCGCTGGAGCAGCAGCAGCGGCAACGGTGTCGCCGCATGGGCAGCGGTGCCTTCAGCGCAACCAGAACTCGATCGTGCCCTGCTGTTGCTGCAGCGACAGCAGCACGCACAGCGGCGGCAGCAATGAATTGTGCCGAGCACGCTGGTGCGCGGGTGCATGCTCTTCGGGTCTTCTGCTGCAGCAACAGCAGCAGCAGCCCAAACAGCAACAGACACCGCAGCAACCCCCGGCTGGGATGGTGTTGAATGTGCCGACTTTAATTGAGTCTCGTGGAGTTAAGTGCCTCATCTTGGACGCTCCCACAAATGAAAACCTGCAGGCCTATCTGGCGCAGCTGGTGCAGGTGGGTGTTACTGATCTCGTGCGCACCTGCCCCCCAACATATGACGAAGGCCCTGTGATTGGAGCTGGGATCCGCGTGCACGATTTAACTTTCCCTGATGGGGAAGCTCCACCTGCTGAAGTCATTGCGCGCTGGAGAGCTCTGGCGGCACAGGCACAGGCAGAGGGAGGGGTGCTGGCGGTGCACTGCGTCGCGGGGCTCGGCAGGGGCCCTGTACTTGTGGCGGTTTCCCTGATAGACAGCGGTTTCGAAGCAGAGGAGGCCGTCAACTTCATTCGCTCCCGCAGAAAAGGTGCGTGAGTGACTCAAGTGTGCGTGGAAGCGGCTTGCTTCTTCTACGAATATATTATTAACACATATTAGAGGGGTTACTCGCGAGTGTTTTAGTAGGAAGACAGGCCATGGTGGTGGTAGCTCTAGAGGGCCAGCCGTGGGGAGAGGCAGAATAAAAGGTACGCGTCTCAGTGAGGAGGAGCGGGTAGGGAGTGTTCGTGTTATTGCTTTGGGGTGTTTGTGCAGGGGCTATCAACAGACGGCAACTGGCCTTCCTACACAACTACCGGCGCCACGCCGTGGCGTCCCGTCGGTGCATGCGGAGGTGCAACATTATGTGAGGAGTTCGTTCGTTCTTCGTGGATATGTTGAGGGGGCTGAGAAAGGCATCTGCTGTAGTTGGATATCAGCTGCAACAAAAGAGCCAATAGGTGAACAAGGCTCAGCAGGGAGATAAGAGAGGCAGGCCACAGGCTCGCGAGCTGCATCTCACATGTGGAAAGCAGCAACACGTGAGAGGGAGGACGACGACCTGGCTGGTGTGCCGGTACACCATATGCGGGTGTGAGTGTGTGTGCGTATACCGATTGCGTAAAAACATACCGTAGATGTGGATGTCTTTGCACATGCCGTGAGTGTAACACGTGCATTGTATTAATAAGAAAAAAAGTAGGCAGTATACTTTGATTCGCCCGGTCTTCAGCTGGGTAAACCATGCAAAAGAGGAGGCGTTGAAAGACGCCACCGCGCATAAGCTGCTTTGTCCCTGTTGTATTCGCACATATCCAAAGAGGAGAGAGAGAAGGGGACGTCGACAGTTCTGTGATGGTAGAGGGGGAAATACGTGTATATGCTCGCATATGTATTATCGTGAGATGTATGGGGTTGTTGAATCACGCCCATGCGAAAAAGGGGGGTAGGGTCTGTGTTGGCATTGGGAGGCTCTAGTCCATAAGAGGAGTCGAAGAAGGAAGCCAATAGCAGATGGCGTGCCCTTTTTGAACTACTACAAAGTATAATTGAAATAGGTGCATCTGCCTGCCTGTGTGTTTCAGCATGTGCTGTTTTGCCTGTCTGTACGTGTGTTGCGCTTGAACAACGCGACCAGCCATAGATGCACCTGAGCTAAGAAGTGAAGGGGTATGAATGTATGCAATGTCGGTCTCGGCGACTGCGTCCCTCCCCAGGGTAGAGGGTGGTAGCTTGGAGAGGGTTGATGGAGATGTGGGCGCATTGAGGGCTCGCGGGTGAACGTGACGTTGCAGCGGCTGCCTCTTCAGCAACAGCTGGTTGTGTCGCTACACCTGAGTGTCATGGGGGGATGGATGCGAGGGAGAGTGAAGATGATATCGCGGAGAGAAGTTGCGTAGAGCGGTGATCTGCACGGAACTGACGAGATGCATGTACACGTGGGTCTGATGAAGACTCATAGAAGTACCATCCAGAATGTCAGGGAAATAAGTATAAGGGGGTCAGGGTGTAGGGTGTAGGCACGCGCTCTATTGTTTTCATCCCGCCCCTTTTGTTGACAATACATTTCACTCGCCTCAGCTTGTCCTCCCCCGACTTTGGAAACCTTTTTATTCCAAACGCATTTGAGTGCGTTAAGGTATCCGTAATCGCAGCAGTTCCTCCGTGACTACGAGCACACTATACCAGTGCACCTTTTAGCTGTCTTCGTATTGCAGTAGGTTTGCACTACAGCCAGAGTCTGAAGGCAATTTTCCGCGAGACTTTTCAAATAGATTAGTTGGCCTCTTGATGAGAAGTCTGTCACTAGAACTCGCACTGTCGTTCTGTTTATACGAGCTGGCCACTTCCGTTCCCGCTCGATTTGACTGTACAGCTGTTTCCCCTCAGCGCTTCGTGCTTGCTGATGAACGATCACTAGGACGCTGCAGATGCTCTTTTGGATACGGTTTGAGCTGCGTGGACAATACTTATGACTACCATACGCCAAATCCAGCTTCTGGTGCCGCTCGCGCTCGTCTTGACTCTGTGCGCCTCTCTGGGTGTGACTTCCGAATATTCAACTACTTCTGCCTGCCATCTAAAAAGCTCGTAGACTCGTTGAAATGTAAGGAGCTTAGTGTGTCCTAGTGCAACCAGTTTGGGTAACACCGTTGTGCGGCTTTTCGCAGTTCTTGGACAGAGGAAAAGTCTGCTCATAGGAAGCGCATCGTCAACATGTTATGCACCGGCCCACTGATGAGCAGCAAACGATCTTTCTTACCTTGCAAACAATATCTTAGAAACCGCCAAAGGGAAAAGAGAGCCTTAAATGCCTTATTCCTTCATTATCCAACCCTGCCTGCACCGGCGAGGCGTGCAGAACGCGCTGGTTGAGTGCATAGTGCAAATTAAAGAATACACGAATACGTGTGCTGCCGCTGAAGCGTTTAGTGAAGTCCTGAAACGCCTTCATTGGCACTGTGCTACCGCTGGAACGTTTAGGGAAGGCCTGAAAAGCCTTTTTGGCTCCCCCCGACGGAGAATGTTGTACTTCCAGATACGGAGCATTTAGCGGTTCTCCATTCTTCCAATGAGCAGAGAGAGGTAACTTTCCACTCGAGATAAGGGCACGCCAATGACGTTGTGGGGGCATCCCGAGATGGATTTGAGATATTTGGCCATTTCACCCCTTTCAACTAGAACAGCTCCTGCCGAGTACATTACTTCGCCTTCATCTAGGATGCGTTGCCGGACTTCGTCATTCATTTTGTTGAACTTAACCTCAGACTTAACGCTTAGCATCTCGCGGGTATGAAAATGATAGCCTGAAGGACCCCCTGGATCTAGCAAGATGTCTGCTGCATGAACAACGGTCAAAGGACATGTGCATGGGTTTGGATCGTCTGTGGGCTGCGAACGCTGAAATCGGTTGCAAGCTTTGCATTTGTGGGGAAATTGTTGCTTCGCTGGAACAGGTGCGTTGGGGTTCCACGGAGGGCGTTCCAGTTCGCTGACGAGATCCACTAGAACAAAGCTTGTAGTTACAACTATGGGCTCATCTGAGTCAGAGTAGCTCTTCAGAAAGCGTGCAGCTTCTTCCTTGTCCTTAGGCTTGAACCGCACGCGTCCGCCGAACTCTATACCTGTATCCACCGCCACCAGCACAGGCGCCCGGCCGTCCGCTGCCTCCACTGCCATACAAGACTTCGAAAAAGACGCCAGCTGTGCGACCGCTGCGGCGGCTCGTCCGTTTCTCCGCGCCACGGCTTCTGCTCTTTGCAACAGAGGCAGCCGCTCCGCCGCTGGGATGTTCAGCATTTGGTTCTGCAGCCGCAGCTGCTGCAGATGCTGCGTGTCCGGCACTCGAAGCGCATGCACAGCCGCGTCGGCCTTCATATGAGCTATGAGTAATGTGCGGGAATCTACACCCAGTTGAGGGTGCTTTACCTCCAGCCATTCTTGAACGTCGTCCTCATCGAACGGGGCCGAAAAAGCCCCGAAGGGAATGGCGGCTCTTGCGAACAGTTCCCTTCGAAACAGGCTGGAAGTCGCCAGTAGCAGACTGCAATCCTTAATCGCCATTTCCTGCACCTTCGGAAAGTCTGTGGGCTGCGGAAACTTGTAAACATACCCGGGTGTGGGATCATTATCCTCGTCTTTGTTGCCCCCCATTCTGAAATAGATAAAGGCTCGGCCTTAAATCCAACGCTCAAATTAGAAAGTAGGCTAATGAGGAAATCACCACACTGTAAGGACGGAGAAGATCAATACGTTCTGCTCTAAGTCTGCTCTATGGCGTGGCCGTCTGCCTGCACGCCTTGAGGTTGGGGCGCCATAGATTAGAGAGGAAGTTGAAGCCAATGAGCCAAAAGTCTTCCAGTTTAAAATGATAAAGAGATCTATCATGGAACATTTCAGAAATACCAACTGCTCATGTCGCAGCTTCCTTTGCAGCGCGTTGCCAGACAGAGACTGATTGGGTCCCTCTCTGTATGGGTCCTCCTTCCCTTGACAGACGACGGCGAAATACTGAAGCCTGTTTTCACCCGCTTTGCTCGAATTAATGCTGATGTCATAATATCAGTTGCTGAAATACATTGTCTAACCCTTACCAAAGTGCATTAAGACTACCTTAAAGAGTCAACAAATATACTAGATCTCAGGTTGGGGGCCCCGCCTCCACAGCGAGGCTCCAGGTCAAGGTGGGCCAGTCTAGCAGATGCTTTTTTAGTGTCCGTTTTTTTGTTCTTTTTGCGTCGTTCAACGGGCTCACACGTACGGAGCTTCACAGCAGGCCAAAGCCGTTATCCTCACAGCATGGAGGACGCTGAAACTTCTGTGCCCTTCTCTGACTCTAAAGGGCACAAAAACGTCCTATGAGAGAATCAGAATCGCTATGACGCAACCATCTTCCATATACGGAGTATAAAACTCTAGGGCTGCACCCTTTAAGATCGAAATTGAACTGCTGTCCGCTTCAAAATGGCAAAGGCAAGGGAGGAGAAACAGATGCGGAAAGTAGTTGAAAAGAACCTCAACAAAAAGAAAGACCACACTGTAGAACATGAGGGGAGAAAACGCATGGTTAGTTGTGGGCAAAAGGCCCGGAGCTTGCGGCGGCTGCTGGAGCACCGGAAGGATGTGAGTTCCTCCAATGCTCTACTAGTATATGCGTTCTTTGGCGAATATAAATGTATATATATGTAGATATGTATATATATATTCATATTCTTATCCATTAACATGTGTATATCTCTGTATATCACCTATTTATCTATGTATACATTACATATGATATGTACATATGCATCTAGATGAATACATCTGTGTGCATCTTCGCCGTGCTCGTTTGGGCGGCCTTCTCCCGGTGTTTATTCTTATTCTGCAGCTGCCAGAAGACGTACAGGCGCGGATGCTCGCGGATGCGGAGGCTCTGGAGCAGCGGCACCGGCAGCGGGTGAAGGATTTGAAACGACAAAAGTTCATAAAGGCCAAGAAGACTCTCTATTCTAAGCTCAAGTTTTATGGTATGCATCATTGTGATGGTTGTCAGCGGTGCAGTGGGTGCGCCACATAGTTGAATGGCAAGTGGTATTCTTTCTGCGTTGCAGCAAGTGTCACATGCTTGCTTCTCCATCCCAGCTCATCGAAAGCAAAGCCGCTGTTGCGCAGCGTGCGCAGTCTGTCTCTCGAAGATTTATCTACGGTGTACATAAATGCTTACACAACTCCACCTGCATCGGCTCATTAGGGCTTTTTGCATCCCGCTCCTCCCTGTCCTTCCTGTGCAGAGTTGAAAAAGGTGCAACGCCGATTGCAGCAAACGCGGAAGGAGCTACTCGAGTTGATGTCACAACAACAGGAAAACATGGATTCTGCTTCTGCCGCTGCTGGCAATGGCTCGGTGTCATCTGCTGCAGCAGGAAATGGGGAGGCTCTAGGGGAGCGCATAGCGGAGGCTCAACGAAAGTTGCGGCTTCACTTGGACGACTTAAACTATATACGCGTAAGTCTAGGAGACCGTGGGTTATATTAGAACGTCAGTTAGGCTTTTTTTGCACCCATGGAGCAACAATAACAGCAGCAGCAACAGCAGCAGCGCTAGGCTGTTTGCTGGCTTTTGGTGGGCCGTCCGGGGATTTGTTAGGATAGCCCGTTTGCCTCTACGAAATCTCGCTTCTGGGGTTTTGCTTGGAACGCAACATGCAGCTGTACCCGGCGGATGAGCCTTACATCGCTCTCTTTCCCGGTGCGTCTCGTAAACACTAGCTACACACCTTTGCAACTCTCTACTCGTGACTTACTGCTTGATGTTTGTACGGTCGTTCTCCTTCGGTGCCCCTTCCACTCTCCTCGTCGAAGTACGAAACACAAGCCACAACTCGGGTATAGCTCGCAGCACCACATTTAGATATTCGCTGTCTTCATGGCAGTCTGTCTTGGTTATGTTGCTGCAGCACAAGACACAGAAGAAAGCCAGAAAAAGCGGCAGGCTATGCGCCTTCGCATTCTCCAGCTGGTCAGCGATCATGGTGGCCTAGCTGCTTCACAGCTACACAAAGGATCAAACACCCTGAAACGGAACAACTCTCCTGTTGTTGTTTTTGTCCTTGTTATTGGTGGTGTTGGCCTTGCTGTCGTTGGCCGTGCGTTGTTGTTCGTTATGTTGTTCGTTCTGTTGTTTGTTTGCTGTTCATTTTGATAATTGTTTTTTCCCCGTTTGCTTTCGTTTTTTTGTCGTTTTGTTGTTTTGTGTTTGTTTTTCTGATGCTGGTATCTTTTGCTGCTGACGTTCCGTAGCATTTATTGTAGGCCTTGAGGCTGGAACACTGGAGGCCAAGTGCTACGCTGCACTGGCGTTTGTGATTCACAGCTTTGCCCAAATCCCTTGCCGGGCGATGTGTGCGATGTAATTGTCTCAGCTGATAGACAGCAGGAAAGGCAACGAAGCAAATAATGATGAGGACGGAGGTATGCAGCAGAGTGCTTGCATCTTCACCTGTGTCCAAACTGCTCTTTTAAATCCATATATACTCAGTTTGCATCACTCTTTGTCTGCCTCTCTGTATCTCTCTATCTTTATTTCTTTATTTGTTTGCCTTCCCGCATTTCTGTGTACTGCTGCATCTGCGTGTTCGCCCCTTCGCCACTTCATTGTTGTCTGTTGTCAGGGATCCCCGAGTGTCCCTGCATTTTTTGTTCCTGGTCGTCTTTGTGTTAATAGCGCTTGCTATCCTGTTCTTCTAAAGGCATGGTGCCGCCTTCTCTGCCATGGGGGCTGTGAGGATCTGCCGTGTTTGTCCATTCACATGATAACCCCATTATGTCAATGCAACTGCGATAATAGTGGGGAGCTAAGTTTCGTGTAGCATCATTTCTTACTAAGGCATTAACCTCCATTTCATTTGCTGTTAGGATGCTGTGACCGGGGGAGAATTCAGGCATCCCTAACTTTGAGTTCCACCACTACAATACTTTACTATGTAAATCTATATATTAGTGTCACGAGCTCGAATCTAGATTCGTGTGTGTCTTGATGCGACTAGGAGGAGATGACATGTTTGTGGATGCGCCAGAAGCGGCGGAGGACCCAGCTGCTGCTGGTGCAGATCCGTTCGAGGAAGCCCATACCCTTTCTGACGAGGAAAGTGAACAAACAGGAAATAAAACAGAACAAAGACGTGGAAATAATAAACCGCATGCAAAACACACGGCCGGGCCCCGCGACAGCAGGCAACCTGGAAAGGGGGCGGCTGCAACACTGCAAAAGAAAGGGGCTGAGCGCGAGAGTGGTGGCATGAAGCCTTTGCACAGCACGCACAACAGCAGAGGCAACGGCAACAGCAGCTGGAACAAGAGCCACTCGTCTGGACCGAAGCAGTTTCCCCCAGACAAAAGTTGCAAGCAACACAACGCACCTAGAGATACGGGGCGCAGCAATGGGACCCAACATCCAACACAAAAGCAACCGCAGCATAAGACCCCAAGAGATTCGTCAGCTGCTGCCAAGGACACAAAAAACCAGCCAACACGAATTGGGCTGTCCAAACACAAGGCGGCAAACCAACACCTCATTTTCAATTCAGACGAAGAGTAGTTACTTGCGGTTGGGACGTATCAGGGACTTATTCTATTAAAGTTGTGTGCAGGACGAACTCAGAATGGTTGCATGACTGCGTGAATTATTTGTTGGCCTACGCGCTCATTTCGCTGTTTTCTGTATTGGAAATATTCTCATTATCGGTCGTGCCATGAAGCTCTGCATTTACAGCTTTTACTTGTACATTTTTTTTTGGGCTAGAAAGCCGCTCGGCTTTTTTCTACAATAGGTGCTCGAAAGGGTTCGGCATATGAATCCTTCTCTACAATAACCTCTAGGATTAGCGAGAACGGCTGCATCTGAAAGCAGCTCATGTTGCCTGCGTTTGAACAACTTTGCTGCAGTGAAGGACGGGTGAGAACTTCGAACCTGCAGGAGACACTGCTGCGGTGGTTCGTGCTGCGTTCAGTACCTTAAGCCATATGCTCAGATGAATCCTAGGAAACGTTCGCTTTTTCACACGGCTCATGGTTTCATTTGGCTTGCAATATGCTATGAATAGAATGGACTAATGAGCATTTGTAGTCATGGTGTTCTTCACAACAGGTCACTTTACTGTCAAGTGGGCTGCCCCTGCCCAATGCTAACTCTATATCCTTACGTCGCAGACACATGAACTCACACTGAACACTTTATGTATCTACGCATGATGGTCTCTGTAAAGGGTTCCGTCAGGCATGGATGGATGCCTCGTAACTTGTGCACGTTCGCTACTGGAGCCCAAGTGTGCGTTGGGCAATTGTTTAACCCGTTTGTGCATCCATTGATTGCTTGTATCCCTGCCGTGCCTCGTGCCAGACGTTGCAGCAGCCCATGCTGCACCTCAGCGCCCCCTCATCCTCTAAACTATTCTCCTCTTTGCTCAGGACACCTGCCACAGGCAGCGACGCCATGTGCTTTTGGGGGCGTCATTCCTAACTTTTTGGTTCCCTTGCAGCCTTTGCCAATTAGGGGCCAAGGCAGAAAACTCCCGCTGAAGTCACACTGTTCGTCTACTTAGTTGGGTCCTGCAACTCGGCTTTTCAGCTTGGATGCTTGGCACACAGCTGAAAATACCTTACTTGTTGCAGTGAAATACTACTTCTTCCCTCTGCAATGCCGTCAGACTGACTATCTTTGTTCAACTGACGGTGCTTTGGCTTGGGCTTCAAGTCTGGAGTGTCTTCTGTCGAAAGCTGGCACGTGTTTCTCCTACTACGTTCATGACTGGCCACCGAGGGTCAAGCCAATGTTTAACTATTGTCCGCAGCGCTAATGTATACATCAAAGGGCGCTTCGCTACAGCAGTGCGTGTGGTTACCTGACATCACTGGTTGCATCACGCAGTGTTGCAACGCATGACAGGCCGCCACCTCTCCTCAAAGGTACCTGGTGCTTACACACTGTGCGCAGGACGCCTGGATACCGGAGGAGAGGATAAAACTACTTTTTGAGGACTACTCCGAAGTCTGCATTGCAGATCGCTAGGGCCCTTGGCTACGCTTAAGGACCCTCGCTACGGAACTGCAATGCCTACTAGTCTTGACAGTATTTGACTCCGCTGCTCCATATGGTGCTTCTATGCGTTGAAGTCGCACACCAGGTGCTGCACGGTCAAGTGCTATGCCTTCTGGCGTCCTCCACTACTCTGCCATCCCCCTCGTTCACGTCTAGCATGCTCCTAAGGAGGCAGTCTGGTGCTTCACCACATCAAATATGAGTGAAAATGCAGTAATAGGGGCTTTCCATACGATCATCTTGACCGGTAGCCGCTCTTACAGCAAGCGGACTGCTACTTCGACTCGGCGCCGACAGCGTCGTAAGTGCAGGCTCTACTGAAACATAAAATATGACCTCACTAAAAAGGGCAGGCAATAATTTAAACTGGAGTGTTAAAGTGGGGCGCGATATATCAAGTAACTTTGGACTGAACTTCTCTTCCAAGCGCGTTGCCGCGCTATGCACACGGGCTCGTCCAGCCCCAAACACTGCCACCTGTGTCTTGTTCGTATTAGGCACAGCCATGTTGCTATATATTTAAGTAGTTGAGTTCGTTTCTGCTTCAACTTATGTTTCTTTTGTTCCATTTGACTTTTCCTCTGAGTTCCAGGCCTATTGCACTGCCCGCCACTACTACTTCGCCCCTCCTATGCCCTTCTCTCGGCCCTGTTTCCGCGTGTGCTGAGCATGATATCTAGCTATCGTTTGTCTCAGCTGCATCATCTGTGAAGGTCCTCTTATGTGTCTCTTTCTCTGCACTGTCCCCTCTCGACGGCCTCCCGCCTCCCACTTCCGACAATGGCGTGCATGCTCATGAAGTGTGAGACGAAAAGCAGCCGGGTGAAAGGCGTCGCCTTCCACCCGACCCTTCAGTGGTGCCTCACGGCGCTGCACAATGGGGCTATTCAGCTGTGGGACTACCGCGTGGGCTCCTTGGTGGACCGCTTCGAGGAACACGAAGGTACGCAGCGCGTAAGCGCCAGCAACAAACCGAAACCACGCACCACAGAGCTGCATGAGCATTTATACCTCCCTCGGCTGTAGAAACAAACAGAAGTAGTCGAATGTATTGCCAGCGTGTTGCGAGAGAAGCACATACAGTCGCAGTGGCAGTCGAAACCCCACGTATCTTGCGAAAGTCTGTTGAAATATGATGCCACTGAAATGACAAGTGCTGCTCTGCGTGATATGCTCGAAGACAAAGTCCCCCTGTTGGACTTTCCAGTCTTTAAGAGCCGCCCGCGTCCACAGCTCAGCGCAACAGGCACCGCTGTGCCTATTCACTAAGGCATTTGGTCCATGTGCACTTGTGGCCCTGTGTCGTGTGGCAGTATTTGTTGGTTCTTTGGGTGTATTGTGCGCTACTTATGACTGTACACGCTTTCCGGTTCTTCTACGCCCGCCTGTACTGTGGCCCCTTGAGAGCGCGCCTATGGTCCGCTCCCCCAATAGCTTCTTGAGAGTAGTTACAGAGTAGGTTAAGTAGGCCAGAGTGGTGATGCTGCTTTACCTCGTTTCTCTGTAGTGTGCATCCTGCGTCACCTCATGTTGGTTTCAGGGCCTGTCCGCGGCGTCGATTTCCATTCTTCTCAGCCTCTCTTTGTGAGCGGAGGCGATGACTACCAAATAAAACTGTGGAATTTGGTACAGCGCAAGTGTATATACACCTTCACTGGCCATTTAGACTATATCCGCACTACATTCTTCCATGATGTTTACCCTTGGATTCTGTCCGCCTCGGACGATCAAACCGGTGCGTCGCTCCCTTGGATATTTAGCACATTCCGCATGGCGTATGATCCCCGAAGAAGAGTGTTTGTTCGTAGGCGAAGTGTAGGCTCATGGAGTTTTACGCAGGAAATCCAGTCTCAATGAACCACACAGCGTTGCAGTGTTTCTGTCTAAATGTACTAGCATCAACCGATCATGTCAACTTGTGCTCGCCACTCCTTTCTGTCTCTTGCGTTCGTATGGGCGTGCACTTGTCTACGCTTTTGAGTGCTTGCCCCGCGATGTGGACGTGCTCTCCGTCCTACTCTAGTGCTTCTTCATCGTGAGACAGGAGCGCGCAGGGGCAATTGTATTTGGAGTGATCTTGGGGCACGTCTGTGTGAGCCTTGCGCCCGTGTTCCTGACATGCTGGCAAGAAATGCGATCTGGTCTTTGTGCTCTACGCTGTTGCTCTCAGTGCGGATATGGAACTGGCAGTCGCGCGTGTGCTTGGCTGTCTTGACGGGGCACACGCACTACGTCATGTGCGCTCGTTTCCACCCAACAGAAGACCTGGTAGTTTCTGCCTCTCTCGACCAGACGCTGCGGCTGTGGGATACGTCAGGGCTTCGAGAGCGCTCCGGAGGGGTTGCGGGGGCTGTGGGGCGCAGCGGCAGCAGAAGCAGCGCTCACGGAGATATATTTGCTGCTACAGATGCCATTTGCAAGCTCGTTCTGGAGGGCCATGAGAGGGGTGCCAACTGGGCTACCTTCCACCCCTCCATGCCGCTCATCGCTTCGGCAGCTGACGACAAACTGATTAAACTGTGGCGGTAGGTTTAGGGAGATAGACAGAAGAGTGAGAAAAAAAGCGAGCAGATGGGGAATGTCAAGGGGGAGAGGGCGCATTGTTCGGGGTTGCGTTGCCTGTGTGCCATTCCCTTTTTGATCATTGTTTGGGGGAGATGCACTGTCTACTCGACGCCTACAAGCAGTTGCAATGCTGCCGTTTAGCCTAGTGGCCTGGCGTTTGGTGGACTATACTGCCCGGTTTGGGCTCTTGGATGCATCTTCAGGTACAACTCGGTGAAGGCCTGGGAGGTGGATACGCTGCGTGGGCACAGCAATAACGTGTCCTGTTTGGTTTTCCATCCGCATCGCGACTTACTTATTTCAGACTCTGAAGACAGAACCATAAGAGTATGGGACGTATCTCGGCGCACCTGCCTCCATACGTTTAGGCGAGACATGGACCGTTTCTGGGTGTTGGCTGCGCACCCAACTTCCGGAGCCATCGCTGCAGGGCACGACGGAGGGATGGTGGTTTTCAAGCTGACAACTGAGAGACCACCCTCTTGCATGTGGACGGGGCATGAGCTTCTGTACGTAGCTGAGCGGAGACTCTGCTGGATAGACACCGCGGCGCTGCTACACCAACCGCAACAGCAACAGCAGCTCGAGGTCATGCTCACAGAAGTTAGGAGGCCGCCGAACGCCCTTGCTAATGGCCCCAAGCAGCTCCTCGTGAACCCGCTCAACACGGGAGAAGTGAACGCCGTCGTAGTGTATGTACGTCGTCGCCGGTCTCTCTCGAGTCGTCGTTGTATATTCGAGTCCATATACAAATCACTGTAACTAGGGATATCACCCATCTGCGGAGTGAATGCCTTGCTGCTTTGTGGGTTGGCTGTCTCTTGGCTGCTGCAGACAGAGGGCGATAGCCTTTCCTACGATTTCCTTTGTGGGCCTCGTACAGACGTCCGGGGCCCCCCCGCAGCCGGTTGTCTATCACAAGTTGCACAAGTGAGCCGCCAGGGAACCCCGTTTGTCGCGTTAAGATTTGACAAGAAGCAACATGAATTTGATCGCTTACTTGTGAAATGAGGGGCTGCTTACGAATAAGAATTCGGGACGTGTGTGGTTCCTGTTTGTATGTAGTGCGATTCCGGGAAAGCGGGCGTGAAGCCCAGCCCGGCTTGCGCACATCTACTCGCCAGTCTCTAAGCATCAGTAAAGCTGTTCGTTTTGCGTTTGGTTCTGCTGTTGCGCGTGTGATGTATATTTGGAGTGGGCGTCGCTTTTGTGTATGCGCACCGTTTGTGGCTTGTGCCGGCTTCGGATGCTGCGCATTCGCCTCTCTCCGGCGCTTCCTTCGTAGCGTATCATGCACTTCATGCGGTATTCGGCCTAGAAATGGTTAGGGAGTCAGGCTCCTAGTGGAGGTTGGGTTTGCGCTTCTTAGGGGACGGGCTTGTCGTTCGCCTTCATCGCTCGTAACAAGTTGGCCATCCTGGAGAGCGCTCCCAACGGCAGCTGCCTTCGGGTTCTGACGGCTCCTTCAGCGTCTTCTCACGCAGCGCATGCCACGGCAGACGCCGGCCGCATTGAACCCTTGCCGATCACCACCGATAGGATCTTCTTTGCTGGACCGAACAGACTCATCCTTCTGGGTGAGGACAAGGTAAGAGAGGCAGGGAGGCAGCCACGGCTAAGCGGTGCAGGCCTTCTTGCAACCAGGCGGGCTGCGGGCGAGCACGTGCGAAAAAGAGCCACATGGGTTCGCTCTTGTTATTGCACTTCAACTACGCGGTGGATGACTAGAGCAACAGCTGCTGCTGCTCCTACTGGCTGCACTTTTTGCTGCAGCAGAGGCTGTGCCGCGCACGCCGCCTTGTTGCTGCTTGTTGCTTTTCTTGAGCTGTCAACTCAACTACGGCAGCTGATCCATGGTGGTGATTCCCTCTGGGTTCTATCCTGTCATTGGCGCATTGCAGATGTACCTTTATGACATCCCGGCTCGTCGTCTGTCTCCCCCGTTAGCGCTGAACATTGGGGGTCCTGTGAGGACCGTGACGTGGGCGCCTGACATGCAACATTTGGCGCTGACGTCAAAACATTCTGTAGTATTGTTGCGCGCAAACTTTGCGGCCCTGTCTGCCTTGCCAATTGGAGCCACAGAAAAGGGAGTGGAGGCTCCCGAACCAGCCTTTAAGATCCTAGCCTCCCTCCACGAGAACATTCGTGTTAAAGGGGGAGTTTGGGACCCCGAGTTTGGTCAGCCAGCACACGGTGCAACTCTACCCCTATAACGTCGCGAGACTGAAAAACAGCCCTTTTGCTGTAACCTCAGACGTTCCCCCATGGGCAGGCTTTGCTTGCTTGGTTGCCTTCTGGTGCCCTGTTTCCCTTTATTGCGATTTGAGTGCAGGGTGAAATGAAGTGACTCAATTTCTACGGATGGCGTGCTGCTGCGTGTGTGCGGTCTGTGGTGTTTGGCTCGGCGCAGGAGGTTTCATTTACTCTACTCTGTCCCACGTGAAGTTCTGTATGACCAACGGAGACAGGGGCATCGTATATAGCCTGTCGGAGTCCATATATATAGTTTCGTGAGCCAGGCTTTTCCACTGTTCCTTGCCCCTGCCAGTCGGTATTCTGGGAACGACATACGCTTTCTGGACACGGGAGACAATGAGCCACTGAGACCTTGTCACCAGCACGATTTCGTATTGACCAGAACAGGAATGGCATGCAATGCTGCGACCTCAAGATGACGGCTCAGGTGTTTGGTTTTCTTGTGCGTCGGCGCTGTGGTTGCAGGGTGGTGCAGCAGCAGCTTCTATACTTAGACCGACGCGCACAACTGCATTGCAGAGCGTTGGCGTGCAATGACTATCTGTTTAGAGTGGCGTTAAGCCGCCGAGACTACATGAGGGTGAGGAGGGGCTCAGGAAGCGGCGTTTGCATGCTTTTGCGACTCTCATGTCTCTTTCATGTTCATCTTGGCGGCATCGATCGGAAGAATAGGGCTTTGGTTCCAGAACAACCCTTGGACGTTATGTCTTCTCCGTATCGCCTCAGGTTGCCCTCCTTGTCCGTTATGGCAACCTCTGTGGTAATGCACTCATCGGCTACTTGAAGGAGAAAGGATACTCTGAAGTGAGCACGCATTGGTACCGCGGATATTGCTGTGATTCTCTTGTTGGTGCTGCTGCTGTTGCCGTGGCTATCTTGTTGCTTTCGTGTATCTCACTGCTGTCCTCATTGGTGCGGCACTGCTCTCTTCCATTCTGTGGACAGTGCTGCTTTGCGTGCTCTGGCACTTGATCCTGCTGTCGCAGCTGTCTGGTGTGGCTGCTGCTATGAATGCTGCTTTTCTGGACTTTCGTCCCCGGGTGCGGTGAATGCTGCTTTAGTGGCCTTTTAGTGAATGCCTGTATTGTTTCCCTCGTGTTCGGGTGGGCGCAGATCGCTCTCGAGTTTCTGTCTGACTGCAAGTCGAAGTTTTTGATGTCTTTGGAGGTTGGTCGGATGGATGAGGCATTTGAAGCCGCTAAAGCTTTGAATGACAAGGTGAATTCTCCCCTTTCCATTGCCATAAACCTCCCTCTTTGCTCCGTGCGCGCGCACATTCAGGGATTTCAGTGCTTTCCGTTCGCTGTGACTTGTGGGCTTTTGTGGTGCTCCTGATACGCTGCACTACATACGTTCACAACTGCATCATTGGTTTGCGTGTTTGCACAACGTTGATGATCTCGACTCGCATGCCCTCTCCCAGTCTAACCCTCTGCACCCTTGTTTCGCGGAAATGCGCATGCGGAGCCAATACGTGACTTTGATCTGCTTTGGGTTTAGGCTGGATGGCGGCTGCTGGCGGATGCAGCAATGCAAGAGGGGCACTTCGGGCTTGCGGAAATTTGCCTCCAGAAGCTTAAGGCGTTTGAAAAGCTGTCGTTTTTGTATTTGCTTCTCGGGGATCGCGCCAAACTAAAGAAGATGTTGCATGTGTCCAAGTTGCTGCGGGAGCCACTGTTACGGCAGCACCAAGCCTTGCTGCTGGGAGACGCAGAAGAGCGAGTAGATGTTTTCATGGAAGCGCAGCATCCAGGGCTAGCATATCTTTGCGCGAAAGTGCACGGCCTGCAGGAGCTGGCTGAACAACTGAGGGGTTCCGTAGATGAGAAGGACGTTGAGGAGTTCCTACCCAAGACACCCGTAGCGCTCTTTCCCCCCTTACCCCTCATGAGGTGAGCTGCAAAGATCACGGGGACGCCAATGTTCTTTTTGTGAATGCGTGAAAGATCTTTATTCACGCGTGCATTTCCAGTTTGTTTATGCGTCCGTGTGAATGCTGCTATTTTTGCCTGCAAAGGCGTACGCGCCTACCGGCGAAGTGTAGGGTAGGTGTTGAACCGAGTCTAATTTGGCTTCCTAAGGGGCAGGTTCTCTCTAGGATATGCACCTTGCTTGTGTTGTTTACAGATTTGGGCCGGGAGAGGCTGCCACGTGGAAGCCTGCAGTTTCAGGAGAATTGTCTCCTTTTGCTGCCGCACTGCGTGCTGTTGATGAAATGGATCCTGAGACGGCTCAACTGATGCTGCACAAGGGTAAATTCTACTTTCTTGGAATCGTTTGCCGTATCCACCAACAGGCTCGGCTCTGTGGTCGATACTGCTAGAACTTCCATCTACAAGCAGCTCTGTTGCTTGTAGGTGGAAACTAGGGAGTGGCGAGTGAAAACAATGCATTTGAGGTTTGCCAGAGGAACAGCGTGCATTGTGAAGAGCCTCAGACATGCAAAACAGGTAACTGGTGCATGGTATGTTTTCGCCGTGGCCTGCGCAGGCATGGATAGGAATGAGACGGACATGATACCTGCAGGAAGGGCCGCTGGGACGGCAGGGGATTGGGGGGAGGCCGCGGGGGTTGGCAGCGATGAACTGGAAGACTTTGCTTCTGTTGGCGCAGCGGCAGAAGGGGAATGGAAGGACGCGATTGATATCGGGGTAGATGATGAGCCAGCTGTTTCCGGTGCTGGCGGAGCGGGGAATTTCCATGGGATCCTCAACGGGAAAGCAGGGGAGCTTCATGCAGATACACCTGGAACGGATCCCACAGCCGCTTGGAGGCAGAAAGCCATTCCATCGGATCTTGTTGTAGCAGGTAGTGCTCTCACAAAAGCATGGTTGATTGTCTGGCCTGCTTGCAAGCTTGATTCCTGTTCCTGTCGTATTGGTTGGCTTACAGTGTTCCAGAGGAATTGATCTTGGTTTGTTTGCTAGCCTAATTTGTGTGTAAATTTCCCCCTGTTACTGTCTACCATTGAGGTTTATCAAGCGACTATTTTTGTTGCAACAATCTCTACAAGCAGGTCAAAGGCATTCTGCGTAGATATCGGGTTACACATCGACGGCGGGGTTTTTCCGCTTACGGTTCGACTGCAGGAGACTTCACGGGAGCCATCCAGATGCTGAGGCGTCGTCTTGGCCTTCTGCGTGTTGCTCCATTTGAGGCTGTGTTCCAAAAGATCTACGAAGCTAGCTGGATTCAGCTGAAGGGTCACTCCTTTGCTCCGCCCCTGCATCTCCCCTTTACACGAGGGCAACCCTTCAAGACGGCAGCGCCCCCCCGCTTGATTAACAGTGCTTATATGCTTTCGCAAGTCAGAGAGGCCCACAAACTGGTTACTGGTACGTCCACATGCTTCGTATCCGTTCCCGGTGTAAGCTCGTCAATGGAGCCGTACTCGTTCGTATCTATAGAAACCCTTTACTTGTCGGCGTGTAGGGGGCAAGTTCGCCGAGGCTCTCGCTGCATTTCGAAAGGCCCTCATTACCCTTGCACTAGCAGTGGCGGAAAATCAAGAAGAGGAGCAACAGGTGAACAATACAGTATTTAATCATTACTGGATATACTCGTGCTAACCGCCCTTCATGCAGTCGAGGCTAGGTAGTCGCCAATGCCGTTCTCGCATCGTTGCGCGCTTTGCCTGTTTTTCATAGTCTCCCATTCCATCCGCGACGTGTGCTAAATTTACGTCTTTCTGTCTGCTGCTGCCGGTTCAGTTACTAGAGATGGTGGACATCTGTAGGACGTACATTACCGGCATGAAACTGGAGACAGAACGTCTGGCCCTGGCGGAATCTGACGCACAGCGCAGTATGCCAACCTTTTGCATATCCTGCACAAATATATCTGACGCTGATGTTGACTTTTGCATTGAGAGTTGTTCTAAATCTACGTGCGCCGACAGATGCATGGATGTCCGTGCCTCCCCTGCTTTGGTAAGCAAGGAATCAACGTCCCGGGATCGTCCATATGCTTGTGGCATATGCCTTGGAGTTTCGCATTCTGTTACATGCAGACCTAGAGCTCGTCGCGTATTTTAGCTGCTGCCGCTTGCAACCGTCACACTCCTTCCTCGTCCTCCGTAGAGCGATGAGTGTAGCATGGAAAGCGCAGAATTTCATCACTGCTGCATCCGTACGTCCGCACCCTCCATTAGGACACGTGCCTCTTGATTTCGGGACCACAGGGAGTACATAATCGCGGGTTTTGCCTCCGTTCTTGTTGAATGCGTAGTGTGATTTTGGAGGTTGCTTTTTTTGCAGTTTGCTCGCCGACTGCTTTCGGGAACGTACTCGGATTTAAAAGGCGCACCAGAAGAGCTGGCAAAGGCAAAGAAAGTCCTGCTGCTTTGCGAGCAGAAAGGAACCGACGCCATTAACATAAATTATGAACCTGGAGAAGCAGGTGAGCATAAGGAACTATGCACAAGAATTCGCTGCAAAACAACCGCAGAGCGGGCAACCATCCGGTGCCGCCCATCAAAACGTTTACGTCGTATATGAGAAATCCCGGTTGACATGGATGTTGATACCACCTGCGCAGTGCAAAGGGGTGATTGAATACAGGAGAAGCAGGGAGCTTGGCACTTCTTTTGTTTGCTGTTTGCACAGAAAATATGTTGCTCTGCACGTCAACGCTGACGCGGCTGAACCCCGGCACCCCTGTCGTTCGCTGCGGTTTCTGCGGGGCAGTTGCCCAGCAACGTCTGCAAGGAGGGTTGTGTAGAGTTTGCGAGGTTTCGGAGCTTGGCGCCAGAGTGAGCTACCCATGGTCTTGCATCACTGTACCTTTGCTGGATGTTTCTTCGTGAATTAGTTGATCCATTCTGTAGAGATGCAGGCTTGTGAGAATGATTGTCTTTTTTCCCTACTGTGTGCGGCTACTGCTGCTCGCAGGTGGTTGGCATTCAGTTCCTCCCGATTGTCTGAGTTGCATGGTAGCTAGCTGCGCCTCGTCAGGAGAGGCAAGAGCCTTTCCATTCTCCACGGCAACAGAGCGGTTGTGGTGGTTGTGTTTGGAGCAATTCATCACTAGTGCCGAGTCTAGTCAGACATTACTATGCAATGTTCGAACGGGATACAGCTTTAAATTCAGATCTCCACTATAGAACTGCCATTTCTTTTTAAGGCACTTACGCAATTAAGCGGTGACAAAATGAACACATCCTGTGAGTAAACATGGGAGATGCGTGGTACTTTCGCTTTGAAGATGAAGGAAAACAAACATGGCGCAGTAGAGCATGCGGCACACTGCAGCGTAGAGTAGTTGGTTGGTATGTAGGTATTGAGCTCTTTGCAGAACTTTTGTGTCTTAGTCACCGAGCAGGGCAAATAGATGCGCTTGCTTCGCTTCTGCTATGAGCACGCTTGCGTCTGACATCTCATCTAGTCTGCCCGGTCGCACTGTGCACCGGAGCCTGGAGTTGCAGAGTCGGACTGCGACGTGTTAACTGTTGCACGTAAGTGTACAGGGAACTCGAAATTGACGACGTTTCAGTAAATGCTTCTGTTTGACTACAGACGCACTCCACCATATGCTTCCTCAGTGTTCTCCGTGCTTCGTTGTCCGCTGGCTTCGCGCGGGCTGCATTGACACGGGAGCTGAATTCAAGAGTTCGGCCCCCCTACACGTAACAGCAGGGTCAGCAGCCTCTGCTGCATGCATTGGCAGTACAAAGTGACGGAAACGGCCATAGAGTCACTCACGGACCTCCGCAAGAATCATACCTAGTGCGTAGAGCACGCAACCATAGAGCTATCTACGACCTGAGCCTTAATTGCCTGACGCTGAGTACAGTTCGCGCTAAAAACGTCCAATGGAACTTAGCTGCAGCGGCCACTGAGGTTGCCGGCTGACCCGTACTACAAGGCCGTTACAATAGATGCGCACAGAAATGCACAAATGCAGCGTTTCTCTGTCATCAACAGGACCCTGTGAAAGAAGCTGCGTTGCCAGTAGAGGCGGCAAGTCTCTTAAGCGTATGTGCTCCTGAAGTGACTGATGCGCTGCGCCAGACGAGGATTCCGAAAAGATCGAAGATGTTACAGATTTTAGTACCTGAATCGTTTTGTATTCGCCGCATGCATTGCCTCGGACCGCCCCGTATACGAGCTTGTGCGACTGCTTTGCGAAATTGACCGGGCTAGCCCGTCTCCGAAAGCGTCTGTCTCCATCTCGTTTTGTCCCTCCCCCTCTGTTGCATGCAGGCGGGTGATACGCCACTTCCACTTGTTTTCTTCGTCACTCCAGTCGGCTATGGCTTCATGATCTGGCCCCAAGTTCCCTGAGCCATTCGCAAAATAACGCCCGCATATCCAAGGGGAAGTGAAGTTAAAACGAAATTAACGTCATCGAAGCCCATTCAAACATGTTTGGCAACACCCCGTCAGGCGTGGACGGGGTAGGATTATATTTTCGCCTGAATGACTGCGACGAATTCCGCGATTTTCGAAACCCATGCACTGCACTTTGTAACAACATGCACAAGAATTTTAACTGCTCCTATGCAGTGGTTCTGCGTTCCTTATGCTTCATTATCACAAAGGAATACGGGGGAGTAGGAAAAGCAAAAAGACAAGAATGACCACGCATGCTGCGTGAATTGATTCGAACCGCTGAGCAGCATGACGGAGAGTTCAGAAACGATGTGCTTCTCGAGGTATCGCTTGAGGGGTCGAGCCCCAAATGCTGGATCAAACGCTTCTTCTAGAGCATGTTCCAACGCCCTGTCGGTCAGTTGCAAGTCAATGCGCTTCTCGCGAAGGCGGTGCCGAACTTCCTCGACTTGAAGCCGCATCACCTGCATAAGCGTGAGCTCGTCGCATGTGAAAAGATAAAGAATATTATGAAGGGAAGACACACGAACAATAGATGCGGTGTACGGTCAATAAAGGGCTAACGTCCATGAATTGCCATCATGTTAGCTGGTGTTAGTATGCGCATGCGCAGTTATACACGCATATTCGCCGACGACTTTTCAGGCCTCAAGGAGCGAACTTTAGATGCCATTGGGTTGGGATAATGCATGTCGTGAGAAAGTCTGGTCCTGTAGGTTTTACCGCTTTGAGATCGCTATCGCTCAGCGCTTTGAAGGCAACAATGTCGTCCAGGCGATTGAGCAGTTCCGGTCTGAACAATTGCCGCACTTCCTTCATCACTTTTGCAAAAGCTTCAGCGAAGATCGCCTCTGCTTTTTCCGGGCCTGTAATTCACACAAAACGTGGTCTTCTTGAGATTTATGCTACTACTGTCAGGCAATAACAGCCAAGTAAAGCTCCCTGCGCAAGCTTACGACACACCTAGATTGTTGAGGCAAAAACTGGAACCTTGCAGGTCCATAGTTTCTATGCTGGCGTCCCCACTTAAAGTCTTTTAGGGACTGATTCTGCATAATGCAATCCTAAACGGTACCAATAAACGAAAAACCTTACTAAATGCCTATTGTACAACGTGATTCGTCTAAAGCAGATGGCTCCCTACCAGCTATGGAGCATTTTTCCGATGCTGCCAGGAGATGATGGGCACCAATGTTGGAGGTCAAGATGAGCAAGCAATTTGAGAAGTCAACAGTGCGACCTTGAGAGTCAGTGAGGCGCCCTTCGTCAAGCACTTGGAGGAGTACATTCCACACCTGAGGCAATGCCGCAAATACCTTTAAAGCGAGATTTAAAGGAGCACAAACAACGACATTTACCAAGTTTGCAGGGGAGGCGTAGTTGTGCATTGTACGGGGAGTGCTCCGCCCTCTGGGATCCATTGCATTCTGTGCCTCAATATGAAGCGGCTGGTAGGTTATTCCACTTTTGCCACAATTGCTGCACCTTACTTGATGATGAGCCTTCTCCACTTCATCCAGTAGCACCACTGAGTAGGGATTGCGCCTGACTGCCTCTGTAAGTTGCCCGCCTTCTTCGTGGCCAACGTACCCCGGTGGCGCCCCAATAAGTCTGGCAACAGAATGAGCTTCCATGTACTCTGACATATCCAGTCGCACAATTCGTTCCTTTGTGTCGAATAACTCTTCAGCCACAGCTTTGCATAACTCTGTCTTCCCGACGCCGGTCTGTTGCGAAGAAAAACAACATTAAATCGGCACGAGAATAGTCGCATCAACGCCGACGCAGGCTCATCGTTGTTGGGGTCTTTGGCGGGGAAGAGGGAATGAAAGGACTAACAAGCCAACCGAGAAATGGCTTCATTAGTAGTGGGGCTCCGGGCAAATTCAGCTAAGTTTCACATAACGCACCGGGCCCAGGAAAAGGAAACTTCCGATGGGTTTATTGCGCCTGGCGAGGCCGGCAGCTGATCTCAATATGGACTCAGACACTGCGATTACAGCTGGAAGCTGGCCAACGACACGCTGTGACAGCTTTTCTTTGAGGCGTAGCAGTCTCTCCTTTTCTGTCTGCGTCAACTTCTGCACGGGAATATTCGTCCAGCGATGCACAACGTCAGCTATCTGCTCCGGACCAACTACCTGCGCCACAGTGAGAAGAGTGAGAAGACAAAGTCTGTCAGGTCGAGGCCATTTCAGTCCCTGTTCATACAGGTGCAGCTGTAGGGAACACACTGCAAAACTCCATACTGAACTGCTATTCTATGACGCGCATCTGGCATCCACGATTCTACGCCATGCGTTTCCTACTAGAAAATGCATTGCACGACAGGGAGCATACCGCACCTCTGTTAACAAAGGCTTGTGCGTTTTCTCATACGTCTCCTGCACCTTGCGCAACTCCATCAGACGTTTCTGGAGTCCAGGAAGTGCGTCATACCGCAGCTCTGCCACGAGGTCCATTTGACCGAGCCTCTCAGCCTTTTCAATCTTTGCTTTCAACTCGTCCTCTTTCAAAGCAAGCTGCCGCAACTCATCAAGCGTTTCTTTTTCGCGGGTGTACTGGAGCTGAAGAGGTTTCAGTGTTTCCCTGTGTTTTGCAATCTCTTGTCGGACCTCTGTGAGGCGCTCTTGAGACGCAGCATCGCTTTCTTTTGACAAGGCTGTCGCCTCAACCTCTGAAGAGAAGCACATGTGGGGAAGCACAAGCTGCTGCTCCACATCAACCGTCTGGTGTCAAAGCAAAGGTCAGATGTTCCACAGGATAATACGTGAGATATGCAACGGGGAAGAGACTACGGCGAGAATTTCCCCTGAAGCGTAGCTTAGGTCCAAGTTGCGCAGCACAGTTGAACAACAAAAAAAGCGTACCTAGCTGGAATATAAGTCGTTCCAGGCGATCCATAATTTCCGGCTTGCTGTCAACCTGGACGCGAGCGATGGCACAAGCCTCGTCCATGAGATCTATGGCCTTATCAGGTAGAAACCTGGATGTAATGTACCGGTCCTGCGTAAGCAATTCAGGGCGCGCACAGCACCAGAAAGCAACAACAGCTACAAACCTGAGTTTTCCAGATAAGGCGCACCGACGAAATATATCAAATCCCACGTCTTGACGCAGTACTTCCAAGTCTTGCACGCGGTGCTGTTGGTGAGGCAAAAAATCCGAAATACCGCTTGACTCCCGACATTAACGGGTATTTTACCGTGCCTGCTCACCGCCAGCTGAGCCGCCTCTACAAGGGCACTGTCCAATATTCGCACGCCGTGATGTGCAGCATAGCGATCTTTCAAGCCTCTAAGAATAGAAATAGTTGCCGAGACAGATGGCTCATGAACATGCACCTGCTGAAAGCGTCTCTCAAAAGCAGCGTCCTTCTCCACGTGCTTTCGGTATTCATCGAGAGTCGTTGCCCCAATGCAACGAAGCTCCCCTCTAGGAAGAAAGCACATAAAACCTTGAAGCCTCCCGTAATTTAGCTGTGTTCATTGTCAGTACCAGGGTGATGCACAAATTCACTTTCGAAGTGACGCAACTGGTACACACTAAAAAGCTTGGTGACGCACAAAACAGCTTGTGCACCCCCGCCAGGACAACGCCGATGCTGCTGTTATCGGCCCGTCACCTAGTATCCATATGCCACTACAGTCTAGGCCAAGATGGTGTGCAGCTGTCGGTGAAGGGCCATGCCAAGCACTGCGGGGAAGAGGTACCTTGCGAGCATTGGCTTTAAAAGATTTGCAGCATCCATGGCTCCGTCTGTCTTGCCGGCCCCCATGACCATGTGAATTTCATCAATGAAGAGAATAACCGAACCCTCTGCATTCTTTACCTCCATCAATACTGCTTTAAGGCGCTCCTCGAACTCCCCGCGGTACTTAGCTCCAGAAATGAGAGCTCCCAAGTCAAGCGATATCACTCGGCACCGCAGTGAGGACGGCACATCACCCTCGACAACGCGTCTGGCCAGCCCCTCCACAATTGCGGACTTCCCCACACCTGATCATTAGACACTTAGCCTGAATTCACCGCACGTTTGCTGCGTTACTGGATGGATGAAGCTAACCCTACCACTGTACGGAGGAGACCGCTGCTCACCTGGCTCGCCAATTAGGACAGGATTGTTCTTTGTTCTCCTGCAAAGAATGCGAATGACCCTTCTGATTTCCTCATCTCTACCAATCACAGGATCCAGCTTCCCCTGCTCTGCTAAGTCAGTGAAGTCTATTCCATATTTCGTTAGCGCATCGAAGTTCTGGTCCGCCCCTTCGCCTGTCACTCGCGCTCCGGCGCGAATTTTCATGCAAACTTCCTTCAACTTCTTGAAATCGCAGCCAGCTGCCTGAAGAGCATGCTTGACCGTGCGGTTTTCACATACCGCCAACAGCAAATGGTCAACCGCTAGGTGAGTGTCCTCTGCATGACAAATCACCACAACAAATTCACCTCCCCCAGCCGTTTTGCTTGTATAAAGATGCTCCAACTGGGGGAATAGTGGATAGAAAAGAGGTCGGCAGAGACCAGAACACGCTGTGGCTGAGTCGCGTGAATGGCATTGCACAAATCAAGGGCAGGCCCCGTGGCGACGAGTGCGCAGAAGCGGAAGTATACTCGCCTTAGTGGTATTGGGGCTTACTCATCTCAGTCTGAATGGTTTTCGCCTGGCGAAACACAGCTGTGCATGCATGGTTGGGCCCTATGTATTCCGGTGGGGGATTCTGTGCTGGGAACTTCGAAATTTCGAGATCTACTTGTTCATGAAGAAGTGGCAGGTCAGCACCGACCCTCCGCAGCGCCTGGGTAGGGAGCTGCTGCGGATCTTGTAGGAGTGCAGCTAAGAGGTGAAGCGGGTCGATTTGTGGAGCTCCACGTTCCCGGCATATGTCCTGTGCTGTAGTGTACACCTTCCTCACCAACCCGGTCCAGGAAGCTGGATCCATCTTGACCTGATGCGGGTTACTATTCTTTCTGACTCCTTATTATTATATTTGCCTCTTTTGACCCAGTTGCAAGGGGAATTACGTGCGTCCAATGACGGGTTTGCGAAGACCTGGCTAAAGCGACCCACAAGCAAATAACAGCTCGACGTGAATGGCCACTAATTATGAACAGGCTCTAATAAACGAAATGGTAAAGCAGTTTAGAAGAATTCTTCTTCACGGCTTTGTTTCAGCCATAACCACTAGCATACTGCGCGTGCTGCTTCAAGCCCACTTGTATCACTCAGTGACGACGTGCTAGTGGAGCAGGAGGGCTACGGCTCTAAACAAAGCTATTTAGCTAATATCCTACGCATTACCAATACTGGTGTAGTATCCTAACAACTCATCCACTAAAGTTCGTTGCACACGGCAGCATTTCAATCAGTTAAGCGAACGTGAGTTTGCGTGCAGTTCTGAGTGAAACGCGCCACTGGTTTCCTTCCTTTGTTGTTCCGGTGTCCTCACCCGCGCTTACGTTCAGTTTGAATTAATAAATTACTTTAAAAATGTGTATTGCCCTACTTTAACCCAGTGCTCGCACTTTTTTGGTAGGTTTGCCGTCGGAGCTGCGGTTACGACAGTGTACCACTTTACCAGTTGGCTGCCCGCCAAAACCGATTGTCAGTCACACTTCAGTCAAGTAAAAAATTTAACTTTTACAAAGAAGAAAAATTATCAGTGCTTCTCATGTATCTATCCAATTTTAAGGCTGTCCGGTCTGCTGTGTCTTCCACTCACTTTGTCTCCATTTGCTGAAATGCTTGTACCCCTGGGCAATTTGACCGAGACGCGATTGCGTCGCTGCTAAACTGGCGGAAAACATGTTAAAATACAAACCTTTAATAGCTAGCGAAACCATAAGAAGCAAACCCAAATTCTGACGGCTTTCACTAGCCGCTGCACGATGTGTCCTGGTTGGCTGGAAGGTGGGGTTGCGCATTTCGTTAAGCGCAGCACCCAAACCCCAATTCATGAACTTATTACATGCTCTGAGAGTGCACTAATTGTTGATTGGAGCCAGGGGCGTGCATTACGGGACAAGATGCGTAGTGTCCAGCACAATCACCTTCTGCATTGTAACCAAGCAATAGGCCGGTCGGTGCGCAGTGTGGCTATGACAAGTTAGAACATGGATTCCAGTTCAGTGATTTAGCTCCCCACTTGTGTGCTCTAATTCAGTGCCCTATTTCAGAATAAAAATTCAACACGCCCGTTCAAGGTCGTATTTCGTATTTCTTTGCAATAGTTAGTGCTCTAATTCAACGCCCTACGTGCGGCTCGCTACTTAGCTATTCCAAAAACATAAATCCAATACAGTGGTTCTAGACGCTCGTTCAGTTGCGGTTCTAAACTTACGTTGGTGTGGTCCTCTGCAGTTGTGGTCGTATCCTAAAGGTCAGTATGGCACACAAAATTTTCTACATGGTGTAGAACATCACACCGCGCATGTTTGAGAACTGATGCAATTTCCTGTACGGGAGATACTGAAGTCAGTATGCTCGCATTGAAATTGACCAGCTCCGTAACAGTTGCCACAGTCTTGCCACAAAGCCGGTCAGGGAAAGCAGATGACTCCCACAATAAAGGCTCATGAAAGGTCAGCAGAGAAGGACCTTGTGCAGAACCGACAGGTATACTGTCCTAACTGAACCTGAATTGTTGACTGCTTATATCTACTCCAAGAAACTCGACAACAACCAAGGTGCGGGCTTATTCTAATACGAACGAATCATTATTTTGCCTCCACTTTCGGTTTTGCAGTAATTAGGGCACTCATGGAAAGTTTGGTCTCGGGGCTGTGCTACATCTAAGCTGTTGCGTGGACGGTTCTACACCCACAAGGACGAGGTATGTCATTGTTTTCCAAATGGCGCTATGGATAGACACGCAATCTGATAAGTGTAACTAGCTCGGGTAGGAAAAATCAGAACGATGTTGACCACTTACTGGCCACAGTGTGCAGGTCTGTAAGCCCTTCCTCGCCCGGATAAGGAATGGCTTTACCATGGATGGCTGCGGTCTGCATTTCGCTTGAATACGCAATAAAAAAACGGTTGCACGCCAGCTCCGCTCGGTAACTTCAACGTAAAAGACACCAAATGCAATGAGGAAGGAGTACCGGACAACTTCTCTTGGCCGCATCACTTCGAGGTTTCGACTGAGTACGGCAAAGTCTCAAGGCCCTCCTGCTCCCCTTCCTCAGGCATGCGCTTCGAAGGGTTCAAATCGCGCAGTGGCTCTTGCTTGAGACATTGGAAGGGTTTCGTTCGGGGAAGCAACATACCCTGCGTGAGGATGCTTCTCAGCGAGGGATGATCCAAAGGCAGTGCTGCTCCGAGAGTTCTTAAGAATAAGAGAAAGCTCTGCAAATATCGTTCCAAACAATATACAAGCAACGTCCACTCTTAAAGGAGTGCGTGCAATGTGACGCTACGCAAAATGTCTCCTACAGCACTCGTCAAAAAGATTCAGGTAAAAGCACCGTGTTCTAGCTGAAGTGCACCTCCTGCATTAATGGCACTTGGCCTGTGCAGTCAAACTGACAAAGATTTTGCAAAGACTGTCATGCACCCTCATTCTTTCACGGCTGCAGACTGAAGCGGGGAGTTTCGTCATGGACGAAATGGTGTATGTGCGTTTCAGAGGAACTTGGCACTCACACTCCACGTTGGTGAGGCGTCAGCAAGTGCGTGGGCATTTCCAACAATAATAAGGCCTTTACTAGCCCTCGACAATGCAACATTAATCCGCCGAGGGTCAAAGAGGAAGAATTCCCGAAGACTCTGCGAAATGCAAGCACCGAACGGGTGGAAAAGCTCCTTAGGTATTCTAAAGTAAGCAAAAAAACACAGGAGAGCGAGGAAGAAAAGTGTTCATCTTCGTGGGTGTATGACTCATTTTGTGAAATGAGCAGTGCGTCTGTGGGAAGTATGTACTGCAACCTACACTCATAGAATTGCACACTGTATGCACGCTTGTGCGCTTGCCAATGCACAGTTCGCCAGCTACTTCCAACCTGCTAAGGGTTAAGATGGTCCTGATGGCAAGCTTTGCATACCTTACGAGACCCCTTGACAGTGGATAGTATGATGTACTCTCTCTCATGGCCTTGGAATCCGTCCACTGTAAAGACCTGCGGGTGCGGGCGGCACCTCTCGTCCAGCACATCCAGCGCCTGGGCAGTAAAGTACAAGGGTGTCACAGCATGCAGGGAGGAAAGCCACTTAACACAATTCACAGGCAAAAGAAAGGAGCCAACACGCGCTGGGCTGCCTACACCTGCATTCCTACAAAGACTTCAGCTGGGTAGCAACCAGCATAAAGAGGAATGCCTCCTCCACACCAGTAACCTCACAGGCTGAACGAATGAGAGGCGATTTGACCGCTTGTGTATCCCTCGGGCGTTACTTTCCCCCTCCTGAGTTGGATGAGCACAGCAAGCAAACAGTACAACCGGAATGCTCGGTGTGTTCTGACGGCCCTGATAATCCCACACTGCTACGAAATGTATGGTAGCAACTAGACCTACCACGGGATGTAGTACGCGAGAGAGGAGCTGCGCCTGAGCTTGGTAGGGAGTCAGCACTGCAATATCATGCTTTGAAGCGCCGCAGCTGACTAACGCATCTATGCACCTGTACACCATGAACGCCTCCCTAAAAGAGTGGCACCAGACAGAGAAACATCCGAGAGTGACGAACTACCGAGCAGTACACACAGACCCACTAAGTCTAAATCCCCAACATACAGCGATAAAACTGAACCCAGCTGAACCGGAAGGGCGGTCACCGAATAGGCCCGGTACCGCATCTTCCCCACTACAAGTCTCGTTACCAATAGGAAGTAATGCTAGCCAACTACAGAGGCAATGTGAAGTTGCAGGACTGGAACAGCGAATACGGACAGCGGATTTTGAAGGGAACTTTTGATGCGCTGCTCCGCAGGCAGGCTCTTCACAAGTGGTTTGCAGCCGTCTGCGCTACGTGCTGTTCTTGCGGCATCGGCTGGAATAATAGTGGGTGCTTCGCCTTCCGCTGTTGAAGGCGGCAACGTGATCTTTGCCAGTCTTCTGGAAGGCCCTGACGCCCAAGGCGATGTGTCTAAGAACAGAATGGGAAGGACGTCGGGGATGGAGTACCGATGCAGCTCCTCCACCCAACGCGATGATGGGGATGCTTGCCCGGCAGATTTGCATCGTGCAACTAGCTGCTCCACGAGCCTCTTGGCAAGATCTCTGTCGCCTTCACTGCCGTCGGGCCACGGGAAACGGCACTCATTCTGAGTCTTCTTCTGGGATTTGACTGCAACCGTCATTTTCCCTCCAATGGAGTCTCGACAGTGCAACGACGCCGTTTCCCCCAAACGGGTACATCTCTCACTGGTGTCTTGGCAAGCCGTTCTGCTGAAATGTGGAGATGCACTCAGGTGCTGGGGGGAATCCAACAGCGGCGCCAAATCAACGCCTCCATACATTTGCAGTGGCCGCTGCTGAATCTGCTGCTGGCGCTGTAGAAGTTGTTTTGACGGTAACGGGCACTCCTGAAAAGACGACGGGCCTGCTCGCGATGGATGCGTTAGCAGCTTGCCCTCATAAAAGTGAGAAGATATGAATGCCGCAAGGAGGGGAGGCATTCGGAATTGGAGGTTGAGCAGCACCGACCTACAGGCGCCGCCTGCACATCCAGCCGCAGCACAGCTTTTGCGCCTCGCATGATAATCTGCCAGGGGACACATGAGACGAGAGATCGAGCAAACGCCTCAAATGACGGCCCTTACTGACCCTTAAGGGCGCTAAAGAAAGAGCGAGAAGAGGAGGACGCCGGCAGAGCTGTTGGTGGCGGCAGCTGTCGCTCATCGCCAATCAACACCACCACGTCAGCTCCGTTGACCAAAGACCCAAGGCCTGCAAACTCTGCAGCAAAGAGCAGCAACCTCCAAAATGCGTCCAATAAAAATTCTACAAGGGAACCAAAATTGAGCATGCGAGATAGGCTTTTTGCCTGGCAGCTCCAAGGAGCATCCCGAAGAATGGCGAAAGGTAGAGGCCACCACACGGAAAGCAGAACTACTGTGTTGCGATTCCGTGCCGCATAAGATGGCCGAAGCCTGCCCCGATTATCCTTGCAGTGCATCTCCATTCAACTAAAGCGAACCCCAGGTATTGCCGAAGGGTTAGAGGGACCGAAAACATGTACCGTAATCACTGTAGTCTCTGGAGAGAAGCTGCCACAAGGGGAAAAACGGGTTAAAAGGCAAAGCTTAATAGGGCCAAACCGCGTCGAAAAATGAACACAGCTCAAAACGCAGCGCTTTCAACAGGCCAGCGCGGAGGAACAAGCGAACTGGCTCGGGGTGCGAAGGGCTGACAGCTACAGCATCTACCATCTGTGGCACTCTGGTCAGAGGGGAGCAAAAGCAGAACTCAAGAATCATACTGATTAAGGAACAAAAATACCTGTGAGCTGGGAGCTTTCATCTACAAGAAGCCGGCGAGGGTGCAACTTCAATTTGGATAGGCGATGACCCTTTGTCACACAATCCGGCAGCAGATGCATCAACGTAGAACAACACATACTACCACCACACCCTGCTTTGCTAGCAGGGTCTTGGCGACCAGCAACACACAAGAGCGTCAGGCTTGTCTATACTCCAATGAACCCAGCACAGCCAGCCACACACTGGCAGTTCCTCCTTGCCGCTGCGAAGAGTAGCTGAAACAGCAATAATGGGAGGAATAAAAGCACTTAACTTTCGGATTACCTGATATATTGTGTCCAGTAGCACAGGTGCCTACGCAAACGCACCGGAGGACACCGCAATAGTCAATGAGCGAATAACATCTTTCCTCAACGTCTAATTGTCCCGAGGCCCTCGCATAAGGAATTAGAACTGTATGTTAGACCTCAACGAGAAGCGAAACCACCAGAAGAGACGGCTTCTGCTTACTCTGCGTGGAGGCGTTGCGGCCTGCAACGCTTCGAGCACCGCTGCTTCATCTGATAGGCGGACCGTCTCTACACCTATACCCCCCGCAAAAAGTACACAGGAACCACTGTATCCGAGGAGAATGCATTGGAGCACCGGCCAGGCTCCATTTGTTGTGGAGTCTGCAACTCTTGCACAATCTATGCGGTGAAAGCGCTGTTTGGCGTACCCTCTTGGTCAAGCTTGTTCTTTAGCGAACGAAGGGCTGCATGAGTCCCCGCAGCAACGAAAATGGGCGTTCTGCATGCGCATTTGGTGTCCTCGCAGCGTGCATCAGAAGTGTAGGTACACCTCGAGAGCCATTCACGAACTATAGACGCAGCAACAGCTGTCTTCCCTGTTCCAGGAGGTCCTACGGCAGTAGCACAGCCCGCAGCAAAATCGGCAGCACCCAGCTCGCCACAATCAACCTGCCACCTTCCTGCAGGGTGAAAACATGTTCACGGCTTGGCCAATAGCCACTAACTACAAATGCTTGAACTGTGTTTCTAAAAGATGCCGCGTAACATATTTGACGTTAACTGCACTCCAGCATTAAAGAACTCCGCTGCCTGCCTTCTATGGTCACGATGCGGGTTCCTTGCGATGTAGCTGCAGAGACGGCTTCTCGCTGTCGGGGCGTCAAGAAGCTAAAAGAGGTTTCCAACGCTGCTCCCCCCTCTTCTGCCGCCTGCGCTGCTGCTGATGCTGCTGCGTCAGAAAGTCCTGTCCAATGTAATGCTGGGATTGCTTGTGAATCGAGAACACGATGGGACGACTCCGTTTTCCTATCGATGACCAGCGAAGGAAGACATGTACTCGTTTGGACAGAACTGTAGGTGTTGTCACCTTCTCTAGCTGTCAACACTTCCAAAATACGATTTTCACAGAGGTGTTTCGCTGCTGCTGATGCTGATTCTGCTGCTGTAGATGCTATTGCACCATTATCTGCAGGCAATAGCTGCAGTGAAGTGCTTTCAGCCAGACGTGCAAGCGCCTCAACTTGACGAGTATGAACAGCTGCAATAAATGATACAGGCATTGCCCAAAACCTCGCCCCTGCAGAAAGTGTGAAACCTTCCTTTTCTACGCCCTGCAGGCGAGGCTTTGCGGGCTCTTCACTTGGTCCAGGAGCAATTTCTGGTTTTTCAAAAGGTGCTGCATTGCTGTTGCCGCACGAGCCAAAACCAGGAGCTGTTGATTCTGGAAAGGGATGCACACAGACTTTAATATTCGGCAGCTTGCTGCTGCTGCACACGGATGCGATGAAAGTAGGGGATGCCAATGCAAATCTGTTGGCTCCCCAAGAGGTCGCCTGATAAACAGCACAAACATTCCTCAGGTTTGCGCAACTGCGGAACCCATCAATGCCCCTAAAGGCGAGCACGAGCAGGTGGAATCTTAGAAGAATGAGCATGAACGGCAATAAATACGGTGGGGGCAATCACGGGCTAACCGTCGTACCGTCTCCAGTTGCTTTAGCACACGACGCACATCTCCATAATCGGGCTGCTCGTGCTGCTTCACATCGCCGGCAGGTGACCCTTCTACACAGGGTGCGCCACAAAATTGTGTCTGCCCACTTGTTCCTTCTGTCGACACTGTTTCTGCTGCTGTAACTGCAGTTGATGGCACCTCGCAATCTGCACAGCTCAAGGTGCCCCAAATCAGCTCATCCGCTGACACAAGAAGGGAGCGACCGCAGACCACGCAGCGGACACGGTGCTTCCCTCGTCCACTTTTTAGCAGCTCCTGCAGCACCAGCGGCAGCGGCTGCTGTTGCGTTCTCCTCAGGCACTTTTCATCACCTTTGTAGACAAGCGTGGGCTCTAACACAGCTGGGCGTGAAGACGTTGCATTCACAGTTAATTCTGCAGTGGCAGCTGCTGCTTGCGCTATGACATAAGAGAAGTCAAAAGAGTCACCGTGAAGCAGCCGAAGTTCTTTCGCCAGCAACGCTGAGGCCTGAGCTCACAATATTATCCCCGGTGATAAGCACTGACTACAGAACAACCGGCCGAAACAAAGCGAAAGTAGAAAGGCCAACACCCACTAAAGCAACAGCATCAAAACTGGGCTCGTGAAGATCATCAGCCACAAAGGGAACGGCAAGAACAATATCTACAACAAATGCAGCAGCCACAGTATTTAAAAAAGCAAAACTCACTTCGTCAACGGGCTTAAGAATAAGTAGAGAGCCGCTTTCTAGCTGCTTCCAGACGCTCTTTTGTCGGCTAGATGGGTCATGGAGAGGCCCTTCGATGGCGGTGAAGCTCCAACGTGGAGCAGCACGTCCAGCGCGTAGAGGCGCACCTTCTGCCGTGGCCTCAAGGAGGAAGCTGTCCGCGCAGTCGAAGTCTCGTAGGCTCTGCAGAAACAACAGTATCAGCAGCAGCAATCCCACCTATCACACACTAGGCCAAGAGTAGTGGCTAGCTAAGACTGTGGCTAGCTCCACAATATGAATGGGAGACTGTCGCCTCCGAAGCCATGTAGTGCCGAGCTAGCATAAGCGCGTGCCACAAGCGACTGCTTCAGCATGAGTACGACGGTAGTACCCTGCCCCACCTGCATCAACTGCGCCCCCTTTTCCAGTGCAAGCATAGCCAAACCATCCTCCACATATGCGAGATGACGTGCAGCGCGCGCAGCTGTTGCCGAATGCAGATCATCCAAGGCCCCGCTAAGTTCAGTCATGCCTCCAGCTCCCGCTGTTGCTGCACTTGTACCTTTTGGTGCACGCCTTTCCACTCCCAGACGAACACGTTTCCTCAAGATGGAGACGGAAGCTTCCGTGGCATGCGGATGCAAGGCAGCTGCTTCCAGCAGACGCAGTAGTTGCCGGAAGCTAACGAAAAAGTCTCCATGTCCTGCAAAAGCAGCAGCAACGGCCCCAGCAATAGGGGCAACAACAAAGATAGCCTATTGGCCTGCGCATTGATCGTAAGCGAGGGGCAAATGGGCAACAAGGGGAAACTCTTCCACAGGAAGTGCCCACAGACCCAGTGAGAGTTGCAGAGCTCAATCAACGCAACAAATGGCAATGAATGCTCACCGGATGCTGCGCGGTTCTTGCCGTGCTTCTTGCAAATGGGAGGAAACTTCAGCAGCAGCTCCTGCCGCCGCTGCGGATCCGCCTCACAGAGAAGAAGCAGCCACTTTTTCCAAACAGACGCAGTGCTTAATGAGCAGCTGCTACAAGCAGGCACAACTGCCACTGTACCAATGCCTACTGCAGTCGTTTTGGCCGGAGTTCCACTTGGTGAGGCATTATTTGGGTTCGGGGTTCCTACTAACGTATCCCTTCGTGAGGCTCCATTGGCTGCAGCAGTTCCTGCAGCGCTCGCCGACGCAACTGAAGATGATGCAGTGCCGCCACACTCAGCCCCAGCATTGGATCTTGCTGATAATCTTCTTTGAATAGCTTCGGGGCCTCCCTGGCTAATCCTAGAATGTGCATGGCCGTCGGTAGGCGCCAAACCCAAGGTACCCGCAGGAGCTGCGAGCGCGGTAGGAACAATACCATTGGGCGATTGGCCCTTTTGAAACGCCTCGTTGTGTTGACCCTCCATGCATGTATGATCCGGATGTTTCTGTTGCGGTTGTTGCAGTTCCTGCGACCACTGTAGATACGCTGGCTCGAAGAGGTCGCTGTTTAAAGGTGGCTCACTGCGGACGCCTATTGCACGGCCATCCGCGTTTAAAAGGCCTCCGAATGCCTTAGGATTACAGGGAGACGGTCCTGCATGCGCAGTGGCAGCAGGTTCCGTTGCCGCTTCCCTTAGCGTGCTTCGGTTCATGTCTGATTTGGTCTCTGCGACAAGCATGGTGCAAACTGGTGATCCAACTCGCGGCGCCGCTCTGGGTGGTCCTGCTGTCGCTGCTGGAGTTGCTGCTTCAGACGCTGCCGCCGCTAATGACATTCCCAACCGAGACAATGTTCGGCATGCGGCCAGTTGTTTTAGCAGTGAACTGTGTTGCCTGTTCAGGTAGGCGCCGTTGCCGCTGTTACTGCTGGCACCGCCATCCGCAAGCAGGCTCATGGTAGCAATGCAAGCACGATGAGCTCGTTCACACAGCCTATAGGCAGGCAGGAGGCTTCGGGTGATATGTGGGACGGGGTAATACCCAGCTGACGATGGCTGCCGCCAACGGGAATAAGACCCCCCAAGCCAGCGTCTTCCCTGCGTGGGCATTGTCTTCACGCCCGCCTTACATCTGCTACAACAACCTCTAGCCCATGTAATATGATTCCACTAGCTGGGAGTTGCAGAAGGCGTAATCGGGAAGTCAGATAATTCAAGGAGGCGGCTGCTGCTCCTGGACGTTGAGGCAACTGCAGCTGTTGCTGCTGAAGCGAGACTGCATGCGGGCAGATGCCACCGAGTGTGCCTCGATACTTTGCTGGGGATGCGCCATTATCTCCCCAAAACCCTCATAGCCAGGGCAGATGTTGTGCACAGGCACTACAATGGTACTCAAATTGGACCTCCAGAGGTCTACCCGGCAAGGAGAGTGCAATATATAATAATAACAGTCAATGATGATAATGGTAAATAGGAACAAATCTAATAATCAATAATAATAATAAATAAAAATGAACCAAGCCACATTAGCGACGAGATAAGGCTATCAGGCCAAGAGTGCTCTGGAGCTACCTAGGATCTAGGGCTGGCTGTGAGACTGGCTGTACCCAAGGCAATGACCCGCTATGGGTCAACAGGGCGATTGCCGTTATTACTCTTCCTACTTTAGGAGGATTGAGTCCTGGATACGAATGAGAGACTGTTCCTTTGTATTTTAAGGTTATTTTAAGGGTTATGCGCTAAGTGTAGACATGGGGCCGATATCAACTGTGAGCGCCAGGTAGTCTTGGACACTGAATCCATCCATGCCCCTGCCATATACAGGAGCAAGGCCTGGAAGCATTTTAGGCATGCCGAACTTCGGTAGTCGGAGAAACGGGCCTAGCCGTGAAGACATGCGGTTATGCAGCTGCAAAAGTACTGTGTAAGCGGAGAACGGCCTTATCTTCAACTCAGCAACTAGCATGCGGACACGAAGGGACGTCGGCTAATTCTAGATAGACGGAAGGCTTATTGCAGTTCAACACATTCGAACTAGTACAAGAAGACGACATTTTCTCCTTGTGCACTTTTGCGTTGGGCACCCAGCAGGTTGCCCCCCGTTGACAGCTATTTGTTACTCAATCCAACAGAGAACTCTTCCTCTCAGTCGTGCTTATTTGCTGTTCCTCCGGTGATAACCAGATGGAATCCAAAGCCATGGTCTTCACAAGCGCACCACGATGGACTGCATAGATTTCGCCGTCGTTTCCTGTGGCGCCTCTGCGTTGCACTGCAGCCTCCTCGTTCTTTTCCTTCGGATACTGCTTTTCCTCTTACCGTAGATGTGCAAATGGTGCGCTGTCTCAGTGCTTCACGGAGCATGCACCCAACAGTTTCTTATGGGGCCTCACGTGCACCCAACACCGAATCGTTCACACCATGCGCGGGACTTTATCGTAGTGGACTGCTCCAAGCTACAAGTTGCATATACCGTCGACAATGAATATGAGTTCCTCCTCCGTGTAGAGCGCTGTTCACTCTATCGGTTGGCTAGAGCTCACGCCTAAGGTAGGGCATTCAATTCGTGCTACCGAGATGCTGACCCACTTTGAAGCAGAGGGTTATATTTTCATCGTCAATGTTCAGCTTAATAAATTTCTATTTGGGGAGGCAGTTAGAGTAGTGTGCAGAAGGAAATCAAGCAAGAAGGTTCATACGAAAGCGCGTGGCGTATAGCCGGAAAAGTCTCCATATATCTCCGCGCTGCAGTTGATCACGAGCTTCTGATGTTGTCTGCAGCACCACAGAGGAAATTGAAAATTAGAATACCATGATTAAATGGTCCAATACAGAAGTCCCGTATCATGGTAATATGACCGATATGAATTGAGCTCGCATTTTCTGTAGTTCTGCCGATTCTTATTTCTATCTGCCATCTCAAAGCGCAGTCGCTGAGAATGCGAATGGAGTCTTATTTAGTCGTGGCTACAGGATTTGTATTCTTCAAGTCGTAAGTAGCAATCATAGCTTTGTCAGTGGAGAACTTGATAACACTTTTTGAATGTAAGAAATACCTAGATGATATGCGCAGTATGTGGAGCAATGCAAGCTAGTGAATGCGTATATACATATGGCACTCCTCATCCATGGAGATTTCTCCATGGGTGCAGTTTACACTGCATTTACAGCTGTTATCGCCAGTTACAAACTGGCGAGAAGGGTCGCTGGCCCTCTCTGGCTCAGATTGAAAACATTTAGTTGCTGGTTATGGGTCACATCCGCTGCTCGAAGCCTCCAGTTGCTGGTCAAGAGTGGCTCCCAGCTGCCAATACAAGCGCTGCATGAACGCCGCCGCCAATGCAAAAACGCTTGCTTGCATGAGTATCTCCTTCAGGTGCACAAGAATGCCAGTCGTTGTAGTATCGTACGCACATCGTCACCATTTCCCAGCAAGCTCATCCATGGTTAGCCAACACCTGCTGCACAGCTAGGCTATTTTGTGTGGATTACTGTCTAACGCCACGAATCGCCGTGCCGTCCGGTACGCAGCAGCTTATGTGATGGGGTGGCTTAACAGCTATTTACGTGAAGTTCAGTAAGACCTGTTTGGTCAGAAAATGGTTGCGTTTACAGGAAATTTAACTGACGTATGCTTTTTAGTTCCATAGATGTAGGGAACAGATCCTGGCACTTCAGGTCTGCAGCACGAGACAGCAATGTTGCCATTTGCAACTTTGAAAGGCCGGAAAAGGCGAGAAGAGAGCTAGAGTCACTTTTTCCTTGTAGTCCCATAGGCGTCATTATTTCATTTAAAGGAACTTTCAGCTCGAACGTCTGGATGAGGTCCGCCACACAGTATCGCCGGTCAGAAAAACGTAAACGAGAATTGTAAAGTATCTGCGAGTTACCCTCATCTTCTCTGGCAGCAGCAAGAAGCAGTTCTGCTGCCTCGGACATGCGCCCACTGGGATGACCTTCCAGAACGCCGTAAAGCAGCCTTAGACCATGCAGAATTGTCAGCAAAGGCAGCGATGCTGCAGTAATAGCTAGGAGAAATTTGATCCTGGCAACGTTCTTGGGAGTTCCTTGCTTTCTAGGCATTCATTCATTCATGGGTTGAGAATTCGGTGCTGCAGCATGAGTTGTTTTTCTAAAGTACATAGAAGCTTTCATTTGGCTACTTTTCTGTGTATGCAAGAATTAACGAAGTAAGGGTGCAGGTGAGGGGGGGTACTTGCCTTCCGTCTGTAATGAGGAATCCGGTAAGGATGTCGGCTTCTCCCTCACGGGTCAATGCAGCATCCATCCCTGCATCACTGTTGCTGTCCTTAAACAGATATCGGGACTGCTCTTCCTCCTTCTGCTCAAGCTGCTTTGCCTCGGCGGCCACTTTGCTCCGCAAGGGGGCTGCGAGAAACAAACGGTTAATTCCTTGCTCTGGCAACGGGATGGAAAAGCAGACACTGGGAGGCACGGCTTCGCCTTCCTGGCACACACGCACTCTCAGATGCCCCCACAGAAGAATCTATACATGCGTCCACCCTTCGTTCCTAGACTATTCATTAATTGATTTTTCCTTATGCCTCCTCTTGCTTCCTAGTAGTTAGATGAGTTTCAAGAGGAATTCACTATCCACAACAGCTTGCAGACTTTACAGTCTGGGAATGGCAGTGCCACTGTCGCTGCTGTCAAACGGCGCATCTCCCAGCAGCCAGCTCGCATGGCCAGCGATTCACTGTGACTGTGCGTACTCCTCAAAAGCAACACAGGGTTATTCGTGCATTTTGAATGTGTTTGTTAGTGTTCATGTGCGCCTTGCCTGGTTAAGCACGTCTCGGCCAAGTAAGGCCGAGAAGTTTAGGTGCTGGAATAACGGCTCTGCCAGTCTGATCTCTATGGAAATTTGCGTGCCGCTAGCAATGAAATCAGAATAAGTGGTTCTGCAGAGTTGGACCGTTCCACTGCCTTCTTCTTTTCTAGCCACATAACCGGCAACCGGAAGGACATCCGTGCAGTATGACAGATGAGTGGCTCCACAACTCGCCAAAGCGCTCAGGCAGAATGACGCCACTCCATGAGGAGGCCGAAACGGAGTTGGTTCTGCACCGATCGTGAAGGCATTTGTACAGTTTGCTACGAATTGGTTTGAAGGAGCTTCTGGATTGCCCCCTGGAGAGCGCTGTGCCTTTGTTGTTGCCCGTCGCACTTTCGAAGGAGTTCCATTCGCAGCTTTAGGCTGCTTCAGCAAGGGCCTCCCCACCGCCTTGCTTTTGCATTGTCCAGCACTTACGTCTGGGTACAGGTTTGACTGGTCCATTGCTGATAGATCGTATGTGTTAAGAAGTTGTACTTCTAGTCGGCGCTCTTCAATGAAGTCTCTTAGTTCGTTCTGATTCTCCACAGACGGCCCCCAAAAACAGAGGAATCCGGCATCCCATCTTACTGTGTTTGCTCCCAGAACTCTTGTTGGTCTTCTCGGGTCTGTCTCTAGGACCTTTCGGAACAGTTGGGCACGAGCGAAGTACTCAACAGGCGCTTCCGTGGAGGACTTTGCATCGCTGGAAGACTCTCGGGAATGAATATCGGAAAGCGGAGCTTTAGTTTCCGATGCCAGTGCAGCAGAAGCAACCGCAGCTACGGCAGCGGGTGCTGCCATCCCTGCTGTGGCTGCTGCTGCCGCTGCCGTTGAAGGGTTTTCTGTTGTGCCTTCACCTGCATCACTGGATCGTCCCTTGTGGAACAACTGAGAGGTAGACGGAAGATAGCGTGCATCTCTAATGAGAAACCAAACAGGATTGAGAAGATGCCGCAGCTCAGGGGAAAGCAGAGATGTGACCGCTTTCACTTCAATGCGCAGCGAAAGAACGCCTACAACACAGCTGTCACACGGAGGCACACCAGCGCAGTGACAGATTTTTAACCACGATTATTGCAGGTTCTGCCTCTGTGTCTAGATTCAACCCCCGAAAACGAACGTCTTTGCTGTCTTGTATTACCTGGAATTGCCGCGAGACTTTCTTGGACTCCTTCCGGTGGCTGCATGCGTTCCCCGTCTTTAAGGAGTAGCAATGCACCAACCGGCATATCCGCTACTCTCGATTCCCCCGGTGGAATGGCAGATCGAGGAGGGCCAGTCTTCTTCCCTCCTTTCTCTCTCCCATCAGACTTCACGGAAGCTTTGCTCTGAACGTCTTTCCTCTGGGGTCCGTCTTGACTCGCGTCCTGAGTTTTTACAACTGTAAACGTTATTGTCTCCCTAATGAACTGCTCGCAAAATGCGGCGGGAAAGCTGAAGGGTGTGAGATTAAGTTCAAAGTTAATTGCAGCTTGTTGGCAGCATTCTTCTGAAGGCTGCATTTCGCCTTCCTTTGTCAAGCTCTCACAAGGGATGGGGCATACGCCCGCTCCCTTTTCACCCCTTTTCTCCCCTGAGGGCCACGAAGAGAAGGCACCGGTCTCATGGACTTTCCCTAGAAACGTACAGAAGGCTTGTAGCGACCCGAGAGCCGCCTTGTTCGCAATGACAGAAAACTCCACAGCGAGAACCGCTGCCTCGTTGCAAGGAGCCTCCTTCGCTTCGTTAGAGAGGCTGATCAAACAGCTTTCAGGCAATGACACCTGAACAGGGTTTGTAGGCTGTGTCATCTTCGGCAGCTACTCGCAGTCAGTCTCAATCAACGAACAAGTTACTAGCAAGCCTAGCGCCACCATTTGCTTAGTTGCGCACACTGCTTATTCATTTCTGGCTTGCATACACACGTACAGGAGTAATATCTGTGGCGAGCATTAGCATGCATTGCCTGTTAGTAAGTGCGCTAGCAACCATTCGCGCAGTGAGAAACCCCTGGTGGTTCAACGTACCCACTCTGAGTTTCAGCGCTTGTTCCCTCGCTTCGACTGATACACAAGGCGCAGCTACCCAGCTATGCATATAATCCTCGCCTTAAGCTGGAAGACTACTCAAAAACTTCGTAAAGCGCTACAGGGCTGTTGGCTTTCGGCGTGTTGCGCACCGGGGTGCATATGTAGCGGTCCCAGCCCTAGGCGACGACACCTTTCCAGCTAATAGAAACAGCCTAATTCATAGAGCGGTTTCTATGAGATATTATTCGGTGTTGTGAAGCAAAATGGAGTGCAATGCATCCACTCAAAAAACTCCGGCACCTTGTACGCGGCCCGCCGTCCAGACCGCCGACCAGTTCTCCCGGAATACATAAACGTATTTAAAGCACAAACAGTGATTGTGTGACGTTTCTAGAGCAACAGCATTTGCTCTGGTAAAATATGGATGAAAAACCCATAATGCAGGAGGTGCTTCTTGGAACAGGCATGCAGAGCCAGACCACTGCTGGCCCCACCACTCAGGCGCTTTCAGTTGTGTGCAGCACGAGCCTCCTTGACCTTCATCGCATTCCTCTTGCTTCTACGGATGCTGGTTCAAGAGAAGTAGTTTGTTTAGCTTCGCCATTTCAATATTTTGGCTCTGCGTAGTGCCGTGGACCTTGCAGGTGTGCCCCTCGCCGGTTCAACTGTCGTCGATGTGCTTGGCCCCACACTCGAGAGTGCTGGACGATATTGGCATCGTTTGTCTCACCAGTGGAGTTCTTTTTCCCTTTAATTGAGCAGATGGCGTATTATGTCCAGGAAGAAAGGGCCCCTGAGTGCAGCCTGTTCGACGTACCCCTCATCGGTGAGAGCAGCTAGCAAGTGTGTGTCTACCGACTAGTTTGAACTGTGTGAGCCCACCTGCTAATATCTCGTACATAATTTGTTTTTTTCCATGAATCTTTTCCATTTTCTGTGAAGCTGCAGGGGCTGTGTCAGACGCCTTATGCTGTCAGGGACCGAAAAGGGATTTCGCAACGGAGGTGGAATCTCGTCAGGCTAATGCTGCTAAGATGTACCCTGCAGGTTACACGGATGCGTCTAGCTATGCATATGGGCACAAATACCAGTACGGGGTTAGTCCTCCGATTTGCTGGCAGTACAAGCCGCACACCACGGTTAACTACCCGCGTGAAAAGGCGACCGAACCTGTAAGCTATTTTTCGTATCCTGTGCAGCGCTCTCCCCAGCCGCAGAGCTGGGCCTACTATTACGAACCAGAAAATTACTCAAGTCCGAGGCCAGTGACGGCTCAGGCTGAAGTAGCTCTCCCTGAGCCGATCAGCGGTAGCTGGGCAAGGATACTTGGTGGGGTGCCCCGGTCTCCTATGCAACCAGTTATATTCCCGGCCCACTCGGGAGCAGCCATAGAAATCTCGCAGCCAGGACTTTCACCTCGTAATGATTTATTGACTGCCAGTGGATGGAGAACAATAGAAGTGGTAGGGGGGCTTTCGGTGGAGAAGCAAGAAAAGAACGCCGAGGTGAATCAAGAGAAGGAAGAGGAGGGGCTTCAGCGGCAACAGTTTGAGTCAAAGGCGAGCCAGACAGAGCCCACTAGCAGCTCATCCAAAAATGTAAAAGACAATAAGGGTGCGCTTCGGGCCCCCGCTGCCAAGAGGAAACCAGCAGCGGCGAAGAAGTTGCCTAAGGGCCACGCACCACTCCAGCAGCCAGAAGGGGACGAGGCGATTAGAGATGACACAGCTCCTGAACCACCCCAGAATGCCGCCCCAGAACAGTCATCACCATCCCGTGCTGAGGCTGAACAGCCAGCAGGTAGATCAGAGCCCAACGGCCAAGGCAAGGGAATTGGGGAGGCACTGAATAAAGGACAAGGCGAAGATGCAATAGCAAACGAGAATGACGTAGTACATAGGGGACCACCTTTTGCTGGGCCAAATCAGCAGTCTACGATGGACACATCCTCGAAGAGCAAGCAAACAGATACCCAGGAGGAAAACGAGGCCGCACCCTCCGATGAACCCTCAGTAGACGGAGAAAAGGAGGAAAAGCATCTCAACAGTGGAAACCAAAGTCAATCCCACGTGAAGAATCCAAGTGAAGATAAACCCCATGGTTTTGCGTTATTTTCCGTAGAAGGGTCCGCCCCTTCAGTTGGCGGCACCCTGGGACCATTGACTCCTCGACAGCAGAAATCACCAGGTGAGAAACGGACACCACTCAGTTCCGACAAGGCACAGCCGCTGCTGGAGTCTTATCAGCAACATAGAAGCTGCTAAGACAAATATGTAAACTTTAGATACTTAGGGACCGATAATACAGCTAAGACAAATATGTAAACTTCAGATACTTAGGGACCGATAAGACATGTGCCTTGCCATGCGGTACCTTTTTAGGGCAATACCCTCCGGCTTTTGTTAGGGGGGAAGCTGATGCACCCGGAGCTACGTGCGGCTGGCCAGTTGGCTACGTGCCTCCTCCAGATGACAAGTACAAAGAGCTGGTTGTGGGAAGCCAAGTGTACCTGGAAGGAGGCACTTTCTACCTGAGCGAGACTGGAGCATATCTTCTGGGGCTGAGAGGCTGAGTCTGCATAGAGGGAGTATTACTGAAGGCTGGAGCGTGTGCGCCTTGTGAAAGACGCATGTAGCCTAGCTTCAAGGGAAAAGGCAGGTATTTATTTGTTTTGCTAGGTTGCTTGCGCATGAATATTTTGGGCACCAGTTAATCTCTGTCTGCCGTCGCCAGTTGAAAGCATGTACTTACAGGGTGCGCTTTTTGGGATGTGGTGCAGTATGGTCTATTTGTTGCAATGTATGTTTTTTCTTAAGATGACCAGGGCTTTCCGAATGCGCGGAAGGCCTTGATGTTTCGCAAAAGGGTGGATTGTTTGAGCTACTCTGGTCGACCTGGGGAGTTCATAGAAACGCATTGGTTTTGAAGACTGTCGAGTAGATCCCCTCTAGTCTCTTTGGTGATTGGTTTGACTATAAGCTTTGTTAGTGTGAGAAGATGGGCACCGGCTGGCACACTTGGCGGATACGGCACCCATTTCGGTGCTCATGTGCCAGTTCTTGAAGGCGAAGCGACCTCTCTATTGTTACCATTTTTAGTCTGCGCCGGCAGTTTTTTAGTGTTATTTCCGGTGTAGCGTCGTCTAGTCGTCAGGAGGGAGTCAATGCTTAGCACGAACAAACCCGACGGCCAGGTGATCCCTGTCGAAGACTGTGTAGTACCCCCGTAACAGAACCTGCAGTGCGCACGTCGTAGTTGTGTACGAAGGTTCGAATTGCTTCGGTCTCTCTCACTTGTCCGAAAGTCCACCCCTTCAAACCCTGAAAACAGAACGAACAATGTGCATTAACGAGCCTGCAAAATATTGTTACGAAACGGAAGCCTACGTCTTCTGCCTCTGAGTCATCCGCCGCTATGCCCAACATGCACTCATGCACGCCATCGTCATTTACAAACTCCAGTACGTAGTCGTCTGGGCTTAGTTGAAGCTCAATGATGGTCGGCACTCCGTCTGGAGCTGGTCAAGTGATCCTAGAAGGGGAGCCCAGAAACAAGTGGCTGGACCGTCGTACTCGTGGGCAATCCTTGGAAATGGAAGTTCTGTAGAGTCGAAAGGTTTTTCTCATCCCGTTAATATTTGGCAGCGGGGCTCAGCTGTAATTCACCAGATCTGGAAGAGTGTTTTTATCGTCGCATTTGGACACCCGCAGGTCCGACAGGTAATGCTCCATCACTCTCTGTTCCGTCGCAAAAGTTTTGTTGGTTACGAGGGGGCCCACAGTACACATGGGAGCTCTGCTTTGCATCACTACAACTAACTGTTGGGGCGTATATCAAGTAGGTTCCTGTATCAACAATCGACGCGCCTCCGGCTGATTGCTTTGTAATACTTTTATCACAATGAAAATTACAATGCAGAATCCCACTGTCATATTCATCCCTTCGACGTTCCGAGATATCCGTTGTTTTTGTGGAGTACGAGAGCAGACGGCCTCTTTTCGCAACGCTCAAGACCTGAACTGGGGCAAGCCGAGAGTTTGCACAGAATTGTTTCTGTCAAGCTGCACACCAACGAAGAGGAGACAGCACAATGCGCCACCTGTCCAGTAGCTGTTGGACGGATCCACTGCTACCCAACTTTGGGTACAGAAAAAATGTAGACAGAACTTATCGTTTGCCTTGTGTACCAAGTGGTCCTTGCCTGAATTCCTCAGCGGGGTTTTCCTTCTTGGACAGATCGGCGCCGCCGAAAGTCAACGCCCCTCCTGCTCGAGCCCATTCGGCATACAGGGGAAAGCGGGAGAAAATGAGCCGTTGAGTTACCGTCAGCTGTGAGGTAGTAAGCGAACTGATTCTACAAGGGTCTGTTGTGCGTATGTGCACTGAAGGGAAGATGAAAATGGACATACCGCCAGGTTCCTTTTTTTCAGTACTCCTGTTGTAACAATGTGATCGATGCTGGCCACATCCCATTGGTGTTGAGCACTTTTGCTCTAACGGTGGGTAGCACTCACAAGGGTAAGACACCACGGTCGTCTATCTCATGGTTTTTGAATCCAAGGCCGACAATTCCATCCTAAAGTGCTTGCTCACTCAGATTGCACTCTCTGCACTACTAAACTCGTGAATCGCCGTACCCATTCCAGATCCTGGAGGAGTGGTATGTCGAGGTGAGTCTGTTGAGGATCACAAAGGGTACGTGCGTTTATGAGCCCCTAAGAATGGAGTCATTTGACAAGGAGACTTACAGCGAAGCCAATGTTCGTATGGAGGACGGAAATGCCGTTGCCCAAGTGAACAGTTTCATATGCTGTGTAACGCCGCTGTACTTTGCCATGGCGAAGAGTCAATAAACTTGTTTGCTCACCGTCATAGCCTTGAAGAGAGCCGCTCAGATACTGCACGTCCATTTGGCTCATGCTGCCATCCTCGTTGAAACGGTTTTCGAACGTTGAGCTCTTTTTGTATTTCCGGTGCCCGCGGCACTGGGTTGACATGCTAGGCGGGCAGGCATATGAATGAAGAGTTTGCAAACACGATTCAAACGCGTAATTTGTGCAGATACTCTAAAGTGTCTGGTTGACGGAGCGAACAAGAGATGAATTCCCTACCAGGCCTCATCAGGAACCCAAAACTCGCATGACCCGGTGTCGAACAGCACACGAAATCTTGAGACTGGATCCGTCCCGATTCCAATATCGGCAAAATAGGTTGCTGATTTGGCGGTGGCGTCACTATTTATTCAACGTGCACTTTGAGCAAACACTGCAGTGATACCTAATTTTTTGGAGGCGAGGACCTGGTCATGCAAACGGATGCTTGCAAAACGCGAAACCGTGCGCTGGCCCAGCTGCAAAAGACTAAAATACCGCCTTCTGCGGATATTCCGCCTTTGGTGGACAGCCCAAACATGGTTTCTTTCTTGGAAGTCATCAATTTTCTCCAGCCTCAAGGATAGTCCACTGTGCTGTATGGGAGCTGTTGAGGCAAGAAGCATTAACTGGCACATCGTCGTGGCAAATAGGGTCGAAAGAATCATTATTTATTTATAGGTAAAGCATGCTTCATTGGAGAAACAGAGAAAAACCTTTTCAGGCTCCACTTCGTTGGCAGGGTTGAGCACGTTGAAATTGACGCGCTGAATACTCTCAAGCGTCAAGACACCGCTGATCGTCGCGGATAAAGCTATGTCAAGGCTACGGTTCAGCACTAAAAGCGTCCCCAGTTGTTTTTCTCTTTGTCACTAGGTTTGTCCCTATCGGGCTGTGCCTGATGAGCATCGACACGTGGGCATGCACAGACGGCTGGAACTGCACGCCAACGGCTCTAGCACTAGCAATGAGGTTTTCCATTTTGGGATACCCGCAAATCTAAGAATTTATTCTACGCAGCATATTCACCTTTATGGATGTAATTATCGTTGACCGAGTAGACTAACGACGGGCATGCTTGCCTTGTTGTTTCCTCGACCTAATCTTCCGACGGAGATGGGGCCAAAACAGCATTTTTACATGCATGCATTTTTTCAGTACACCGGTTTGTACTGAATAGAATTCGCAGACACTGCTACTGCAACCTCAGCTGTGGCTGCGTACCGAGCGGCGGTCCCTGGCATCGGATCCCGAGCACCACGGGCTAGTCTCTGGATAACATGACCAGCTGGAGCGTTATTCCACACCTTATCTTTGCTTTGCCCTTTCATCATGCACGGTGCATTTAACAAGATGTTCGCCACCGTTTAGGACTGTGAGGGTCCTATCGAACAAGTTCTTTTTTTACAGCAAGCCTTGATGCTGCCTGTAACAGCTGCTGCATCAGCCTGGCACTGCGTCTGATGTGGCTATATTTCGGTCCTATTGGTCTTTTTGTATGTGTATGGACACCCCACCTCCGCTGAAGTGCATAACTTGGATGGGGCATTTTGCTGCTCGCAGGTTATAACCACCCCAATATTGCGAATCTTCGCGGGCTGCAACGGACGGAATGAGCCGTGGCTTTGCAGTTTCAGTACGGACCGGGGGGGTCTCGCCTCAAGCTGAGGGCAGCAATTGTGTTGTGGTGACATCCAGGTTCCCGGAGTCTACCATCAACGACAAAGGACCTGCAGGCGACGTCCACGTCACGTTTAGTGGGGAACGCATCTTTAGGGCTTCACAAGGACCGTCAGAAGCACAGCAATCGATTGAGTCTGCTGGATGCACTCAATCGAACCAAACGTTGGTTGTATTTGGCGACTCCGGCTCGTGTTCTGTGGGGAGTGGAGATGTCTGGGAGGCCCTCTTCTCGTCCTTATGCCAGATAGAGGGCACAAAGGAAACGCGCGCGTCGTATGAGGGCAAAGAAGTGTGGCAGGAATGGGGAGACCAGCAGGAGCAGCACCTCACAGGCGGCTCCTCAGCCGCAGCTGGTGCCACTTCACACGGCATTGCCGCTGGCCTGGTGAACGAAGCCGCGGATGCAAATACGTCTGACTTGCTGAAGGTTCTCGGTCCTCGTCGAGCAGCGTATGCAAGGCGAGTGTGCGCTGTGCTGTCTAGCCGATGCCGGTGGCGCAGTCCGTTTGCCCGACCGGGCTCCAGCGTAGCACGACCTCCATGTACCTGCATGCCTACGACAGCTGTTACCTCCCCTTCTGCAGCTTTCTGTCTTGCGTTTCATTCGAAGACCTTGGGGCTTTTGTTTTTCTGTCGAGACAAACTGGGCCTTGCTTCCCTGTTAGCGGTGTGCCCGAGCAACAGCTGCCCAGATGAGTGTCGCCCCTGCTTCGTCCTGGCTACATCTGCTACGCACTTACGAAGCCTTGACCCTCCGAAAGGCCGCGAGGGGGGAGGAAAAGAACGGACTATTGAAGTTCCAGTGGATGGGGTGTGGGTATTAGATTTATGGGCCCTAGCGGCTCCAGAGGCGTTGCCAGGCGTTGCTGTTAGATCGGCGGAATGCAGTGAGCCTGAAGGCTCCACTGCTTCTCTTTCCGGCCTGCCCAATCTCTACTGCATCCCTTGGGAGCAGCGAAGCATCATCCGCACGACCCACATGTGGTGTCTCTGCACCACTTGTGCGAAAGTCCGAGAACAATTTTGGAAATGGAGCAACTGCCAGTGCCGCTTCCAGCTCGACACGCTTGCGTGCCCTTTGCCGCAGGAGACAGGCCATTGCTTGGGGAAACCACTAGGGAATATATTGGGGTTCGCCGATGTGCCCCCTGCGACTCCTGCTCTAGAAAGCATACGTGTCTTTGGTGTTCAAAACCAAGGAGGTTCGTCTTGTCTCTCTTCGACACACGTCCTGAAGAATCTGTATAGAGAGCTCTTTGGGGCCGTTGCCAGGGCCATTCCAGAGGCCCTGCAAAAGATAACCGGCACCTCGAGGCGCTCTGTGAGCGGCGCCGATTCTTCGACGGTCTTTGTGGGGCTGTTGTTTTCGGGGGGCGTCGACTCGACGTTGCTGGCTGGAATGGTTTTGCGAGTTCTCGCAGCTGCCATGGTGAGACGAGTGCTGTGCATACAGTGACACAGGAGACGGAGGCCTACGACACGTTCAAGAATTGGTGTTCATCCGAGTGCTGCATTTGTAGGGAATTTCCGATTGTGCGCTCGGATGGTTCAGGCGAAGACGCACAGCAAAGCTACAAAAGAAAGTTCGCTCAATACTGCGCTGCCTGAACAACTGGTAGTGGTGGAACTGGTTTCCGTCGCCTTTTCGGCAGAGGCACCAGACAGGTTGACAGCGTTGCGTAGTTTCCAGGATCTGCTTGCCCTGTTGCACGCACTAGGCAAACGCTACGAGCCCCAGGACTGCAGAGGTGGCGCCGGAGATACCCCATCCAGCAAAAGTGTTGCTTTTATTGGAGACTGGGCCCTTGAACTGAGGCTAGTAGCTGTTGACGTGGCGAACGCAGACAGTGCAGACTGTCGCAGCCAGCTCCTGGAGGTCATCTATCCAAAGCAGACCCACATGGATTTCAATATTGCTGCCCCTCTATATTTTTCTGCAAGGTAACTGTGAGGCACAAGGGTCGAATGTACACTGAAGTTTCTTGTTGGCTTGCAGCGAAGAATTCAACTGCACATGCACACGAACCTGTCGTCTCAGTGGGTTCTGCAATTCCAACACTTTTTGATGCGTTAGACGGCAGTGCACTGCTGTGTTTCGGGTGGCTCTTGTAGGGGAATTGGATATTTGGTCTCGCCGAACTTCGACAAGAGCGGTGAATGGCAGTTGCTGCTGAAGGATGCTTCCCTGTGGAATGAACTCTTAATCCGTCCACTTTTTCGTCGCTCACGGGGAAATTGCCATCCGGTGAAGCCCACACACCTCACATGCACGGGAGAAACTGCAGCTCCAGGGCACGCCGTAGAGCCAGTGAAAGCGCCTGCTGTCTCTGTTTCTGGGCAGCAGCAAGAAGCTAAAGTTGTGTGTCGGGTTTGTCGCCGGCAGGCGAAGAGCGGCTGTGCTCACTGCACGTGCAAACTGTGTTGCGCAAAATTGCAAGCTGCTGCAGTGCAGCGCGCATTTTCCTCAGTTCCAGATACCCAGGCCTGTGATGAGATTCACGTGGGGGGGCAGGGGCGGCTTAGGATTTCCGACCTGGGCTTTGCCGTGCACGCGGCTTGCCCGGTACACCGCAAACCCCGGCTATTGTGCTCCAAGGAAGAAGCAGGCAACGAAGGCAGAACAGATGCTTACGCCGAAGGACTTTCGAGCAGGGGGGATGATGTGGCTCCCTTCAAGTCCCTCTTTTTGCTTCCATGTGGGGTGCCTTTGGCCACCAACGAAGCTGGACGACCCTTCATGGCGATGCATCTGGCTGACCTACACGAATGGTGCACGTTAGACGGCCGGCGGTGGCGCTGCATTGACAGCGTGACGGGTGAGCTTACATTTCAGACACTGCAGACCCAGCTCGTTCTGTATATCCGTCAGGGGCTTGCAGTGACTTTCTGCCAGCCAGCGGTCGCCAGGGCGGTCGAATGTCCTGTGATGCTTTTGTGTCATTCAATGCGGCACATCAGGCAACTATACTGTGCAGAGCACAGTGTTCCTTATGGGGAGCGGCGCAGATGAAATATTCGGTGGCTACGGTCGTCACCGAACGGCAAACTTGACTAAAGGCTGGGAGGCACTTCGACACGAGCAGATTCTGTATGTGTGCACACGATAAAACGCAGATAGCCAATGGGGAGGGCGTTTTCAATATATTCACAAACAAAAAAGGGTTGTTGAGTGGCGGTGCATTTCAAGACACTGCTCGTGCGTGAGAGTGCTTGCAGGGATCTGAGGCGCCTCTGGTTTCGTAACATGGGCAGAGACTGCCGCGCACTTTTCGCATTTGGCCGGTGGGCACGCGTACCTTTCCTTGATGAACGCTTACTGGATTTTGTTTGTTGTTCCGTACCCTTCGAGCATATCGTTCAGCCTTCAGCCGACGTACGTGCAGCAGCGGAGGAAGTGATGCGACGGCTGCTTATGAAGGCCATAACGCCAACACAAACTGTCAAGGAGGAGGATTTTAATTGCCCATCGGCGAGCAGCAAACGAACGGATCTTTTAGAGCGGGTAGAAGAACTTACAATGAATGCAGCTGGCTTGCGCGCACCAGGAGGACAAACTAACAACACGCATGTAGAACCCGAAGCTGGTAGCAGCGGCTTGTGCTCCGCAAACAAGTGGCTCATTCGCATTTGTGCAGCTTTTTGTGGGCTGTCTTTTAGCGCTGTCGCCAAAAAGAGAGCCATGCAATTTGGGTCGCGCTCCGCCAAAGTTTCAAATAGCGAGTGTTTCCCCAGCAATCGGAAAGCCCGGGGAGACGCCACTTTAGAGGGTTGTGACGAAAATACATACCTGTGAAAGTCACGGTGCAGGACCACCACTGTGAACTGTGCATTTCAGAGGTAGGAGGAAGCTTCTGGCCAGTGAATCTTTTTGTGTGTCATTGGTCTTATTTAGGGAATTGCGCGCCCTGCTGTTGCGCTTATCGCTGACTAGTGATTCAAAATTATGCAAACAAAGTTTGCTGAACAGCGCACAGCACGCAAAATAGAAAAGAGCAGCAAAGACAGAAGCAGCGTTGCTTTCAATCGAAGGGAGGCGGGAGCTCTCATCAAGGCATATCACAAATTATTTCACGTTCACCTCCGAAGAGTTTCAATCTTGAAATTTCAGCTGGCTGCGCTTCCCCCTAAAGTAGTAGTCCCGTCCGCTTTCCGTCATGACCACCCAAAAGGCTACCTCCTGTGGTACATCGAAAGTGATGGGAACATGCAACTAGATAAGACCGACTAGTCTCTTTTGAGAGCATCTCTAGCAAGTGGCATCCTCCTGATTGCTTGTAACTTGCGGGTGATTGTCTTCGTTTGTCATCTTCACCACGCATTGCCCTAAGGATACATGCCAATGCATCGCATGGATGCACTGAAAGGGCCGGCCTGCTCAGGGCCTGCAGCCCTTTTAAGCGTTCTTTCGCCAGTTTGCGTTTGTCTGTGGTGCATTAATCTTACGAAAAGCCCAGCTCTAAGTAGCCACCCCCTCTTTCGACACTTCCACAGAGAAGGTTGAAGGCGTGCTACATTCCCCCCAATGCGCAGAGGGGCAGATTGATGTCCGCTTCATTACTAGTAGTTGAGCTAGCTGTGGGACCGGACTGGAACTCCGCAACAGAAGTGCACTGCACACTATTCTTGCGACGGACTTGCACGCTCCGCTTGCCCGGCAAAAAGCAGAACTGCACTGCAAGTGCCTCTAGCAAAATTGTCATCGCTCTTGGTGCCTTCTTCTGTGCTTCACAAGTGGAAGTGCAAACGTTGCTGACTAAACCTGTTAAACGAATGCCGCCCCATCCCAATTAACTCCATGTCCCACATGCAGTTTTCATATTGGTGAAAGAACGAAAAAACGTTTGAGCAGCGCCCCTACAACCCCCCTTCCAAAACTGTTTTCACCTGCTTGCAGTCTCAACAACCCTCCCTATACCTAATGGATTAGGCGTAATCCTAAAAGACAGAGGGTTGACATCTGTACATCCTTCAAAAAGTGGAATGAGCCCCGCATGCTTTGTCACAGCATGTGCTTCTTCTCTATGGCCCGGAACTTTCTCCAAGAGCACAAAGCAAACAAGACGACCAGTAAAAGCGCTGCTAGAGCAAGAAGAAACACGCTGGCGTGCTTCACCGCGATATCCTTCTCTAGTTGGCTTGACAAATCGGTCAGTCGAGACAGGATTGGTGATTCCCCTTCATGTGGCGAGCCTGAGTCAACAGGGTGTCAAGTGTTAACGCACAAGCAAATGAATCTTCATGCGGTTGCTAAGTGAGGCGAAACGGGTTTATACAGGACGAAATTAATCTGGGTCAGCAGCTAATGCCAACCGCGGTACTGCTGCCCAGCTGAAGGCAACGTAGGGGACATACTCGATTTGATCTCCACTTGTTTGTGAATGTTGTGCAATGCAGATGTGTGCTGTTGGGAATGCCGTTTAAAAAGATCCTTAAAACCAGTCAGCTCCAACTTAAGCGACTTCACGGCTTCTGGTGCGTCGTCCACCCACAGTTTTCTTAGGTCTTGTCTCAAATCGTTCACTTCCGCGCTCAACATGCTTAGTTGACTTCCGAGCGACGTCAGCATCTGCAGCAACGTTGGGTCGCTGATACATGTACAAAAACGCCCACAAGTTGTAAGAAACCACTCAGAAAGAACCGCATTCGCCCCCAAAGGCCGAGTGGAAGTTCAAAGGAAGGGGAGAACGGGCCTGGGTGCGCAACTTACATTTGGCTGTGGCCTGCAGCCAAATAGGCAGCTGCATGCGGATGCCCTTGATAGACACCATAGTGTTCAGCGTGGGCTGAGTGAGCATGAGCGTCAGTTGCTACGTGGCTTCCATCCGTCGAATGGACGGCTTGTGGTGAGCCGGCGTCATTATGCTGAGGGGGAAGAGGATCTAGGCTCCACATTTTTACGAAGTGAAGTACAACTTGATCTCCTGTAGGGTGATGCCCAGGCTGTCCTTGGCTTGAACCGGGCTTATTGTGGCCTGTAAAGCCAATGAAGCCATGGGCATGCAAATGAACGTGATCCAGCGAGCATGCAGTAATCCACGCCGAAGTAACCGACTCGCGGATTTGGGCCACCACTCCTTGATTCCCAACAATGACACGGAAAAGAACAGGCTGAAGCACAGAAACTCAATACGGCTTCTCAACCTCAGCTCAGGGCCAACTCCCCATGCTTCGCACGACGACCCCTCTGCAGACCCAGAACACATTGCAGACTTAGGAAAGCTTTTATGCAATAGCAGCAAACTTCTGGCAAAGCCTGGCGTACTGTGGGTTTATTTCTAAACTGGTAGAAGAACGCAGAAGAAGTGGGGATTTCTTTCGAAAAGTCTCTGGTGTCCTCCGTGTTATGAACGCATGATATTGAGGGGTTGATGTTTCCCGTTTGGTCCACTGCTTTAAAGATGACGCCAAATCCCTTGGGATTACTTTTGTATCCTACAAGATTCCAGCTGGCTTGTTCTTCCGGTGTTCTCGGGTAGACGCTTGCATATGGCTCGTACACATACCAAAATGCAAACCCGTCTGGCTGGCCGTCGTTGCTGCCTGCTCCTCCAGGGTTTCCCTCAACTACTGGATCCTTCCCGAATACTCCGAATCCAAACTGCACTTCGAAGTGGACCGCAGGGACTGCAGTCCGCTGCCAGAACTGACCTGTTCTGTTGGCATCTGCTGGCATTAACACAATGTGGTCTTCCGACGGGACAGTGGACATGGCGACGTCCCAGTAGCCTGATTTCGCTCATCACAAATCCTTCGAATATGCAGATTATAGTCTATGCGAACACGACAAAAAATCAGCAGATACTCGCTCATTTTTCGTAGCCTCACCCGTACACTCACGTTTCTTTCGTAAGAGGTCACTCACCAAGATTCTCCTGGGTTAGAGGAGGCTTCCAGGAATGGGTAATCATCTCAGTTGTGCCAGTGGGCTGCTCCCAGAGGGTGTATGCGTTGGTGTTTGGGCTCATCGCAACACCATCGTGGGGGTGCGTCGGCGGCGAGTGGTCGTGAGTACCATATCCGTGCGAACTGTGCACAGGATGGGAGGGAGGAGCTGCAGAATGATCGGGGGGAGGATGGTGGTAGCCATAAGCTGCAGAATCGACAGGGGCCACTGGCGGGTTTTGTGCTAAGCCTGGTTGCGCGTTGTGGTGGACAGGAGCATCCTGTCCTCGTGTACTCAGGGGCAAGAGGGCAGCCGCCGCGTAGGCACAAAAGGCTCTTTGGACGTATCTTAACATTTCCGGCAAAAATAAAGAAATGAGTTTGGCCCGGTGCAGTTCAGAAGAGCATGCGAGACACACGGGCTCAGAACAACTTTCCTGAGCTTGAAAGTCCCACTTCCCTCTTTTTTGCCGAGCTTTGTATTGTGGAGAAGGCTTCCTCAGTCCCCCAGTTTTAGATGGGAATGCGATGAAATGCGATGCACGGTACAACCGGTGGAGTACTTGAGCGGCGTCAGGGGAAATCCAGCCGCCACACCTGCGGAATACTTGAGAGGAAGGTTTTCTCGTGGCTATGGAAGCCTTAAGAATGCACGTAACAAATTACCATTGGTAATTTCAAGGTCCAATGTACGCGGCGTCGGGTCACTGCTCGAAATGGGAAAACCTGCAGTAACCTGTGAAAAACAGCAAACAAAGTGGGGGATTAACCACTCCGCCTCCCCTTTCACAAATCAAACCTTATTTCTAATATGGTGGGAAGATTTGCGCCGTTCCATATCGGAATCGTCCACAACAACGCACTCCGCAGGCAGGCACGTCTCGTTTCTGCTATGCGCGCGAAAGACACACCTACCTAGCTGACCCGGGGGTCCTGTAGAGAACCATGCGCCTATACAAGTATATTTATAGACTGAAGTGGCTTTGAGAAACCTGTGTGTGCAAGAAATTATACCCTCAACTGCAATCTCTCTACTGCCCTCGGCATACCGACAAACGTGCTTGCCGCAGTAGTTGTGAAGCGCCCCCCACACGACAGCAAGTTGATATGGGCTTTTAAAGGCCATGATGAGGCACATAAGCAGAGATTTATGATAACTGCAGTGCGTAATGGCCGAAGAATATTCGTAATACAACGCAACACTTAAGCAGCGCAGGGGTCACGTGCGTTGGGTAGTTCCCCTGGGGTGGCGGAGAGTTGTTCAAATCACAACTCACTTTGGCATTGAATCAACTGCCAACCTCTTCTAATATCAATGTGTGCATGCTCCCGGTCCAACTACCAACCCGTGCCACTGGAACGTTCCGTTCAGATTCATCGTGCGTTAAGCGAGCAGCGTGAGCTCTAGTAGAGTCACATGAATTAAGACAAGGATTCCCCCAAAAGCAGCTGACCTCCCATCCAGTTTCCGTGCGTCTTAATAGAGCGTCACAATGTTGGAAACCTGGGTTCCAACACAGAAGACTCGCCCACCTTGGGGTGGGCGGCTCTTCTCTGCATCTTGCTCTTGCTGCAAGGCAATCCGCCAAGCAGACGTGGCAAGGCCCCCTTTTGATGGATGCACTGACGCCGCAGAGGATTATTGCATACATACGCGCCCTCCAGTAGCCAATCTACATGCGCCATAATAGAGCGTCACAATGTTGGAAATCTGGGTTTCCAGGACCCAGGCCTTGGGGTGGGCGCGTCTTCTCTGCATCTTGCTGTAAATCGTGCTGCAAGGCAATCCGACATGCAGGCTTGGCAAGGCCCCCTTTTGATGGATGCACTGACGCCGCAGAGGATTATTGCACACATACGTGCCCTCCAGTAGCCAATCTAGATGCCAGTGAAGCCTGAATTCGTCGACATCGCCTACCCCAATGCGCACGAACATCTTCCCACCTTCCACGCTTGCCTGCAGCTGTGTATGAGTGCTCCACCTCCAATAAATTGTTGAATGCACAAGCAAGGACTCCCATGCACAAACAAATGGTTGTTCTACGAAATGTTCGTTCTACGTTGTGTGTATCTGTGTTGCTGTGCACAGCACGTCTAGAGGCTGAAGGTTATCTCATCTACCCACGCAGTGAGACTATTGCAGCTCTCAACTGTCCTCAACTAGTATCAAGTGCTCTCGTTAATCCCGCGTCATCCAGATACCGCACGAAGAGCTGAGAAATAGTTTGGTGAGCACCAAACACGCATTTCGCTCTCGCTGTAACCAGGAAGGTGATCCTGCAGTGTTTGCGCAGTTCCCTCCAACTACACCGACCAGTATGAAGTTTAGGTCTTCCTAATCCCTATAATGAGGTCCCCACTCTTTTATTCCTATTCGTCCATACCTACGTGCTTCCGTATGCTGTTTTTATAGCCTGTTTGTACACGATCAGGTTCTCGAACGCTGAAATACGTGCTAGCGGTTATCAGACTATTGATTTTTCACCTCCGTATCTGGCCACATTTAGCATCCTGCGACACCTCGCCATTGATAAAAAGCTAACTGTCACCTACGATGCTCAGCCGTGCAATATTATGTACATATAGGAATATACATTTGATAATAAAACTTCTATATAGAGCGCAAATACTCTAAAAAAGTCCCTGTCAATAAGAAAGTGACTGAGTCCCCTCGCACGGCAGGCTGGAATTCGCAGCGCTCCTTACTGAGCTTACTCGGGAACCACCCATCAGAAATTATATCACGCAGAAACTGAAGGGGCGAATCTACGAAGACGGCGCAGCCCTTGCAGGGCCTGCACCATGAAGGGGCATGCGATGGCGCTCCGTCTATTGATACACATTTGAACAGAACAAACCTGTCCATTACGGAGCAGTCACACCACTAGCTGGCACAGCTGCGCCTTCCCGCGATTCCAAGCATACCACAAACGACGGATGGACGACAACCACGCGCTTGCCTTGTGCAGCGTGTTTCTCAGGTAGGTACCTACGTACGGCTTTGAGTGCCACCCCAGGCGGATCGCAACTGTAGCTGCAGGCAAATCCCAATTTAAATGGGTAGCTGCAGGTCTCGAGATCCCCCGCACTTGAATGCCTTCCGCAGGACTTGCCACGCGGCTTGTCCCATGAACTTCAGCATGTGAGAACCGCCTGGGATATATGACACCAGGAAAGAAGTCAAGCCGCACAACTGCAAGACCGAAAAAACAAGGGTGAGTACATACGACTTGACCATTAAGGTGGCATATAGCGTTAGGAACAACGACGAAAAGTAAACCGCAGTGAACGGAAGCCTGCAAGGAAACACCTCACACAAATTCAGAGCAGCTCAAAGCACCGTGGAAACCGACTTTTATATTCTCACGTGCAAAGGCACAGTTAGTCCCCTACCAAGGAATCGCCGTTACAGCGTGGGAACATCAAAAAACCTGCAGCGCGCAGACTGGTGGAAGAGTTGCAACCTGGTGTCTCGCTAGTGCTGACCTCGTGGGCTCGACAAGGTGTCGAAAGAGGGCAACGACACCCCTTAAGAGAGCCAAGGCAGAAAGGAAGCAAAGAGACCCCATTGTGAAAAGCAGAGCAAACTTGGAGGGGGCGAAGACGAGCAGGGGGAGGGTGAGGAAGGCTAGGAACATAAACAGCACGCCGACGGCCGCCACAACTCCGAACATTAACATATTCTGCGAAGACAATGGGTTGTCTGCAATAGTGGCTCGGGTCGCATTGACCACTGAGCTTGCGCCATCCAGCATGCGAGATGCTCCATCTTTCACTGCGGACAAGCCGGACTGTAGGAGGCCGTTTGGTTCCTGTGAGCGCGGCGGAGCCTTCATCGATCCACTTGGAACCCTCCCCGGAATTCCCCAGAGTCCACCACCTGCGGGCACCTCACTGGGGGCGGCGACTCCAGCCTTCGTGCCTAAGATGTTGCCGAGGAACCCCGGTACAACAGGCTTCCCCCCTGCTGAGGGGCTACGCAATGGGGCCCCATCCAATGACACCATTGCGTAGCCCTTCTTCTCCTGCTGCTGCGTGCCTCCATAGAATGACAGGCTGTTCGCGAAGTCTCCAAAGCTCTGCTGAGACCCCATCATCTTCGCGGACTGGCCAAGTGTGCCAAGGAAAAGCAGCTAGGATGAGAAGCTTAGGGCTAAACACTCAAAAATCTGATGTACTTAAGACAGCTAAATCGCGAGGTAGGGACGCGTTCCAAGACAGAGAGCCCGATGGGCGATCGTGCACACGACACTTCCAAACGCCGCATGGATTCGGCGTTGTCTAAGCTGACTGACCTGGAAACGCCAGCGTTGTCCACAGGAAGCGACAGATAACACAGCAGTGGCAGTCCTGATAGGAAAACAAAAAATCCTAACGGACACCGGGCCTAACGTCTAACTTGATGGGTGGAGTACGGCCTGTAGTGAAGACTGACTGCTGCTGAGCTGCAGTGACGAGTCACGGTAACACTGAGTGGCTTTTTTGCGCGTGTTGCTCCTAGCATAGCAAAAGAAAGGAAGGAAGCAGGCCATTCATAGATAATATTGTATTTTGTTTGTCATTAACAGCCAAATGGCATTACGAGACTCTGCATCTCTTGTTTGGCTGCGTTTTGCAGCGTTGTTCTGCGGCGCCACTTTAACTTTCTTAACGTTGCTGCAGGTAAGGATATGCTGAGAAGCGACGAATCTCTCACTGACAGTGATCGACGTTTCAGACGTCTTCAGGAAGACGTAGGAGGAGTGAATTCCTCGTCTTCTTTAAGACCTATGCTGATCTTTCTGGCACCGCCACAGTGCCGGTAGCCATCCACCGGAGGGGCTCGTTCTGCCCCTTACCAACGTTTCCGCTCAATTCTTTCCTTGTGGAAACTTCGGTTTCTGGAGGTCAGCTATGTTGCTTCCCCGTGCCTTCTGATTGTCAGCTCCATGACCATAGTCGCAAAAGTCTGGGGGGCGGGGTCCTGACTTATGGGTTTAGATTGGCAGTCCCGTTCTCTTTACGCCCATCAGTGTTGATGTCAGGAGTCACGGGGCTTTCTCCTGTTCTTCTGCGGCAAGAAGTCTCGGGGACAATGGACGTAGTTCTAAATTGTGTCGAGGAGGCCACGCTGAGCTGCCGCTTACAGGTGGCGCAGGGTAGGGGTTCAGTCGCTTCACCGAATCGCATGATAGCATTTTACATCGTGCTTGCAGTTAGCTGCATTACTCTAGAAACTAGTCTAATTTCTCGTAGGGTACAGACTATACGCGAATAGCATAGTGTGGGGTCCCCGTTACATGACATGAGGAGATTCACAGTGACGGCAGGGGTGCTCGCCTATAGAAATACTTCTGTTTGGAGCAGGTGTAGGAAGGCAATGAAAATCAGCCCATACGGGCAGAATACAAGACTGAGGAGCTGAAGAGTGCTTAGAGACAGATCTCAATACCGTAGTTAAGAGCTGGGAGGCCCTGAACAGTATCCAGTGGTACGACTCTGGACAAAGTTCTAAGCTCATCAAGCCTGTTCGGTGACCTAGAGAACTCGTTTTGGCGTCCGAAACGTCGCGTTACAGCCTCTTCTTTGAACAGTTCGGGGGGACTTTGAATTGTCGCCTTGTACGCAGTGTTTCCAAAGGAGTCCTTTGACCGTGAACTCTTATTCTGAAGCACTCAGAAGACAGGCGGTGTGGGAGAAATTGTCTATCTCACCTGTCACTGTAGTTTAAATACCCCCTTATGCCTTGCTACTCAGGTCTTTGAAACTTACAGTACAAGGTACTACTGTTATTCTGCAAAGGTGTTTTGGGAGGAAGGACACAGCTCTTCTCGTGTCTCTTCGTCCTTCTGAATACGCAAACTACCTTGGCATACGCCTTCCCGAAGGCTGGTTGCACCCACCGAGTGGTGAACCGCAACAGTGTCGCGTTTTCGTCACTTTGCTACTCAGTGGCGGTTAGTTCCTTGTTGGTGCATCGAGGGGAAAAACGCACTAGGCCCTCCTTCCCCGAAATGTCTTTACAGTCGGTTATCGAGTCAGGAAAACTACATCGAGACTCTAAAGGGCAGGAGGAACTATTGCAGAAGGGAACACAGCAAGCCACAAAAATACAGATAGAACTACGGCAGTCACGGAAGCATCGAGAAATAGCGAAAGCACACCCTTTCTTGAGGACAGCCGCCCCATCAGTCCGCCATTCCGCCCAAGCAGTTTAACGACTTCCAAAGCCTGCATACGCATAAACCGATGAGCACGTTAAGCGGCCTGTTTAGTACAGTGGCCAACTCCACCTATAGGGCTACCAACGCACGCCATCGAAGTGCGCACAGTAGCCTCAAAAATATCAAACGAGTAACAATCAGCTAGTATGTAGTCTGCGTATCTCACGTAAGCAGCTGCCATCGTATGCAAACCGAGCACGGGCGCATTGAAGAGCGCATCTGCTGGGGTGATTGTTGCCCTGAGTATCGCAGACGGGCTGGAACTGAGCGGGGCAACCGCAACCTAAGAAACCCGCAACGGCAACGCAGAGTACGCGTGTAGCATAGCACTTTGGAGCACACGAACACATTGTTTTGCTGTCTGTACTTTGACTTGAGCTCGAGTCATCTGAGCCGCAGGAAGAGCAAAGGTCGATTGTAAATTGTCCCTTACCGTATGAAGAAGCGCAAGGGCCCGAGTGGGCAATACTTCTACGCTGACACTTCATTTTGCATTCGCTCACGTGCGTTTGCCCCTGAGTGTCGCATACAGGGCTGTACATTTCAGGGCAGCTGCATCCTGAAAAGTCAACCGCAAACCTTGCACCTTTGAGGGAGCTGGCCCATTGAGAGATTTTAAAAGGTGACTCAGGACATAATAAACTTGGGCTGCAGCTGGGGGAGCTTTTCACTTTATGCGTTTATCGGGTAGCTACTGGCGGGACAAGCTAAAGAACGTTCCAGTCAACCAAAAAATGAAACGGCAACTGGACAAAATCTACTGGGACACGTGACGGCAGTTCTAGAAAACAATAGAAGATATTCTTACCTGCTGAGCTCCTACACTGGCCATTGTAAGCAAGCCTCTTGTTTCTGCATTGCAAGAAGCACCTGTTCTGGTGCGTGTTGCCTTCTGTGTCGCACACAGGGCTCCGGCTGTTGGAACAATTACACGCTGAACAGGAAAGAACAACACACGAAGCTGCTCCATGCTCCCTGGATAAGCGCATTTTCGAGTAGTTCGTCGTTACAGGCGACTCGACCGTGGAAACAGCAGCCTACATTAGAGAGAACCACATACTCCTCCGTTGGCAAGCAGAGCCCATTCACATGGTAAAATGAATGCCCTTGTTATTATGCTTGCTGTGTAAGGTGCCACAGGCAGAATCTCTGAAGTTCAGGCAAGTGCACGCTGCAGAATCGTAGGAACGATGACACCACGATTGCGTGTGAAGCCTATAGCTTGCATTTTGGGCAGCAGGGATGAGTATATGCAACGCCTGTAAGGTTAGAGTCCACTAGAAGGCACCAAATACGCGGCATACACACACCTACAGCGGATGCCGCCTCAAATGTACGAGCCTTACACCCGAATGCGAGCGATTGCCATCACTTTGCAAGTAATAACGCATGGATTTTGATGCAGTTTGTTCTACGTATCACATAAAAGGCTGCACACTGGGGTACGAGAATTGATAACTTTTTCTTTTAATCACTTTTGCATGAGCGCACTAACCTGTAGCTACCGCCCCCCACCAACGCCGCATGTCAACTGGTTGCGAGGGAGGAAAAGCACGCATGCGTGAAACAAGTATGAACTCGTCAGCAATTCTGGAATGAAGTTGCACAAGAGCTCAGAGGGGAAAGATATGCAATGCACTCCTGTTTAGCCAGCCAATAGTTCCGCACTAACCTTGCCTTCTACTCTGTGCTTGAGAACAAGCACCTTGACGCACTGATCGGGCTCCTTCCCTCCGAGCTATGCAGATGTTTCTGTATGTTCTCCCGTTGGAGCCACACACTGGCTGGTAAGTCGTAGGGCACGTTTGACCTGAGGATGCAATGAGCAAAGGACGCTACGCATTATGAAAGGAGTGAAGCCAAACCCCTAAACCCTAATTGTTCACTATTTCAAGCGTAGCCAGCTGCGAGATGGCACTGTCATAGGTAGGGCCTTAATGCTCAGTCCCGCATACACATTAAAATGAGAGCTAGGGAAGCAGAGTTTCCAACTGGTTGAGCAAGAAGATTCTGCACAAAAACCTAAGTGTCTCCCCAAGTGGCAGCGGCTTCTATACATCTTGTAGCGACTCCCGCACACGGGAGTCCCAGCCGGAAAGCAACTGCAGTCTGAAGGCGAGAATATACTCGATCATTGTGTATTGTATGGCTTTATTCAATGCTATCCAGGATGAAGGCCTGAGGCATTCAACAAACCGTCGTACCTCTTGAGACGGAAGCTGGAGCCACCAGGGCTACCTGCACCATTGCTAGGAGAAGCAGAAGGCGAATAGGAGAAAACATCTTTGGGGGTGTATATTTAAGACTTTATGCAAGGAAGAAGCAGGAGTGGAGTTCAGTGCTCTCAATAAGGGAAGGAGGGGGGGAAAGTCTCGCGCTGTGCTGGCTAGTGAAACAGAAAAACCACTGGTCAGGAAAAACCGCCAGAGACTGTCACTTCTCGGGATGTTGTTACCGGACCAAAAGCAATTTTAGCAATTTCCAGTTGATTATTTCCTGGATTTACATAACAGAAAGAATAGCGTTGCGAAAAAATCGGCACCACGGAGCTAACTGCACGTCGCGCTTTACCGCCCAGGGCCTGGTGAAAATTAGTTGTTGAGTTGTTGAGCTGCGCATATTCAGAGTTAAGATAATATACGTAGTAATTACAAAGCGCTTCGATAAAGCGGTTATATCTTCAACTTTATGGAGCGTTTCGCTTGCCGCGGGCGACAAGGCGGTACAGCAGTAGTGTCGATAAGCGATCGAGTGACCCTAGCTCAATTCCGTCGTCAGCTCACGAATTCCTCCTCCGATGAGCATTTCTCAACCATAGAAAATGAGGATAATCATGTTTAGCTTGTCCTAGCATTCTCTGGTACTCTCAAGTCCGCAGCAACAGTGCGCATGTACACACATTGCCCTTCAACGCTCGTCCTCCCACGAGGAGAATCACGCAGCGCATAACCCTACAGTGAGCTCTTTCACGGTGTATATTGACGAGAAGAGTGTACCGTCCTGCTAACTTCCAACTCCACACGCCTCTTCGCTAGTTGTAAACGCCAGCCTTGCTCACAGCCACCGGCTACCCTGTGGCACCTATGGCTTGACAGAGTTTACCAACACCATTTTTTCTCAGAATCACATTATGTTAACAAGCTAGTACATCCAAGAACGTAACCCTTGCACGCACTCAGTGTGAGGCAGCTGGACAAGCTGGATACAGCCTCCTACCCGTGCATGCATGTTGTTCGCAAGTGCCAAGCCTTATGTAACGCTAGAGATAAACAGAAAAAGGTTCACGCACTTGGCGTGCAGCGAGCGTTTACATAGATTTTCTGCGTGATCATATGCCTTGCTCCGACGGTGTGCCCAGCCGCCTGCACAGTTAGCCTCTGTCAGGCGCCTGCAGGTCAGGTCCGCAGGTCTAGTCAGTCACTTTCCGTAACTGCTACGCTTGTGCTGGCTGCTGTTGCTGTACTGCCGTATCGTTGAGCAGTCCGTGGAGATCCTTTTTGACAGACGTCAAGCGACCGTAGAGTTGCTGCAAGATCACACATCCGAATCCCGGAAACCTCGTCAACGCCAGATGAGCAGGCAGACGGCACAATTTTGAGGCCAATGGACCATACGAAGCCAGCGTTGAGCGAATGTAAATTCGTGTTCCTTTCACTAGCGCTTCTGGAATATTTTTTGATCCCCTTCGCATCGACACACTAAAAGTGGGTAGAGGTGCTGCGGTAGTTGGTGTGTGTTCACAAATGGGCAGCCAAGGCGCACCTGAAGAAACATATGTTTAGCGCGCTCCCTTAGGACTTCCACACGCCTCTCTTCGGTCCGAGTCTTCACTGCTTGCTGCTCCGACTCGTGCAGTTTCGTGAATGATGCAATGCGGGCGTCCAGCTGTAGCAATTCAGCGCTCTTCTCGCCTGTTCACCACAGCAATCAAACCCTTGTCAGCCTCCATGGGGCCTTGTGAATGAAAACAAAGTGAAAGCAGCAAGAGTTTAAGCCTGGTGCTGTATCTGCTGTTGTAACCCTCATTGGCATGGTTACAGCAGCTGTATCTGCCGTTGTAACCATGCCAATGAGGAGGCTCCGTTCCCTTGCCAGTCAACGAAGACCCATCTAAACGGTGCTATATAGCCTGTCTAGTGTTTGAAAAAATAACCCTCTGTATACTTCGAATGCACCCTTTCTCCTGTAAGAAAACCTGAGCCTCACTTATTGCCTTTGCAAGCTCCTTTTGGCGGTTGGTGTAGCCCGCCGACAGCACCTTATACTTTTTCTCTAGCTTCTTGGTTCGCTGGACAGCCGATGCAAGCCCCGCTTTCAATGTTTCAACTTGATGCGCGTACACTTGGAGCCGCTCACTCGGGCTTAGGGTGGATGAAGAGACGTACCTGCAGAAAAACACTGCTATCACTTCCTGCTGTAGTACCGGCCACTAGAAAGTCGGGAAACCAACATCCCCCATTCACCACATCGCATCAGTTCATCAATCGCACGCAGAAGGCAACAATCGTGGCTAGCACGGAGCGTCTCCCTGGAATAATGCTACGTGCTGGCATCCAAAGAAACACGAGCTACCAACCGTCACTCTACGCCTGCAGTTCACACTCACGATTTGGAAGCTGGGTTGAAGACCAGCTGCGTTTCCAGGGTGTACACAAGTTTGTCCAGTCTCGGGTAGTTCTCGTCTATGCCCCAAGACGCCAATTCCATTTCTACAAGTTCTCTCGCCGCCTAACCACACACGCGTATGAAGGTGGAGGCAGTTTGTGTATGGGTCTTCTGCATACTTCATCCCAGCACAAGGTCATATCACTATCCGACGAAAATATTCCAAAACCTCCGTAGGGTGTGTTAACGAACTGTATTAAAATACCTGCATTTCTTCCAAGGTGCACGGTTCGAGCCCCGCAGCTGGCGGAGGCGGCTGCACGCAAAAATCGCAAAGTACGTTTTAGGCTGTACTGTTGTACCAATACAGCAGGAACCGCAGCCTAGGGAGGGGAAAATACTGGGAAAATGGAATAAACCAACACCTACGAACAGCAAGTAGCAGGGACAGCCGGCATCAGCAGGTATGGACTCACGTTAACCCCGCGAAATGGATGTTCGTAGCAGTCGTGTTGAACAAGCAAGGTCTGCAAAAAAAAAGGAAAGTGTCACCACTGTCCGAAAACAGATCCAAGACCAAACTCGAAGAAGCCATAGGTGAAATCAAGGAAGGCAGGCACTCTGGACCCCTGGAATCGCTATTACGCGTCCCTCCAGCGAAGAAATAAGACCCCGTTTATCCGGAAAAGCATGCACAAACCGAAGACATGCGCTGCCAGCGGTTCCGCGGGCACTTGCAGCCAACTACATCCTAGAAGAGTTCCTCAACAGCACCAAAAAAACGCATTTTCTTTGAATGAATAAAACCATATATACCCACCATAACGTTCTCAGTAAGAGCGGCTGCCTCAGAAATCGCTGCAACAGCCGCATCCTTCCCCTCCTCAGTAATAATTGTGTCATCGTCCTGCTGCAGCTGTTGTTGGACAGCTGAAGCAATTGCCGAAGCAGCGTCGATAGATGAAGTTAACAATTTAGGTGGGGGAAGTATGGGCCTAGGAAGCTGCCGTTGCATCACTTGAGTTTGCTCCAAGAAACGCCGCCGCGCTGCCTCGGCTGCGCGTTGCGCCCGACGCCTCTCCACCTCTTCCATGTCCAGGTCCTGAACGAAACCACACCAAAAATGGCCTCTCATCTGAAACCCAGTTTTCAAAAAAAGAACCACTGGAGGCATCGTTTCAGCCCTGAAGTGAAAGTGAAGAACTTCAGCCCAAGCGAATGTTCAAGGCGCCCACGACAGAGATATGCATGTCTAGTCTGTTTCCAAAAGCGTTCTCAGGAAGACGTGAATAGATCGTAGGGAAAAAAGTAAGCACGGCCTCAAACTGGGGGGTCACTTAATTCGGCCTTACAGCCTCAGACTCCAGGAGCTCCTTCTCCTCCTCGGTAATGTCATCTGGAATTTGTCCAGTGACATCATTACGGGGAGCAGGGAGGGAGGCAAGAGAGGTGCGCGCTTGGAGACGAGCAAGCTGCAATTCTGCTTTCGAACCCATCCCTCCTCCCTCCGAGGCAGACCCGGCGTCAGATGGATCGTTGAGTGGAGTGGCGCTGCTGCCGTGGCCCGTTGAGGTAATGCGAGTGGCTGGACAGTCAACAAGAAACAAGGACTCACAGCATTAGTCAAAACAAGCAGTAGATGAACCCCTTCATTGCTGTAAAGAGGAAAGCGTGTCAGCCCGCACATTCAATCACGAAGGCTCTAGACTCTAATTCCGCCCTTCGCCCCATTGCATGCCAAGATGCAAGCGACTGAAGAGAGACAACGTGCAAGTCGCTTCTGCCTGACCTGCAGTTAGTGGCGTGTCAGATATGGTTCCAGTCAAGCGGCTCCCACGGAGCTGCTGCTGTAAAGCATTGGGCGTTCGAACATCACCCGGTGTCAATCCCTTTCCCCCGGGAACTTCCTCTATTTGTGCATTTTCCTCCCCCTGTGACGCAGTTGAGAAAGACAAGCAATGCTTGGTGTCCCTCCATCTCTCTACTTCCGCCTTCGGAACCCGTGAGATGTACACCTAGCGGGTATATAGACATCTTAGGAAGGCATTGCAAACACTAGCGCAACGTAATGCTTGCACCCAGCCAAACGTGCATGCTTGCGTATGCAAATAGGTACTGGTTCATCTTGCCGAATACTCACTAACCTAGCACTTCGTCTACTTCTCACTTTAGTTTTTCTGCCTGCTTACCTCCAGTGGGGTTTGGATCCCAAGAAGAGCCAGCGCATTGCGCGCCTCCTGCTGGACGCGTTCCGAACGTCGCGGGATGCGGGAAATAGCCGTAGACGGTGTGGACAGCCCTACAGCAAAGGCAGGCGCACCCACATGAAGAAATCAATCGCCAAGCTGCGAGCAAGCAATGCCAGTCCACATCTGTCTAGAAGAGCACACCGAAAACCTAATGCCTACAAAAACGCTAGTCAAACCCAAAGTACACCCGAGCAAGTACAAGCTTGAACCACCCCTCACCTTGTGCTAGTAAAGTGGAGGTTTCGTCGTGCCCATCTGAACCCGTCAGGAGTGAAGCCTCGGCCCCAAGTCGCACCAACTCCTCCTGCAGGTCAGCAGAAATCTGTAGCCTCTGAAGTTGTTTCAGGTTGGAATGATGCAAGAGTCCACTCCTCCCTCCCAGGATGCAGCAAAAATTGAAACCGCGCTAAAATTTAGTTTGGGCAGGGAATGTGCCCTTCACTAGCTGACCAGTTCATGCTCCTTTAGCATGGGCTCCGGCAAGTTAAGCTTAATTTTCTTAGCAATGGCTTCCTTTTTCAGTTTTTCCTCCTGCAGTTTTAAGTACTCATCAAGATGGTCTTCTCTAAGCCTCTTCAGCTTCCTTGCATCTTCTTTTCTGAGCTTCTCTTCTTCTCTGGCGCGCATAGACCCCTCCATGTGTTGAAGGCTGCACACATATTACCACGCCAAAGCTAAGGTGAGATATAATCTAGGAAGCCAATGAATAATCATCACACAGCCCACTCACACATCTCATCCGAACGAATGCTGCAAGCACTCTGGTGCGGAGCGAGGCCTTAGTTCGCCGCTTGGGCACAAGTACGCTTAAAAGCAAACAAGCTACTGCCCAGCTTGAAGGTACTGTAGGAACAACGACAGGAAGTTATTTGGGGACAATGCAAAAATTGTAGGATAGTATGGGATTGACTTGTTACCTGATGTTGGCAAAGTTCAGATTACCCTCTGGATTTTCTTCTGATGGCACCTCGTAAAACCCTACGGCCCCAATAAGGATTCCACAGGAGATGCATTAAAGATAAAGGTCTGGCTTTGCCAACAGGGTTGCCCCCAGCTCACTACACATCCTCTTAACACGACAAACGCATTTCTCCCGGCACAAAGCTGCACAATTGTACAAACATCAACGGTGCAACGACAGTTACAAGCCATGAAACTCGCGCCTAATGCAAACCTGGGGGCGGCTTCTCTTCAAAGGGAACCTCTTCGTATGGCTGGAAATTCTTTCTCGTCCTTCTCTTTGCCCCCGTAATGATCCCTGTTCGCACAAGCATGACCCAATAGCGTTTCCAGTTCTAATGCTAAAGCGTCTAATGCAGATATTCCCCCTACAGTTGAAAAATCCGTCGGCGGAACTGCTGTCACTCCAAATTTTTCACCCACCAGCCGCCTTCAGTTCCCTCTTTTTTTGCAGTGCCGCTAGTCGGCGAGCCTCCTCAAGTTGCTTTTCTCTGGCCTGTGTCAAACACCTCCCAGATCATCCTCAACTTCGCATGTTTACCGAATGGTGTGCTAGCCACTGCACATGTAATGCCAGGTCTACCTGGGCTGCTGCATGTGCCTGCAGTGAAGATCTCCATGTCAGCTACTTCGCAGTGAATTTCGTATTATAAAGGCATGCTCAGATTCACGCGCACACACCGACGCTTTCTCATGCAGAGCAATGGCAAGTTACATACATATTGCTCACCTTACGCTTGGCCTTCTTGCCACGCGTGTTCGCTAGACGGGCTCTGGCCTCTTCAAGCATCTCTTTTTCATCTTCCGCCATATCAATGGGGTCTGCAGAAGGGGCAGGGCCACACGGAAGGCAAATGACGATCATGCTTCGTTCTCTCTTCCCCCGCCACTTAATATTTTATGACACTTCTATCAAGAACGCTCGTTGCCGCACTAGACCTGACGTTTCGCTCTCCACCACCCACCTGCACGAGAAGGCTTGGTCTCTGGGTGCGGATCAATCTCTCCAGGTCTCAGCCTCCGCGGATCTTCTCTCCCCCGCTGCAACACGCAAAACTCGAAAGTGCTACAGCGATACTGCTAGAAACGGGGGCCTTCCGATGCCACGCACGTCGTGTACCTCTAGCACTTCTGTACGAGAAAAAAAGCAGCTACAGTAGCGTCACAACAGCTGCAGCAGCATCGGCCACAGATAGAACAACGCAAACAGCACTAAGTGCAGCGGCAGAAGCGCCACCAGTTCTTACAAGAAAACCAACTCCTCTCCCCGGTGCCTTGCGACTTCCCGGCGCCTGGGAGAACCCCGTGCCACTGGGTTTTCCCTCCTCCCCTTCCATCCCCTCTGCAGCAAACAAGCAATGTGCCTTACCAAGAAAACTTTTCTCTGCAGCAAAGCCCAAGAGGGGATACGAGAAATGAGCGTGCCAAGGGATACGCGCCCGTCTTGTATCAAAAGGAACGAAATCTGAACTGTATGCACGCCTCGAGGGGCACAATGAAAAAGAAAAAGCAGTGTCTGCAACCACAAGTGAGCAACTTGCCCTGCGCTTGATCCAGAAGCTCCTCATAGTGCATGAGACACTGGTACGCGGTGCGTCCTACAATGGGCGCAATTGTGCGCCACTGAGAAGGCATGATTTTGGCAAGATGAAGAAGCTTCTCCTCCTCCTCAAGTGTCCATTCTGTCTTTTTCACACTGGGGTCCAGCCACTCGTACCTGTATATACAGTCCAGCCCGATATGCGTAGGAACACCCCAACTGCAGTGCTGCCCTTGGTTGCCTTTCCCTCCTCGCACGCATCCAGTAATGCTGTTTCGAAGCAACTCCTCCACTTATACTAAAAAGATAGCCTTACCATCTGGCTTTGCACTGCTTGGCGGATTTCTTAACCAGGAGAGAAGCCACACGACTCCAGTTGTTGAGGCCATATTTCATGACCGCCGCCTTCAGGATTTCATCTTCACTGTTCCTCCACACCCCTCCTTTTATGAAAATTCGCACCATTTCCTCCCCCGATTCCAAATATCAATGGACCGGGAGACCGTCTTCCCCTGCCTTCCCTCTCGCACGACAAGAGGATTCACGCGTAGGTGTCGCTACAGGCCGCAAGACACTGATTCCAGGCTGATATCGCTGAAGTTATCAGGCAGATGCAATCCTCCATGCATCCCTCTCCACCGAGTCTAGCGTATGCTCTACAAACTTCGTAGCTGCTGCGGCATACTCCCCGACGGCCGCACGGGTTGTTCGTCGTCTCCGCGACGATCACCGATGTGATACCTGACAAGAAGCAGCAGCTTCCTAAAATTATGACCGATGGCAACCAAAATACGCTTCAACAAAGGTTTAGCCCTACCCGCTCCCTGGCCGCAGCCACTGCATGCATGCAGTGAAGCGGCTACCAGCTGGAAAACAAGAACGCAACTCCGACAAAAGTACTGCTTCAGTTTAAAGCCCACTTAATAAAAACAAGAAAAAGCGTTTTACGGATCAAGCAAAAAACAGTAGTGCTTGGCCGTGCTCGGTGTCCGGCTGCAGCACCTGCAGTAGTCGCTGCGAGGTCAGGACAACAAAATGACAGGAACGGGGGCAGAAATAAACCCAGTAGCTGAAATGTTGTAAAAAAAGTTCACAGATATCGGCTGCAATGGGCTGGCAACATTTGATACTTTTCATGAGGTCTGTGTAGATTGCTGGGGCAAGCTATGCGGTTCCAGAGGCAGTCTGCATGCTTTAGTGTGCGCGCCTGTCAGGCGTGAACTGAGTTGATCTTGCGCCTCAGAGGACTTACTTCTGCCTTATCGTCACCTTTGTTTGCCGCATGGTGATGACCATTACTTGGCCTTTCCTGCAAGCTCGCGCTTGCAGGTTGGCTAGTGATAGCCAAGGTGATAAGAAATTGTCTAGGATGTACTGCACGTAGCAAACGCATACTCGGGTAAGCATGTGGGGTTGCCTCGCAGGAGGGGCTGTATCTCATGGAAGGGCTGCTTTCGTCCCCAGCCCTAGACCCTTGGGCCACTGTGCTCAGGAACTCTGGAGACATGAAGGGAGGTCCGCTGCTTTGGAAGAATGCTTCTTAGAAGCATCTCGACTGTTTTGCAGCTCACGACAGCTCTCAGCAAAGATCGAAGACCCTCGTTACTCTTTCCAGCGGCACTACACAGAACCTGCCACGTGTACAAAAGGTGTAGTTTCCCACTTGTGTGGGGTTCGGATCTTCGCTGAAAGGCGACCGGAACAGCTGTTTCCAGTCGAGAGCGGCCAAACTGCTCCTTTCTGTAGGGGGGGCATTTCTTCTGGAATGAGATCAGTCGTCTACCTTTCATCTATCATTCATGCCTTTCTTTAGCGAGCTGAAGGGACCACATGAGCATTGCAATCGTTCCTAATTTGTGGCACATCGAGTCGCCTTTCGGCTGCTTCATTTCCCTCGTGAATTCTCAGCACAAATATCTGGAAGGAGAGAACAGCATTAACACTGGGAGGGCTGCAAGATGAGGACCCCTCTGTGTATGAAGCCAGAAAGAGAACGTCAACCAACTGGCTCAAGGGAGTGCACCCTGCCTTTTATTTCGTCGGGCCTGTTTCTCAACCGAGGATCGCTGAGCTGAAAGAATAATAATTACGAAACGTGAGGAGTTGTGCACGAAGCGTGGACCTGTCCATACAACTTGAGGGCTCGTTCATGCGAATGCCCCCTCACATACTGCACCGCAGTTCTAGCCCGTCCCTTGTGGTCCCCGCAGTGGTCTATGAAGGCACCATCTCAGCAAATCTGCTGTGTGAGCAGCAAGCCCAAACGGCTGCTTTTCCTGAGCTCTTTCGGGGAGTTCCCGATGTAGCAATGCGACGGGGACATTCCGCTTTCTTGCCTGTGCAGTAAGTGGCATTCACCCATGGAACTGCCACAACCGTACCAGTCGCAGCGGAAACAACAAAAATAGCAGCAGTCTCCGTTGCTATAGGGTGCCTTTGCTGCCGGTTCGACGAGGCAGTTGTTGAGGCAAGCACCGCATCTAAGAAACATTGATCAATTCCTTCCGACTATTTATAGCGATTGTCATACGTTCCAGCGCACATACAGCTGGAGCTAATTGTGGTGGTGTAGCAGTAACAAGTCAACGGGAAAACGTAAAGCCTTCGACTATAACAGGGTTTTGTAGCGGGGGCAGTAAGGCATTAAGGCGGGATGGTGCCAGATATGAACTGTCTTCCGTTAATATGATCCTTAGTGCACTTGTTTTAAGGCATTCAAAGAATAGTGATTGATGCAGACATCTCCACTTCAAAAACACAACGCAACCGGCGACACCTTGCATACTCAACAAGGTGCTCTGGCGCTTCACTCGCGAGCGGTTCAGTGGACCGCCTGCTGACAGTGTAAATCTTTGGATCTTCTGCAGTGAATATTAAACCCATGCAAGAAATGCAAGTGAATTGAAATAAGCTGGTTGAGCTGTACTACTGAACATGCTGGGTTCAACGGGGGCCCCCGAGGCAGCCTGTGTTCAGAGCACCGGGCCAAGCAGAGCTCCTCAATGGCTCACAATTAACGGGTGGTTTTCCGTGGTCTTCTAAAGACCTTCCGTTTTTTGGTTTTAGAGTTTTGAGACTTATGTATTCTTTATCGCTTCTGTAGGTGCAGAAGAACTGGCGAAAATAATTATCTAGGGGGCCGGCCTTCCGCGCTGCCGAGCACGACTCGCTGACTCTGTCTCCCCCTGCCCAAATAATCCCCAGGGAATGACCCTCGTTTACATCGTTCCACTCATCTCTGTAGCGCTCATACATCTCGTTGAGACCCCTGAGACGCCACCACTTTGGAAGTACATGCAGCCCGGGGCCTCCTAGCTCCATCGCCCGCCTCAAAGCGACCACCAGCTGAAGTCGCGGCAGCAGCAAGTCCGGCAAACACGGCAGCTACAGCATAGAGGGTCTCATCAGGGGTATTCACCGCTACCCAGCGGTCGCTCTGGGGGCTGCTGCCTTCTTGGTGACCCGGAGATCGTCTCGTTGTGCGCTGAAGGCGTTCGGCCCAGCGACGAATGGACACCCAGGAAGAATCAGCGGCGCCCCCTGGTGCTGCTTCATGTTTTCAATCAGCTAGAGATGCTTGACTGGGCCGCGCCAGCTACGTAGCTGAGTGCGGCAGAACGGCGAGGAATATCAGAAGCGGCGGCAGTAACAGCAGCTTCAAGCAGCGGCGGTTAGCACCACTCACATAAGCAGGAGGAGCACCCACAGGGGTTTCTGGAGCGTCTGTAGCCTGTCTTTGGAGTAGCAGCCTTAGCAGGAGCAGCCACAGGCAGTTGCAGCAGCGTGCGCCTCAGCCGCCGCATGTGTTGCCTCTGAAGCGCTTGGGCGTCGGTCGGACAGCTGCGTAAGCATGGGACTTTCTGCATTTACAGACAATGCTTGCTAACATCCTTGACCAGGTCATCAAGACCTACGGCAAGGAATTTCTTGGGGATTGGGACCCAATCAACAACTTCAGGTTCGCCTGCACTTAACCCAGAATGCCCAACCTTTCCCGCACGGTTCCTGAAGAACCCACTAAAGGGAATTAAAGAAATTAGGCAGGATAAGGTCATATGTGGGCACCCTGGAGTTCCCCAGGGGGTTCTTGGGGGCCATGTGAAATCCTTGTACGGCCGCTGACAGCGGCGGACGGCCCTTCCTGGGGGCCTTCTAAAGATATGGCGTGGCAACGGCGCATGCCCTCATTGAGCACATGAGCAGATTAAGAACGAAAAAAGCTTCTCTATGCCATGGCTTAAAAGCAGCTGGCGCAAAGACGTATCTGTTATGTGTGGCCGTAGCCGTGTTGCTCTATCGAGACTGGGTAGACGTTTGCTTGTACTAAATGTTCACCGGAGGGAAGAAGCGAGTGAAGAGCTTTGTGAAGGGGTTTTTGAGCACGTGAACGATTGGTACGTGATGACGCAGAGAGAGCGTGATTTTTTGTCTTTTTGATGCGGCGCAGGATCGATTCGCTGACCGATCCAGAAATCCACCTCACCAACATTCCCTTTCCCCAACAGTTGTTTGAACTCGCCGAAATCCCATTTGCAGTGGATTACTCAAACATAGCCAAGGTGGGTACCCCATAATCTACAAATAGGCATGGATGGTGCACAGCCTCGTGTCTCCGGGGCGGGGCCAGGAGCTGTTTTATTGTGAGGCACAACACCAACAGGCTTTGCAATTGGCAGTCCTGACGTTAACCAAATATTTGCTGGTTTTCCTCCAGGTCCGGGCAAAGTTTTCTTGGCAGACGTTTTTCGGAACGCCAGGCACTTATCCCTTTGCCGTCGAGGCGGAGGACCTCGAAATCCGGTACGATCATATCATGGGGAGTGCCGCATGCGGTATGCGTGTAAGGCTTCTTCTGCTTGTGCCCCGCTGCCACTGCTGTGCGCGGGCACAGTGAAGCATCTCCTCACGGTGGTATACTGGGCTCCATTTGTTTGCCTCGCAGACTTCAGCCAACTTCGCCGCACGCTAGGCGATGCGGGTAGTCCGTTCTGTCTGGCCTCGTTTTCTGGCCTTGAAATCATTAGTGTTTTGACATGGGGACTTGTCCTTTGTACGTCCAATTCGCTGTTTCTTTGCAGGATCCGCCTGCTGTATCCAAGCGAATGGAACAGCGAGTTCTGGCGCGACAAGATTTTGAAATCGAAGCTGAAGCGGACTGTTTTGTGGGAGCGGTTTGCCTCTTTGCTGGGATCGGCCCAAGGGGACAGGTCGTCAGTTGCGCAGACATTAGAGCCAAGAATTGTCAACTCCTTGGCCATTCGTGTTCGCAACATTCATGTGCACATTGTTGATGACAACTTGGGAGCGACTCCGTGGGCGTTCGAGGTAGGGCAAAGCCACATCGGATACATGTGGTGGTTAGCCCCAAGAACGCTGTGCTGCCGCGGGGCACCTTCACGCCTCCATGCCTGCTTTGCACGCTTTGGCATGCCGTTGACGCCTTTACCTTGCCGCACTTGCTGTAGCAGCCTGTGCTCCGCAGCACAGCCCACGGATGGGGGCGAATGAAGTGGAGGCGTAAGGAGGGGGATGGACTGAATGGCTTCTTGCGAAACACCGTTGTACATCCTGGCAGAGATGGGTATCTGGCGACTACCATTGTACATATAGACAGAGATGTGTGGCTTATTCCTCTTTGCCTTGTTGCAGTGTCACGTTGATGAGTTTTGCATCGACTCCCCCAAACGGGGAGATCCCCGCATCTCCGAAATGGAGGCCACAGGTGACTTGAAGGGCCCCGCTGCATCTGCAAGCCAGCTTTGAAGGCATTCGAACTACTTGAGAATGCCGCAGAAGTGTGTTGTGCGTCGCATACATAATGCGGCGTGCGGCGAGCGCTCCGTATGAATGAGCTATCTTTGGTTGTAATTGTGAGTGTATGTGCAGGGCTGGAGCAGTGTCTTTTGATGGGCCTGTGGATGCGGTTTGTGGGGCTACACATTTGGTACAGGGAATTTCCGAGGCCCCAACTCAAGGGAAGAGCGGGGGTTTCTGTCAACATTGACAGAGTGAGTAGTACCCTGCATTCCTAAACGTTAAACACTTTGAACTCTGCAGCATCTTCACCTGTCCTACCACACAATCCGATCGAACCTGTTTTGGTTGTCCTCAACCACTCTTCATACCTAAAGCCAACGCAGAGGGGCGCAGTGTATCGAAGCAGTTTCTGTCTGATTGCTTGCACAAGGCAGGGTTGCGCTACTCACTTTGCAGGCTCGGGAGTTACGCCGCCGCCTCCGGCGGAATCCCAATGATGAGGAGGCGCAGCAGCTACTCTCAAAGTTATTGCAGAGGGACACGGATTCGCCGACGAGTGTTCCATCGTCTAGTGGGGGTAAGGCGGAAGCAGTTGACGGAGGAGCCGGAGCAGCACCTGCATCTGCAGTTGTTGCTGCTGCTCCTAGCATTTCTGGGATTCCAGAGACTCAGAACGGAGTCTCTAGACTCGGGGCAGAGTCACACCTTCGAGAACGAGCGAGATCAGCTGCGGAGCCTGGCATTGACGAGGGAGCGCTCGCAAATATGCTGAGCAAGGAAATCCAGGAAACCCTACACATTGAAGATCAAAACGTTTCGCTTTCGCTTGCCTCTAGATTCCTGCATTGGTGGCGTGGTGCGTGTGAGACTTGGCTGTTAGAGAGAAAGAACTCTTCTACCTCGATACCGTTTGATGTAGCGTTAGTTATGCGTTTTCTGCTGGTTCGCAGTATTATCTGCTTGTTTCCTGCTTCCGCTGTCTTGATGGTTTTGGCGCGATTGCAGGTAAAGAGCCGCCTCCCAGGTCTGCAGGGAGCGACGAGCCGCCGTTGACTCCATTGAGCGCTGAGGAACTTCTCAACATAACCGAAGACACGGTGAAGAGCGGTGCACCTGAAGCTCGCTCTACCGCGCAGCTGCCTTCATCACCAGCGGCACCTATCACAGGCATGCCAGCAGAAGCAGCAGGTGTAGCTGCTGCAGCTAACACCGCTAGTGCTTCCGCAGAAGCTGCAGCAGAGGCTGCGGCCAAGGCAAACGCGGTAGCAGCAGCAACTCTACGCAATAATGAGGAGGAAAGCGACTCCAGCACCAACGGCAGCACTGATACGGACGCAGAGCTTTTGAATGGTGTGAGAGCTTCTAGAGCTTTTAAAGTCGTCCCGTCGCAAATAAAGGATCTTCTAGATGACAACACACATGCGCTGCGTGTTACCCCTAAGAAAGGAATTGAAAGTAAGATTAGTCAATTTAATCGACTGATAAGCTGCCACTATGGTTTTTTCACTTATGTACACGATACACCAGCTTGAGGGTAGTGGGTAGTGAATTGAAGTTCATGCCCTTTTCAGTTGAGCTCAACAGGCTTTTTGTAGGCTTTTAACAGTGATGCTAGGCGCACTTGTTGTGAAGGGACAGTTGTTCCTGTTGAAAACCAGCTTTGCATCGCACCAAGCCGCATGGGGACGTGCCTGCCTGTAGTTCTGGTCTTTTGAGTGGGATACGCATGCATGGTGTAGCTGCACAAGCGCTTGCTTGAATTGCTTGAATTGGATGTTCGGGCGATTCCTGTTGACATTGAGCGGCGTGTTGTCGCAGTGCATATTCTCTTCAAGAAGTGGGAGCTGAGAGCCTTGGGATCGAACCTTGCGGTGAACAAACAGAGTTGGAAGACAGTGGAGTTGTCGTTTTTGCACCACGACCCAAGTCTATACGTTCCTCTCCCGGGTACAGACCGCCCCGCTGATTCAACGCAGGGCCATCACAGTACTCCTGTGGAGAGACAGGAGCCGCCTCCCCCTGTGTTCGACGGCAGCATGGACCACAGGCCCTTGCAGCTGACGCTCACCTCAGCCGCATTAACGTCACTCTTCAACTTTGTCAAGCTCATCGATGTTTGGTACATCTTCCTCAAGGGCGCATCGAGGCCCACTAGGTCAGTTGATCGTGTGAATCTTCGCCAGCTGTCTACTTAGTCTCTCCTGTATACTCTGTTCGCGCTGCACGACGTATGCAGATTGGCGGTGCGGGGTGAACGCCTCATGTTGAAAGGATTTCGGGTTGGGCGGGCTTTGCTACGACCGCAGGCTGGTGGCGCGTGAGGAGGAGTGCGCAACGTACGTAGAGATGTGGAAGCGTCGGCTCACTGCGAAGGTAGGAAAAATGATTACCAGAGAATTTGCTACTGTCTAGGACAATTATCTAGCAAAGGCTTTGCTGTTGTGTCCCGTTGAAAAATCCTCACATCTGGCGATGATAACCCATTGGTTCGTACGAACTTACGCGTGCACTCACTTTTGTGCGCCTCTGTCTCGGCTCTTATTGCATTGCGGCTACAGGCGGAGATGCGAGAAGTTGTGGACCGTTTTATTTCAGACTTCGAGCAGAGCAGTCCACTGTATTTAATCCTTAAGCTGAGACAGGTTCGTCGGCAAGTATAGTTGGAGGGCCTTTTAGTGTCTTTAAGGGAAGCACGATGTTTGGCTAGGATAGACTTGGGATACCTAAGTGCCGCACTGGATATTGCCACTGGCTGCTCCGATGCAACCTCCTGAACAGTTGTGCCAAGGATGATGGCTCGAAGGGGGGTGTAACGAGAACGGAGCAAAGGGACCCCCAGAGAGGGCAGCGGGCTACTGGTTAATGGCCTAATAGGGCTTCTTGGGGGCTGCTTGAAATCAGTTGGTCCTTGTTTGTGCTTAACTCGCAGTTGGCAGAAGACAATTTGACTTGGCGGGACGGCGTCAGCGCTGCAGTGTTGCAGAAGCAAATATTCGGTCGTTTTACGGAGACTTGCTGCCGCCCTCAGCGGCTGGGGAGCATGCAGTGGGCAACTGGCGAGACAGCAGAGACCCGCTTAGACGGCGTAGATGGAGGGGACTTCGAGTTTACAGACCGCGAGAGGCTGCTGTTCGAAGACATTGCATGCACCGTAGACGAGGCTGCAGGAGATGACCGGGGGGGCTTCGGAGGCAAACGATGGTTCTACATAGACGGCATAACTCAGGTGTTAGCACCAAATCTGTGCCTCCATCTGCTGCCCCTAGTGCAGCCGGGCATGCACATAGCCCAGCCAACCAACTTGCAAATCCAAGAAAAACGCCGCAGACCGAAGGGGAGTTTCAGTAGGCTCGGGACGCTGGGACTTTTAGAACGGCTGGAGGCTCAAAAGGTTTCGGCAACCCGCGCGCCAAACCCACAGAGGGAGCAGTTGCCTCCCACGACTTTGATGTTCCGCATCTGCACAGACTTCAAGTTTCGCCAGGAGAAGAGAAATGATTTTTTCAAGTGCCATGACATCTTCATTGATTCGGTTTTCGTTGAAAAAGGATTTGCAGCCCTTAAGGCGAAATCTTGCGACGAAGCGGTTTCGCTACGCGCGCGCCACAACCCTGAACTGCAGGTACGCAACACACCCTATTGGTACTTACTGCGTTTTCCGTGTGTTGTTGACGTCTCAGTTGCTTGCAGTATCCATTGTGTTTGCGTGAGGAGCTTTAGCGCAAAGGTTTGAAATTTTGCCTTCGTGTCCTGCCTAACATGTTCTTGTGTGCTGCAGACGCCGTTCCCCAATTTGCTAGTGTTCGCTACTCCGCTGGGGGACGTGGGGTGCACCACTTGCATATATTTGCCTGCGGATCCCCCCTCCCGTATTGGATGGGGTATCGGTCCTGCGCGGCCACCGTTAAGAGGCCGTGGGGAGGACTGCACCCAGCGCACCGCCTCGCACGGCGATGATCTCTATGGCGAATACGATGCAGCGAAGAGAGAGAATTCTCCCAAGGGTTCATCTCCCCCACGGGAACGCTCTACTACTGGCGGTCAGGCAGCTGGGGGGGCTGCTTCGCAGGTTGTAAGCCCCGCGGAGTCCGAAAACGGAAAACGCAATGTCTCATCATCAAGCCAGGCGTCAGTATCCCAGAGGATTCGGCCTTCGCGGGTCTACTCGAACATCCACTTGCTGTTCAACAGGGCAAGGCACCTTGCAGACATGGTTAAGCAGAAACCCAAGAAGCCCATTGCCAAGGGACAAACTGCTCCCAAGAGGCGGGGCTCCATTGGGGGTGACAAGAGCCGCACTCTGCTGATTAGCATCAGCAGCAAGATGGTGTGGGACGAGGAGTTGGGGGGGCCGCTTGAAAAGAAAAAGACTTGGATTAATATTCCCGAAATTTCAGTTTCTGCCCCGGAGCTCATTCCCTTTGCTGAGGCCATTCCGGTGAGATTGTAGTCTTGACTCGTGGCACCTAGGCAACCTGTCGACGCCGCTCTGTTGAGAGCGAAACAGGAAAGTGTGTTTTATTCGCCTGCTTGCGTGCTTGCGCCGTGTTTGGGTGTCTGCATAGATGAACTATGTTACCTGGGATCTCTTTAGGGAGAGAGACTGTCTTCTCCCGACCACGACTGAAGACGCCATGGGTCTCGCTCTGGGGTACTGCACAAACGTCGACAACACGCTCAGGCTGACTGCACAGAAGGCCACGGTAGTAAGCGTGCCTTTCCGCGTAACAGCCATGCTGAGGCATTGCTTGGCGAGCTGTATGCGGTTCCATGCAGCCCCAATTATTGCACTGAACGGCGCTCTTCCTTGTTTTTGTGTGAATAGACCAAAACTTCATAGAAGGAAAAGTGCTGTGTTTTTGCGAATGGTTACAGACGTATCGCTTGTCCTCCCTTGACTACTCTCGCGTCCTCTCTCACTTGAGGAAAGACGCGCTGGCTGAGGCGCAGCAGCTGCAGCGGCAGGCAGATGCTGAAGCAGCAGCAAAGGCAGCTGCCAAAGCAGAAGCTACAGCAACCGGGCGGTTTGGAGCGAACCCCTGGGAGGGCCGAGCCGCTATAAGCGACAGCGAGACTCCCAGCAGCAGCAGTTCCTCTAGCCTCAGCACCATGAGGGGCCGCTGGAGTCAGCGGGGTTGGGCAGAGCGTGCAGCAGCAGCAGCTGCAGCCGGCAAGCCTCTTGCTTTTCTCGGGGATCGACCACTCGACGCACGTCGGGAGTTCGAGGCGCAAAGACGAATGAATTCTAAGAACTCATCTTGGAGTCAAACTCTCTCTGATCCTCATTCTGAAAGTTTATCACTTTCGGATTCATTTCTGTCGCCGTCTTCAAGTGACGTCGGACTGCAAGCTGCCACTTCTGCTGCTGCTCTTGTCAGGCTGAGGCGGTCGTTGTCGAGTGAACAGGCAGGGGTCTCAGAGAGCACGCATGAGACATCGGATGAGGAGACGCTCTTTGAAAGCTGCGGGGTGACGCCTTTGCGGCTTGTTGGGTCAAGGGAGGCGCTTTTGGCGGACGTGGACTATGAACCAGTGGAGGCCCATGGGTTCACCTCATCGTGTTGCGGCCTCAAGGCATCTGTCTGTTCACTCCGACTATCCCAGAACATCATGAAGCGGACAGGCTCTGTTGCTGCGCATTCTTTGCACGTGTCGTTTGACGCGGCAGAAGCTGCAGTAATGGCTCAGTCCCCCCACGTCAACGTTATCCCTTGTTCCACTACAGACTGCACGGTGCTTTCCGTCTTCGATGTTAATGTCAGTCATGCTTCACACCTTCCAATAGTTCGTTGAGAGTTGCATCTTTGCCCCACGCTGCAGTCACTTCGACAGATAAACAGTTTGTGGACTGACTCGTCTCTGGCTTAAAACGCACTGATTTTGAAATTTGCGGCGTTTCTACTTTACCGGAGGAATTTTTGTATGCGCAGCTCATGCACGCGACTTCACAGGCGCTGAGGCGCTGATGGATTTCTGCTTGTACTGGAAGTGTGCTGCTGGTGCATTATGGTGTGTATGAGCTTGCATGCTGCTGTCTGTGCCCACAGGTTGGGACCAGCAAGTTGCCGCGGCAAAGTGTGGACTTGTCAGTGGGGCGTGTCAACGTCGGCGTCTGCATGCAGTTAGTTTCGCTGGCGGCCTGCAGGCGTTTCCTCATTCCCACATCTTATCCTTACAGCGACTCGCTGCGTGACACGAAACTGTTGGCTCTGAAGCTGGCCCAGATCATTTCTCTCCAACGGAAGAAACTGCATGAGAAGCCCTTAAGGACGGCGCATCAGGAGCCTCAAGCACCGCAGCAGCAGCAGCAGCAGGAGCAAGTTGGTCCAGCTGCTGAAGTGCAGGAAAGCAGTTCACCTTGCCCGGCTGGTGCATCAGCTTGGCCGCGAGATTCAGCAGGACTAGGACAAACAGGACTAGAATCAGATAATGCTGGTGACGATGAGGGTGTGACCGCCTCAAGACATCTGTCAACCAAGGAGTCGCGTGAAATGGGAGGCCGAAGCCTTCAGATTAATGAAGAGAAACGCCTCGACTCCTTTCTGCCGGTACCCACCAGCGGGCCCTGGGCTGCATGCGGTAAGCAGCACAAGCACATTGGTGGGACGCATTTCCTTCCTCTTCCAGGGGCAGCGCTCCTTAAATATTCTGCGGGGGACAGTGTAGTATTTGATCAATACTGTAGCCTCCTTGTGTAACAGGTGTTTTTACTGCTCATGCTCTGTGTTTGCATTGCATGGTTTCTGGCGTGCATGCTTTCGCTCAGACGGGAGTCGTTTGGACTGGTTTTTTTGCGACAAAGAAACCGCTCAAAAGTTCACCAGTGCATTATCTCCCCTCAAGTTCACAGGCCCCGGGCAAGAGAATGGCGAATCTTTTCAGCGTTGGCGTGTTTCGAGGCGTGTGCGGGCCAGCGGCCAAGAAGTGCCATTTGATATGGGTGGGAAGGCTGCAGGCAATAAACTTTTCAACTCCGTTCCTGACCCAGGTGGCGCAGCAGCAGCAACATTGGTGGACCCCACCGAAAAGTCGCTGCAGGTATCTGCTAAGGTGGGCTGTCTGTCTGTTGGTCTCTACACACAGCAGCAGTATCTCGCTGTCTTGCTGCGTATTTATGAAGCGCGTTTATACCTAAAGAAGAAGCGGAAAGATGTCCGTCTGAAGGCAAAAGTTGGAGAGTTTTTTATGGAGCACGCCAAGGCGAGAGACGCACAAAGACGCAGCATCGTTCTCTGCAAGAAAGTTGTTCACATAGGAGGCCAGTGCCGGCGTTTCTGCCTTTCTCCTGGAACTGAAGCAGCCTCTTCGCCAGTCCATCCATCCGAGGACAGCGATCCGGCTGCTCTGATTCGGGCCGAGATTGACCATTGTCCATGCGACAGCCGGCAAACCAGCCGGCAGGTGTCTCCGCGTCTTCAGAGACTGGAGGCGTGGGGGCCCTCGAAGCTGCAGGTGCCGGCGGACGCTTCAGAATTGCGACAGCGCTTCTCCACTGGAAGACGGCCTACTAACAATCGGGGGAGCGACAGAGAGCGAAGCCCTCGAAACAGAAGCAGCGATGGCTTGCGCGCCTTGAGCCAATCCCCCAGCCCTCCGGAGGCATCTTGCCCGTCTGACGATAATTACGGTGTCAGCCCGCTGCAGGTCCAGCTACGGCAGCATCCGAAGCCCAAGTTGGAGCTGCAGCAGCAGTTGAAAGAAGGTTCCGGGCAATGGACAGGGGAAGATGGAGAGCAACATCTCTCCAGTAACCCCGTGCTGCGTAGCCAACAGGTGCATGCCGCTGGGCTCACGGAGACGCTGGGGAACCCGGCAATCAGCCCTCCACTGGTCTCTGAACAAGAATCTGAATGCGCCACACTTAGCGACCTCTCAGACAGAATGGGCAACGCATTCAACCAGCAGCACGAGGACGATTCTTTGTGCTTTTCAGAGGAAACGGAAGAGCAGCAAAGCTTGCCGCCTCTCACTTGCCTCCACAGCGTCCACGGCCGTCCCCGGCACAGCCTTCTTCAGGGACACTCCATTCCGGCAGATGCCGAATTGAAGAACCAGGAGAAACCTCCTATCCCGGAGCTGGTGCGTCAAGCTCGGCCCCGCGCGGTGGGGGCAACGCTGCGCATGCATCACTACCATCGGGGCTTGCCGTGGCATTGGAAGAGCAGTGGAAATGCAGATAATAGTCAGGCTGAAGAAGCCAGCAACGCCTCTCAGGGCCGCCTGACATCTCAGAGCTCCATTGCGGAATCTGAAAAACCCAACGGAGGATTCATCGCAGCAGGACAGGAGGCTCCGTGGCTAACAGATGTTGTGGGGCAGTGGACACTGCGAGATGAGCCAGATGGAGACCTCAGCAGCAGAACGGGAGGGCGCCGCACCCCCGTCGGGCACGACTGTTGTTTCGGTGCTGCAGGGGCCCCCCTCAACCTGCTGCTGTTCGAGGACAATGACATCAGCAGGAAGGGAACGAGCCGAAACAAGAGAAAAACAAAGGCACGGGACGTCGGCATCGGCAAGCAACGAGATGGCACGAAGAAGATCGATCAGATGGCGCTGTCTTTACATCTTCAACCCGAGTTAAAGAGCACGGAGGCGCAGCTATGTGTGCAGTCGCTGCATGCCTTCCCTACCGCCAACCTTCTCTGTTGTCTTACGGACTCCGCTCTCTGCCTCAAGAGTCTTTGGAACGAGGAGTCCATCCGTGCTCGGTGTCTCATTGCCTGCTTGCTGGGAGACGTGCGATCGCAGAAAGCAGCGCAGACTGCGGGTCTCAATCTGAAGGCATCCGGCGAGTCCGAAGTGAAGGAGCCTCCGAGGCGGCGCTTCACTCTCAACAGGCGTTTGTCGCGGCAACAGCGTGACGACAAGTACAGCACCAGCAGCAACAGAGGCTCAGAGAGCGGCAGCGACACCAGCAGCTACAGCGGTGACTCCGCCCCTGAGGGGACCCCACGAAGAGCCTTGCTCAGGCTTCGCAAGCAGGCAAAGACCACCTTCAGCCGCCGAGGGGCACCTGACAGTTTATCGGACCCAGAGGAGGACCTCTTAGGAGGCGCTGTATCTGCCGACGGGCTGCGGCGAGCCAACAGAAGCATTTCAGGAGGCAGACGACGTAGAAGGTCGCACGTGCACGCCTCGAAGGAAAGGAGAAACAATACGGAGGCGGCGCGTGCGCGCAACCACCAGGTGGGGGTGGGTGCCAGTGGTGGTGGGGGACTACCCTCTGTTGCTGCTGCCTTCGGAGCGGAAGCGGCTTCCGACAGCACCGACCGCTTGCACTTGCAGCAGCAGCAGAAGCAGCAACGGCAGCAGGAGCAGACTGCAGCTCCGTCTGCCGAGGCAGCCATAGGGGCTGCAGGCGAACGCCGTGGATCGCAGCCCCAAACACAAGCTGGAGTTTCTGTGTCAGTGGAAGTGGTGCTTGAGGACGTGACATGCAATCTGCTCACAGATGATGCTGCGGCCACCTTGGGGGCAGAAGATATGGCGACGACGGAGGCGGGGGGAGTACCGGGAGTTGGGTGCGGCCACGAGACAGAACGGTCCACAGTGCATCCCACGTATGTCTCATCGCAAGATCAGCATGGCAAGCAGCAGGAGTTGCTGCGGAGCAGACGGAGACAGGGCCAGACAGCAGCAGTTAGCAGCAGTAGCAACAAGCCTACCAGCAGCAACTGCAACAGGGACATCAGTAGCACCGCCTCCACCGCATCTACAGATGAAGGACCGGGAGGAGGAGACGCAGGCCTTGCCTTTCCGCCTTACCCGATGCTTTTCTCGCCAGATGTCTGCGTGCCCGAAGGATCTGCTGCTCTGGGGGAGGGACTGCTGGGGGACTCTTCGTTGCGGAGGGCCGTTGTAGCAGACGCGGCTGCTCTGGGGTTGCGCCTTGAGGCCGTCATGCGGGTGACGTACACCAGCGTACCGACAGGCAACAGCAGCGGTAACAGAAAGCGAGAGGAGCTGAAGGACACGTTGCGAGTTGGCCTGTGGCGGCTCGAGGCTACACTCGTACGAAACTGCACGTGGACTCTTGCGAGTTTAGTTCTCTTCGATGCCAATTTGGGCGCCGAGTGTCTCCGCCTGCTGCCCCCCAAAAAACGACGTGCAGCAGCAGGGCCAGCAAGGGCGGGGTCCAAAGGCGCTGCCTCGTGGCGCTCTGCTGCAGCTGCGGAGCCCGAACTTCCTTACTGGGGCTCTTCGCGTTTGAATACAGTGGCAGAGAACACCACGGAGAACGAAGGCGACACCCCGGCGGCGCTGCGAAAGGCTCTGTGGGCAGCTGAAAGCAGAGGAGACAACCGGGGAGGAGAGCTGCAGTCGCGAAGGAACCCAAAGCCACACCCTCTAGGCCCCTGGGAACAAAAACGGGAGACCGGCGGCCTGCCTGAAGGATACGTCAGCGCTGACGGCTCTTTGCAGGCAGCGCGGTATGAGAAGAAGGGACGAGGGGGGGCTTATGAAGGGCTCCAAGAGGGAGCAGTAGGCGGGGGCTCACCTCGGGGGCTTGCACGAAGAAGAGACAGTTGCGCTGATGGAGATAGCATGCGACGGCGTTTTTCTGTGGGAGTGCCGCGTCGTCTTCCCAGTAGCGGGAGTTCATCTCTGTTTCGCTGGGTCTTCGGCTCCAGAAATACTCAGAACAGCGCGCTAGCGCCGGCAAGCCCAATGGGAAGCAGCCCCCAAATGGGGTACCAGATGCAGCCGGCCGCGGAAATGAGGGGCCCCCCCTTGGCCGACCTCGACAGCTCTTTAGACCGCCGCGATGCAGCACCAGAACCTACGAACTACACCGACGGCGAGATGTACTTTGCAGGATACCAGCCGGATGCTGGCGTGACGGTACGCCCAAAGCAGCAACAGCAGCCTGCAGCAGCGACAGGAGCTACTGCTGCTGTGACTTCTCCTACGCGCTGGGGAGCCACTGCCGGGGGCTGGACGCGCAATCTACTGCGGACGCGGCGCAGCATCTCAACATTGAACAGCGGCGAGCAGGGCAGGCAACCATCAAGTCCACCACCGAAAGGCCGAGATGGTGGGAGGTATCCCTTTGAAGGCGAAGGCGCCCTTGCCTCCGGGCCTCTTCAGTCCCCTGATGCTACCAGACAGGCCAACCGTCGCAGCAGCGGAAGACCACTGGTCAGGCCACCCCCGCAGCAGGATAGTAACCTCTCGACGCTACGGAGCACTCGGGCCTTCAGCGCCATGCCCAGGTGGGAAGAGTTTGTATGCTGCTTCTCCTCTCTTGCTCGTCCGTTGTGCCTGTGCTTTGCTTAGTTGATTGTTTCTAGAGTGTTCAGAAGCAATAAAATTGAGGTACTTGCCTGCGCTGCAGCGATTTCTATGCATTCCTCTGTTGTGTTTGTGTTCTCAGTGTGGGTGTGGGGGGGGGATTCGGGCGAAGCCAACGCCCACCGCATGACCGCCCGCCTCTCCATCTGGCCCGTGGATCAGCAGACCCACGGCTGCGAGTATCCTCAGAGTGTGCAGTGACGAGAGGGTCTTCAGGCAGGAGAGGGGGGCCACGCCGAGCAGTGGAAGCTGCTGAAACACAAAGGAGAGAACCGGAGGAAGAGCGCGAGAATTTAACCTGCACTGCGATTGACCTGGAAATCAAGCGCGTCGCCATATGGAGCGCCGTGTATCTACAGGACAGTAAAGCAGCAGCGAACCCGTGCAGAGCTGCAGCAGCAGCAGCAGCTCTCGCGCTTGAGAGGTCGAGAAGACACGGCGAAAACCTTCACAGAGACAGTGCTGCTTCTATTCCACCGACTGCAGCCGATACAGATATCCGTGAGGGAGACAGCGTAGCGGGGGGCAGCTCTAGAAGCCACCCGTTGCCTGCGCACCGCATGCGTGCCTCCAGGGCAGTGCGCAAGCTGGTCCCTACAGGCGGCCAGTGGGTGGAGACTGACGGATATCGGGGAGTTAGCAATGCCTCAGGAGACACCGCAAGGACCTCGCCCTTGGCAACAAAGGACGGAGAAGGCTGCAGTGGGAACATTAACAGACGTGGCCGCAGCAAAGCAGCAGAAGTGCAGCATCTCACTGCTCTGCTGGGGGAGGTATGGACAGAAGACTGGCTGTCTGTCTCTTTGCCTTCTCCTCCACCCTTCGGCGGATACGTCAGGTCACAAGAGGGACGCGTGCTGCTGCTGCCAGTGCTGCTGCGAGCAGCACCGAAGGCCGAGAGAGGGCTTCTGCAGCGGCGCCTTGAGGAGGCCCAGAGTGCCCTTGACTCGGAGGCCTTTTCCCATAAGAAGGACCGCTCATCAGGTAAGAACGAGTGAGAGACAACTATAGAAGACATTTAGAGGAGACACTTAGAGGAGTCACCTATGGGAGATGCGTGAAGGAAATACTTAAACGGAGACGCATGAGGGAGGCACGGTGTGGCAGTGGATGTACCAGAATCAGCAGGCCATCAATAGTGCAGGGAGCAAATCGTACATCGTTTCAAATTTCCGCTATGGTGCTTCTCTATAACTGGTGAAGACGAGGATGCTACAAGCCAAAAAAGGCCTGCTTTGCTTGCTAGGCGTGCTTTAACTTGTGGTACATGTTTTCTGCGTGCAGCCGACCGACGCGACGGGGTGTTGAGTGCAGCGGGAGGGGGGATACGAGCCATGCAGGGGCTGCACGCACCGATGACAGCAGCAGCAGCAGCAGCACTGGCAGGGGGTCTTTTGACCGGGGAGCCGGAGGAGGAGGAGCAGCGGAAGAAGCGGGCTGCAACGGAGAGGCTGCAGGGGGTGGCGAACGTCTCGCCTCACATCTCGCTTATGTACAGATTGGTGGACAGCTCGTCTTCCTCTCCGTATACAGCCGGATCCATGTCACTTAGTACCAGCGCCTTTAACGATGGAGGGGGGGGGAGCCTCACTGACACCAAGATTGTCTGCAGGGGAGATATCTTCCCGACCTTCTGTGCATGCACACCGTTCCTTGTAAGGAGGAGACACGCTTAACCCCCTTTGCCTCTGTGCATCTGAAAAAGGAAACGCCGATGCTACTCTAGACACCCAGAATAGCTAGCTAGCCGGTACTGACCGAAGCTGCTTGATGAGCAGGCCGAAAAGCATGCATCAAAGCACAGCGAGAGATATTAGGGTTTGAACAGTGCTACGTTTTTGGTGTATCCGCAGGTTGATGCATTTATGAGTCTCTTTGGGAAAGACGGAGAGATGAGCGCGGTGCTGTCGCGCCTTTCGATGGGGCTCGAGGCCATCCGCCGCGGTATGCAGCAGCAGCAGCAAACAGCAGCAGAAGCAGCTCGCGCTGCAGTGCAGTGTCTGCCGACGCTGGCGAACCAGTCGGACTTCTTTGCAGCAGCAACCCCCATTCCTGCTTCGACCAAGGGAGCAGCAGCCGCAACGCAGCAGCAGCAGCAGCAGCAGAATGTGCAACCTGCTTCAGCAACAGCGGGTGTAGCAGAGAAATCTTTTGCTTCCCCGACACTAGGCGTATCGCCCAGCCCAGAAGCAGCGCCGCCTCCACTTGATAAACAAGAGGAGGCAGCACTACAGGTCGACAGGCGGCTGTGGGGCCCGTTGCCGGGCTCGTTGCTGCAGCTTGGGTTTGCGCTGCGTGCTGCGCTGCAGCGACTGACACATGACTCGTTCGGATCTCTGTGTATTCACTCGCTGCAGCTGACACTGCCTTCCCCCTGCCAGCTGCTGAAGCTGCCTGCTGTACCGGCCACCACCCGTCTGCTGCCTACAACGGCTTTCCGCAGGACTTTGACTCCAGAGGCGACGTATTTTCTTTGTTGCCTTGCAGCAGCGCCGCTATCTCCTTGCGTCGCCCTGGACCTGGTCCTGACGATTAAAGGGTTGAAGAATCCTGGAAGCAGCCCGATAGCAGAACAGCTGCAGCAGCGCAAGTGGCATACACACAATTTTGCTGCTGCTCCTGTTACAGGTTTGGGTTCTGTCATTTTCAACAGCAACCGAGTGGGAGGTTCGCCTTTTGACGGTCGGGCGTCTAAACACTGGTCCTTTTCGGGCACGCACTCACAATACAACGCGAACCATCCGCACTTCTTTTCTCCAGCTGCTGCAGCAACTTCAGTACCACTCGACAGGCTAGGAGCATCAGGGATGCAGAACGATGCAGCTCTTGGTTCAATCAAAGTAGCAGCTCCATTGCTGAGACTGGAGCTGCTGAAGAGGCCCCGCATCCCCGAGGACGCAGTGAGCTCCGCGCAGCGAGCTGCCCACAGCACCTCACCCCGCATAGCGCTGTCTCAGACTGGGGGGCTGCCGGTGAAGCCGAAGTCGAAGCAACCGGAAGCAACTCACAATAACAACAAGGGCCAGCCAACCCTGCAGCAACAGGCCCCCTCCCGGCAGCCAAACTGTGTGCTTGAGGTGCTCTTAAAAGGATTGGAGCTGACGTTTGTCTCTGGGCACCAGCAGACGGAGGGCTCGCTGCACAGCCACCGTCCTGCGAATGGATGGGGTGGCAGCCGCCGCGCATTCGGCTCAGCTGCCTTTCTGAGCAGGCCGGCAGCAATAGATACGGAGGCTGCAGAGGGAGGCCCCCCGAAGGGCTCTGGGGAGGCCCTCCCTTCTCCCGTCAGGCCCTTCCGCGTTGTCCTTTCGCTCCACGATTGCATCATTCAAGGAGAAGACGGCAGCCGGTTGCTACAAAACGCATCAGTAATACCCAAGCTCTTCTCAGGAGAATTCAGCGGAGGCGCGGGGGGTGGCCACAGTCCCCAGGGACAGTACACAGCAGCGGGGGGCTCCTCGCAGCCGGCTGCTGGAAACGCCACTCCACCGGGGGGGGGCCCAGCTGGTGTCGAGGGCGTTGGGGGGCCTTCTGGCCGCCGGCCCCCACAGAAGACGCGGCTGGCGTTTCGCCAGGCCCTGAATTCAGATGTGCCGTTGCAAGACCCGTTGCTGCAGTGCTTAGCCTGGGTGTCTGATGGGGTGGTATTTGTGTCTGCGGAAATGGCTCACCTGAGGATACAGCTGCGCGCGCTGCAAGGGGCGAATGTATATGCATGGGGCATGGGTTTGTATGGGGAGTTGCAGCAGCTGAAGCACTTCCGGCTGCAGTTCCCTGCTATCAGCTTCGGCTGCTGTTTCTCTACAGCCTCCTGGCTGGTGCCTATTGGCGTCAACGCGCAGCAGCTGCTGCGCGTCGCGCAACTGCAGAATAGGGGCCCTTCTTTGCCGCTTTCTGAACGGGGTCACACCAAATACAGCAAGGAAGAGGCAGAGGAGCAGGCTGTACGCAGGTCTTTGCTGCTCCATCGAAGAGGACTCGGCCTCTTGTCTCTTCTCTACCCAGCCCTGTCCCCCCCGGCTCTCGCCCCCCACAACTGGAACGGTGAGCTGCCTCTGCAGCTACCGGAAATGGTGGAGTCAATGTCGATTCAGCGGGTGTTGCAGGTGCTCCAAGACGATGCTGCAGCAGCACGAGAAGCAGCAACAAATGCAAATGCCGATCCGACAGCAGCCCCCGCTCCTTGGAGGCTGCAGACAGCAGATCTATTCCAACACCACTCCGACCTCCAGGCCGGCATACTTCAACAACCGGTGCGTCACCTTTTGTTTTGTTTGCCGTTACTTGCGGACTCGGCAAAAATCTATTAAGCACACATTTATGAAACAGAGATTGCTTCTGCTGTTAAGGGCGCTGCTGCTGTGCTGTGCCCCCTTAATGTGCCCTCTCTCTTCTCCTTCCTCTTCTTGCTTCTTTGTTTCGCTTTTCGTGCTTCTGTGGACAAGAGAGAAGGGTGGGGATTTGAGGTGTATTCTCTGGTTGGTGGATGCATGCGCTGCTGCTGCTACGTCTTGCGTGTCTCTACAGAGCAGCAGACGCCCAGCGTACGGGCGCCATTTGTCTCCCTCTTCGGAGTATTGCCCGGGTGGCACGTCAGCTGAGGCCTCTTTCGCTCGAGCTCCCTACGGAAAAGTGTCTCCTTTTGGAGACCTACGTAACTCAGTTAAGTTGGGGCACCTTACGAACCTCCAGCAGCAGCAGCAGCAGCAGCAGCAGCGCCGACCCTCTGCCAGCGATGAACACTCCTCCTCCTCGCCTGAAGGTCTACGTAACTCCCCAGAAGACCCAGAAGGAGATAGCACTCTCGCCAGTCCAAGGAAACCAAAGGAAAACGTCTGGACCCGCTTCCGCGGTGAGACAACAATCAAATGCACACCACGACTCGACTTCTTAAAAACTGCGGGCAGAATCCTCTACACGTACACCGCAGGTGCCAGTGGCAAATCCATGCATATATATATATATATATGATTATGTATACGAACGCATATAAATACATGCACATATCCATATGAAAGTGTTTGTTATTCATATATATTGGGTATATATATGGTATTTGCATACTCATATATGTGTCTTGTGCGTATGTGTGCATGTGTCGGTACGCCTTGCAGATTTTATTTGCTGCCGTCGCCGTCGTGGAGTTGAAGCCTTTTCAAGTACAGAGTCAGTGACGAAATATGGGTCTGCGAGCCCGAAGAGTCGAGTCAGCCGGTTGCTGCGTTCTTCCCTCTCGAGTATTTCTGCTGGGTCTTCTCTCAGCGGCACTCCGGTAGACAAAAGGCCTCAGGGGCCCTCACCCCAGATTTCTCCTGCTGCGTCGGTTCTGCCAAACGGTGAGCCAGGCGCATGGATTTATTGCATTTATTGCACTTCTTTTGGTCGAGAGAGGAGCTGCATGCATTAGGCAGAGATAGCTGTGGTGTTACGGAGGCCGTGATGAAGGTAAAGGGGCTTTTCTGCTTCTGCTTCTGTAGTGGTATAGTTCGTTTTCCAGTTTTGTCCTCTTCTGGTTATGACTCGTGACTGCCTGTCGGCGGGGTTGTTGTACTGTTGGGCCGCATTCAGTTCGCGTGGAGCGCCGGCGGTTGACGGGGCAGTCGTATCTCCATTCCCCTCGCTTCTCGAAGCTGTCGGGCCCCGGGGGCCCGGCAGCGGTAGCAGCAGCAGGCGCAGCAGCGCCAGCAGCAGCAGCTTCCACGGAGAAGACGCTGACTACTTCTGCTGCTGCGCCTTCTTCTCGGGAGGCGGCTATCTTGGGCGCGAAGCTGCAGAAGGTGGTGGAGGTGACAGTCAAGGGAGTTGAAATTTGGTTTGTCTTAGGAGCTGCAGGGACAGAAGAAGAGGAAATTCTCTATGCCTCGCAGCGGGCAGACCGCAGGCACCTCAAGACCGCCAGGATAGCGTCATTGAAGAAAGGAAGCAAGGTTCGTCGTTGCTGCTGCATTTCAGTTGTTGTTAGCCTCGATGCTGCTTTCTTTATTCTCTCTCCATCTGTAGCAGGTGTTAGTAGCCATAATACACGAAATATGTGTGGACGCAACATGCGAAAATCCCTGCAGTCTGCATCTTCACTCTAAACAGACCGAAAGCAATTCCTTGTGTTTGGATAGCCTTGGTAATACTGTCCTTGTAAGCGTACTGAGTGCAGAGAGAAGGGTCTGTATGCATATCGTCTTGCCTGCCGCATGCATGCATGCGATTATGCCTCTCTCTAGCCGCAGCAGAATGAGGTAGGCAACCTGTTGCATTGAGTTGTTCTCTGCGGGCTTGCGGGTGTTGGCGGGGTGTACAGGCAGGCCTGAAGTCTCTTGCTGCCATGACGAACTCACGGGAGCGAGAGGAGGCCTCTGGAGATGGAGCGTCGCACCCGATGGTGAAGGGGCAGCCGTTTGCAAGGACGTTGATGCAGGTGAGGAGGAGACAACGCGGACGGTCGATATACACATTCTCCTTGGCCTTGTTCATATTTCTGAGCCCAAAGAAAGGCGGGGATAGCAGCGACGCACCCGCTGCACTCCTAGCCGCAGCACACCCAGCTGCTGCAGGATAAATGCTGGCATGCTTGCAGAGGCAGACCACAGTATGCATGCATGCGTCTGCATCTTGGGGCTGGGAGCAGGAGTTGGTGCGTGTTCCTGCTGCTTGCGGTTGTTTCTGCTGCAGGTCCTGCAGACGGCCGTTAACAAGACAGGCTTGTGCATAGAGGAAGAGAGCAACGACGACCGGCGGAAGCAGCAGATTGTTGTGGGGCTGCTTGCTGCATGCACTATGCGGCTGCTGCAGCGGGGACCCGACGTCAGCGCCTCTGTGGACGTCGTGGAGTTGAGTGCAATGGTGGGATCGCCCTTCCCCTGTGCTGATTTTATCGTTCCTGCTAAGTACCCGGGGCAGCGGCAGCTTCCAGAAGGCCGTCCGCAGCAGCAGCAACAGCAGCAACAGCAGCAGCAGAACGATGGGTTGGCTTCCTCTAAGACAATAAAGCACACGGCGTGGGCCTCTTTGGGACAAGGCAGGGAGGCGCCACCAACCGACAGACAGCCGACAGCAATGCAAGACGAGGGTTCGCTGGTGCTCGTCAACTTCCCTGATGTCCTTGAGGGCTACGGAGGGGCTCTGCTGCTGCCTAATCTACAGCAGCGCACCGATTGTCTCCTCTCCGTAGCAACCTCCACGGCCACCATCTCCGGTAGGCTTGCCCAGCCTGAACGCACCCTTATATATGTATATATGTATATATATATATATATATATATATATATATATGTATATACCACTCTCTCAATACATATATGTATTTATATATACATGCATGCATATACATGCATATATGTAGTCTAACTTGCGAGGGCCTTCGGATTGTTGAGGCTGCTGCAGCTGCTATTTGAGTACAGTGATAGCGGATATAAGGCTCATTGCACTGAGTAGCAGCTCGTAATCTCTTTTAGCTATGGCAGGGGAATTGCTTGCATGCGTTTGTGGGGTGGTTTCTCGCGCTTCAAGACATGAATGCGTACGGTTTTTTCCCTGTCTTTTCATGCATGCATCTGCGTCTGTTGAATGCAGGTGTGTGCGTGCATGCGTGTATATTATATCCCATGTCTTCGAGTACTTTTTGAAAGTTCTTATCAGATCGTTCCTATACAAAAGTATCTCCAGTAATTGCTTTGTTATACCTAATTACGTTAAGATACTGCGCTGTCTGTTTCTTATTCTTTCCACTTTAACTTTTCATGTTCTTACTGTTCACTCTAGAGATGCTGAATCTACCCGACTTGATCCGTAGCACGCAAATTCCCTCGTTTGTGCATATATTCATGTTGATATCTTCCTCGTTTTGTGTATATTTATGTAGATCTCAACTTCTTTTCTCTTGTGTACATTCATGTCGATCTATTCCACGTTCTTTTTCGTATATTCATCTCGATCTCATCCCGGTTTCTCCTTGTGTATGTTCATCTCGGTCTCATCCCCTTTTCTTCTTGTGTATATTCATCTCGATCTCATTCTCTTCTTTTTCTCGCAGGTACGCCCGGGGCAAAGGCGAAGATTTGCGTGACCATTTTGGATCCTCAGATTCATTTTTCGTTTGAAATGTTTCAAGGCCTCGTCAGCCTGGAGACGCAGGCGCGGCTGGAGCAGCTGCACGTTTCGAAATCCGCAGCAGCAGCAACTGCTGCTATGAAGGCTGCTGTCGCAGCAGCAGCAGCAGCAGCAGAGGCTAATGCAGTCGCCCTTACGCAGCAGCAGCCAATACGAGAACAAGACCTACAGCCCTCGCCGTTCTCCTCTATATCTTGGGGGGCGCAGCAGCAGCCGTACACCCCACAGGAGACAACGTTGCCTTCTGCTGAGAAGACGCAGCGTTCATTACATATAACAGACTCCGAGAGAAGCACCGGACTTTCAGAGTGTTCGCCTGGGGTGTCACTGGTTGGTGGAGGTCCTTCATCTCCTGTTGCTGGTGCGGAAGGAGGTGCTGGTTCAGCAGCTGCAGCTGCTGCTTTAGGGGAACACCCCTCGACGCTGCGTGTGACGAATTATTCTGTCTCCTTAGGAGACCTCTCTGTGGAGGGCAGCTTGCTGCGGTTTCTGAGGGACTATGCCTTCTCCTTGAGAGACGCAGCAGGGCCTCCCTCGCAGCAGCGCCAGAGGCCTCTCTTCAGCTGGGCAATGCCCGACGCGGGGGGAGGCAAAGGCTCCAGAGGCGGAGACCCAGCAGCTCAAGCACCTATTGTGGGGGCGATGGACTTGGTGCGACTGCATCAACAGCGAAGGGGGGGGGCCCTGGGGAGGGCCCTGGAGGAGCTGAAGGCCATCTCCAGCGGCCCCCAGTCACAGCCGCCCGATGAAGCAGCGTCATCGGTAATCAGCAGCCGAAGCAGCAGCATCAGCCGAAGCGGAAGCGGCAGCAGCAGTATCGACTCGCCAGTCGCACCCACAACGGAATCTTTGTCCTGGGGACCACCTCCCGATGGGATGTCTAGACAGCAGCTGCAAAACGAAATGCAGTCAAACTTGCAGCCACGGAAAGGTCAGCAGCAGCAGCAGCCACAGCAGCAGCAGCAGCAACAGCAAGGCATTGGATACCGGGACTCCCGAAACACGTTTCAAAGACTAGACGATGAGGAAGTTGTGGACTCTGCCGAGTTGCTGCTGCTTGCGAACCTGATGGCTGCTGGCAGCAGAGATGCAGCAGCAAAGCCTCCGGTGTACGGACGGGGCCTGCACGGGACCGAAGATGAGCTGCTGCATGAGGAGGAGGGGCCTCCAGGGGGGGGCCTAGTACGACGTAGGGGTATGGGAATAATGGAGGGAGCCACCTCAGGGGGCCCCGGAGACGTAGGCGCATGCATGCCTGTGGCATTGTTGCAAGGTGTAGGGGAGGCAGACTTCCGCGATCCGTATTGTCAGGTGATAGGTTTCTTTCTGTCTTTGATGAGTTTTAAGCTACCTGGAGAGACAGAATTTGAAGTAAAAGGAGAAGTTGTACGAGGGGCCTTTGAATTTCATGATGCGCACGGGTCACTTCTGAAAGTGAGCCTGCTGGCGCTGGAGGGTCAGGTGTACGTACACCCCGAGTTATTCAGTGCGGATTCCATAAAGAGCTTTGGCGGCCGCCTGGAGCTGATGGTGTCTGGGTACGACCCGATGACAAACTCACAGGAGGAGCTGCTGCATCCTGTCTCTGCCTCTGTTGAGATTCAGAGACAGTATGTAGATGCTCAGACGAGCCACTGGAGTCTGGTGAACGTACGCAGTGCCATGGATGGGGTGTCTGTGGACATCACCTCGGGATTACTGCAACTCGTATATCACATCATGGGTACAACCCGCGAGATCTTAGATGGAGTTGAGGGCAACCTCGGCAGACACACCAGCCTCAGAGTGTACAATGACATTCACGCGGAAGTCCTTGTTATGCACAAACGCAGATCAAGAGGAGACGGCCGAGGGTTCGTTACTTCTATTTTGCCCATTCTGCTGCTTGTGCTGTCTGTACACCCTAGCTGCAGCAGCAGCCAGTAGATGCACAAACAATCCCTGGATAATGTTTCTCCTCCTCTTTCACCCTTTCGCTCTCTCTCTCTCTTTCTGCTTGTTTGTCTGTATTCCTCTGTCTGTTTGTCTGCCTTTCTTTGGGGTTGAGTTTTATGCATGCATAGTTCTTTTGGATCCTGTTTGCTCTTTCTTCCCTGGAGATGCCGCTGGTGGCTCTTGTGGGTTTGCTTCAGCTGCACTATGTGCCTGTTTGAGGTGCATGTTCAGGTGGACGTACTCTCGCATGCAGCCAAACGAGTGGATTATGGCGCCTACGTCTTCTTTATACTTCTCAGTGCGCAAGAAATCTGCTGCAGCAGAAGCTGCCCCAGAACGGCGACGGGCGTGGAGACGGGGAGGCGCAGGACGTGAAAACAACAGCGAGACTCATCCCTCTCTTCGTCTCGAGTCCTATGATGATGTTCGCCAGATTGTTGAGGGAATTTTAAAGCTGGGAACACGCAAAGTCGATAATCCTTGGCTTAAGGCCTATGTACGCAATACGGGGTGGCTTTTCACTCCGTTGCTGGTGTTGCTGCTGGTTTTGCTGCTGGTGTTGCTGCTGCCCTTGTTGTTGCCATCGCTTTCGGAGTTGCTGTTGTTGCTGCTGTTGTTGCTGCTGTTGTTGCTGCTGTTGCTGTTGTTGCTGCCGTGCTGTGGTGGGTTGCTGCAGTAAGGACTCCTTGCTGTGTTTTTTGTCTTGTCATTGAATGGGATGTGTTTTATTATTTTTTTCTTTTAAGTTCCCTCTTGTACGACTTTGCCTCTACTGACATGCGTACTCCCATAAGTTGCATGCATATGCATGTGAATGTATGCATGCATTCATCTTTGCGTCCTTTTGTGGATGTACAGGAGGAAACTCTCTTGTTTGCCTCAACACGTCGGGCGCAGGTGCCTTTGGACTTGTTGGTGGACGACATGCCTGTTGTTCAGAACAGCGGGGGTTTAGCCAAACGTCATGGGCTGGACGGTGTGTTCCAGTTGTTTCGAAAGGAGGCGGGTTGGTGTTGTATGGGTCGTTTGCATGCAGATTACTCGAACTGCCGTGCATACTTCCTGCAAAATGCAGGTTTTAAAGTGCTGGTAGAGCCTGTAGTAGACCGCCGTAACGGGACATGGAGTCTCGCGATCGGTAGCTGCGTACAGCTTGCCAACGCCTGTGCAATGACACTTCGAGTGTATATAGGGAAAACAAAGAAGAATTGGGGGGGGCGCGCAATATCTTGCTTCGCTGCACGCGTTACAGGAGATACACGAGTCTCCTCTGCAGGAGAAGAATTCATCGATATACTCCCTGGATGTCGTAGATCTGTACCTTTGTCTTGGTTTGGAAATGGCTCTGTGCCTTTTCTAGCAGCGTTGCTGCATACGGAAGGAGGGGGACCCCCTCAAGAAGGAAAAGGAGAGCCTGAGATACCTCCTGTCCCGTTCTATGCTTTGTACAAGTTAACGAACAAAACCGGATGTAAGAAGACACCCATATCATTTGCTTCTTCTGCACTTCTTCTTCTACCTTGTTCCTTGCCCTATTAGCTGCTGCTTGCTGCTGCTTGTTGCTGCTTTCTGCCTTCTCTATGAAACTCTTTCTGCATGCACCTTATGAGCGAGGATAGGCGTGGTGTTTCGTAGTATGTGTTTGTGCGTCTATGTCTTTCGTCTATGGATGAATTAATTTATTATTTATAGAAGCATTCATGCATTTATTCGTTTGTTTGTTTTTTTGCTTGCTTCTTTGTTTATTATTGTTTCTTTGTTTGTTTGCTCCTGCTGCCGTGCATATCTATAGACGCACAGCCTCGCCGCCTAGATATCCCTCCCTTTACGTTGCGGCTGCGGAGCTCGCTGATGCTGTACGGAGTGGTGGATACTACGGATGTACCAACATCTGAGGCTTCTCGTATAGCTCAGCGTTATGTTATTAAATTGGAGCCGATGCTTAGTATAAAAAATACCTTACCATTCCCTATCACGGTGTCTGTACACCTCCGCAACACTCTAGACAAACGCGCCATACTTGAACAACAACAAGGAATGGCTGCAGCAGCCTCCAATGCACCAACAGCAAACCACGCGGCAATGCTGCATACACCTGCAGCAGCAGCAGCAGCAGCAAATGAAGGATTTGCTCAACTGCCAGACTACGCAGGACGGCGCACGCGGTACGGCTTTGGAAACCCCCAAGCCGAGTTACTCGCGGAACTTGAGAACAGAAAAAGACAAAAGGCAGAAGAAATGCAGCAAAAAAGCAGAGGGACTGCAGCTAAGTTGGTGGAGGATAACTTTGTTGAAGCCACCATTCCTTCTCACCAGAGTTGGGTAAGCATTGAGATCTCCTATCTCCTCTTGCGTTTTCTGTATCTGTTTGTCTTCTGTATAATATATTGAGTTGCATGAGTCGGGGTATTCATTTATAGAAGCAAACGACACCTCCTGCGGTATATGTGCGGCATGCCTATGGTGTATACTACGCACTACCAGTAGAAAACCTATGAAAGCGTACCGAAGGCCTCCTGTTCCTCTTCCGTTTTGGGATAGTTATTGTATACAAGTCTGCTGCTCGTCTTCTTTACGCTTGCTGCATACTGCATGTGTCTGATTGTTTGCTTCTTTGTATTCCTGCTTGCTGTTCTTCAGGGGCTACCTGTGGGGGAGCAGCGGCTTTGGTTGGTGCTGCGAGTTCATGGGGCCCCCTTGGAGCAGTTTAATACCCAGCTAGAGGCCTTCAACCCAACAGATGGGAGGCCCCTGGGGCCCCTAGAGCTGCAGCTGCTGGCATCCGCAGCTTCGCGGGGGGCCCCCCGTCTGGGAGGCACCGCATGGTTGCTGCAGCAGGAGACCCTCGATGGCGGAGTGAATACGACAAGTTTGATGGGAGGAGGTGCAGGGGGCCCCCTTGTAGGAGGGAGGGAAGAGAAGTTGCGGCGTAGCAGGAAGCAGCATCAGCGGCAGCAGCAGCAGCAAGCTTCACCCCCAGATACAGTGTATGAGTCTCAGGTCTTTGCCGTGCTGTTACCCACTCAAGACACCCTAACTGTCTCCAAAGTGTTACAATTGAAGAACGGAAGAGGGGAGTCCTTGCTTCCTCCTTCAGCATTAAAGCTGCTGAAGGCTGAGGGGGTAAATGCACGTCGAGGGAGAAGAGTGTCTTCTCTATTTTCTGATATGCAGCTTGCTGCTGATGTCAGTAGGAGACAAATAACAGTGTTCGCTCCTTACTTCTTTGAAAACCTAACAGATGCAACACTCTGTGTTAATGGCGTCCTCGTACCCAGCCGCTGCAGGCTGTACACCACAGAAGAAGATATGCGAGCAGCTTCAATACGCGCGTATAAAGTTGATGCTCTCTCTGATCGTGTACTTCAATCTACTCTCAGCCGCAAACAAGACCTCTCAGGCATCTCCACCGCCAGGTAAACCACTGGTTAGAGCAGCAGCAACAGCAGCAACAGCAACAACAGCAGCAACAGCAGCGACGGCAGTGGCTCGTAGCTGGCGAACCCCGTTAAGTGTGCTGGATATGCAGTGCTTTTGTTTGTCTCTCGCGCTTCTCTCTCTCTCTCTGTCTCTCGACGTCTCTGTTGCTTGTCTCTCTCTTTTGCTGTTTGTTTATCTCTGCCTCTCTATCCCTCCTTCGCTTTCTTTGTTTCTCTCTCTTTCTCTCCTTTTTCACGCTGAGGATTTTCGTATAATTTAAAAGCTGCCCATGGTTGTAAAGGCAGATACAGAGTTTAATCTATTTTTCGTCTCTTCTCTGTTTTCTCTGTCTGTCTCTTCTTCGTTTTCTTTGTCTTTCTCTTCTCCGTTGTCTTCGTTTGTTTATTCTCTTTTCTCTTCTGTCTCTTCTCTTTTCCGTCTGTCTGTCTCCTCGCCTCCATCCTCTTCTCGCCTCAGTGTGTCCTTCCATCTCTGTGGTCAAACAGTGGGCGGCGACTTTTGCTCCTGTCGCTTATATATTATATAGGTCTTTACCTATATCTACATCTATAAATCTGTATATCTGTATCCATACGATATAAATATATATATATATATATATATACATATACGTACAAATTAATATATCTGCATATACAGGTATCTCAAGAGAGAGCGAGAAAGTCATATATATATATATATATATATATATATGCATCATCACCCTAGCTAAATCCTTGTCTATGTTTGTCTGTTGCATTAATGCAGACCTCCATTGGTGTTGAAGTTGGCAGCAGTACGAAAAGCAAGATATATTAGATTTGGTTGGGGACACCGCACGCCTTCAAATGTGCGGGAGGAGACAGGGCCTCCGAATGAACTGCGACGTGCGTCATGCATTAACGCTAAGGGAATATATATATATATATATATTCACTTAAGATGACACAACAATTAAGCACTTATATGAATACACACTTAAAACGACACGCCAATAATGCATATATGTATTATTTATTATTTATTTATAATGCATTCATTTCTAAGAATGTCCACTTGAAAAGACACACCCATTAGGCATTTACATGAATACGCACTTAAAACTACACACTAAGGGAGCATATATGTGAACGAAGCTACGTGTGTGCTAGATGCATGCAGAATGCATGCAGGTTTGTGGGGTAGAGAGGAGGGAGGGGTTTGGGGTGTTGACGAGTTGTTTGTTTGATTTGTTTGTCTAGTTGTTTGCTTGTATGATCTCACACATGCATGCATGCATGCATGTAGGGGACTATTGTTGGGAAGCGCATGCATGCATGCACGCATACATGCATAAGATGTTTGTTGTTGTTTGTTGTTGTTGCATGCATGTCAGTGGGTGGAGGTGGGTCTGTGGACTCCGTCACCTCTTCTCTTAATCATGGAGACACAGAGAGACAACAGACGCTCGGTGGCATCTCAGATATTCAAAGAGACACTTCAAGAGGAGAATTTCATCTACTTAAAGCCCCGCCGGTGCGCCGTACACCCTTCTGTCTCCTGCTGCTGCTGCTGCTGCTGCAAGCGGGTCGCTGCATTTCGTTTTAATTGCTGCAGTTTACTCCCTCCGTAGTTTTCCTCAACATCAATAATTTATTTTAATTGTATATATTTTGATTGCACTCAATTTCACTGCATTTATTGGTCTAATTTAGTCGCAATTAATTTTATTTGCATTTATTTTAGTCTTATTGTACTCCCTTCAAATGTATGCAATTTTACTATATTTAATTGTATTTAATATGAATTACTTTCGTGTTATTTTTAAACCTATTATTCCATTGGTGCGTTCGGCTAAAAATATATAAAATATGTATCCATATTTTATACGCATCGAGTATATAATAATAATAATAATAATAATAATAATAATAATATTCCATTTAATGCATTAAATAGAAAATAAAATACATGATGTAGTATAGATTATATATATATAGATATATTTAGTGATAATATATATAAGTAATTATATTGTGTTAGCATGCGACTATTTCTGTACAGTCTTCAACGGATTCATTTATAGATGAAGATGCAATGCGTGGAGATAGAATTGGAGGGGGTTTATCTTCTCGTCGATCATATGCGGGTATTCTTCGTTCTCCTTCTGATGGAGCGAGTGGAGCAGGAGAAGGAGAAGAAAAGAATTTCTCTCACATGAGTAGGGCGAGGTCATTTAAGCTGTCTGTACAGCGTAGAGTAAACAGATTTGGAAGGGGACATTCATTTATTAGCAGAAAGAAACATTTACTACGCTTGCAAGGAGCAGATATTAAAGAAACAGACCCAAGTGAAAGAGATAATTTCTCATACGCTGGAGACGCGCCGATGGAGGTGCCCTCAGTTACACCGGATGATGCAGCGCCTCCTGCTGCAGCATCAACATCTGCTGCTGCTGGTGGTGCTGCTGCTGCTGCTGGTGCTGCTGGTGGACCACGCAGCAGCAACAGCAGCAGCAGCAGCAGCAGCAGCGGTCCCTCTACCCTTGTTCTAGGGTTATGCACACGATATGGAGAAGCTCCATACTCTACAACGAAGATAGTCAGTGTTGTTCCTCGTTATGTTTTTATATCTCGATTACCTTTTCCTCTGGTTGTGAGGGAGGTAAGAAGCCGCAGCAGAGGGTTAGGGAGTACTATGGGAAGCAGACAGAAAGGGAGTCCGTTCGAGTTATCTCTTGCTGCTGGAGAGACAAAGGCATTTCATGGAGTGGAGGGGCGCGTGCTGCTGCTGCTGCTGCACTCTGAGAGAGCCCTTGTCTCCTGTCCCTTCTCTCTTGTCCCTGCACATGTTCCTTCTTTCTTTCAAGTTGAATTAACTCCTAAATATGCTGATCACCAGGTGTATCTACCGGAGCATTGCCCTATTATTCAAGTGTCTATTGTATCGGGTCTATTTGGAGATGTCCCTGCCCTTCCTTATACTTACAACGGTAATTTTATAGTACTTTCTCTCCCTGAAAACCCTCAGTTTGCTATTCTCAATCTTACAAGCTACTTCCTCGCGCATGCACCCGCCGAACGAAGCAGCAGACGTACACAGCAAAACAACAGAGAAGAAGATTCATTCGCCATCAACGTCACCAGCGGACCTCAACATAAACAAGCCACCAAAAAAAATAGAGGAGATACAGATGCCAGCCTCAGAGTAAGCTATATCCTTATTTTTATATATTCTATATATATGAGTATCTGTATTTCTATCTATATATATATATATATTTATATGTATAGGCGCGTAGCTATTTGTCTATATCTGCACATGTATATCTATGTGCGGATTTAGATGTCTATATATATGCACACACTACATATACATACCTATACATATATATATATATATGTCTATATATATATATGTATCGTTTGCTGCGTGTGTATTTGTTTGTTTGTTTTATTTGTTCAGTTGATTCCTCCTTGGGGTTCGGTGCCGTTTATTCCTCCATATCATAAAAACTTAGAAAACGCGAGAGTGCGGCTGCGGGTGTTAGACGTGGAGCACTGCCCTTGGTCTGTATATAGTTTAGCTTCAGTAGATGAAGAGCTGCAAACAATTGAGTTTGTGCCTCACCAGCAGCAGCAACAGCAGCAGCAGCAGCAACAACAGCAGCAACAGCAGCAGCAGCAACAACTGCAGCAGCAACAGCAGCAGCTGCAGCAACTGCAACAAGTCGGGGGAGTTGTTAATAGCCCTCCACTCCAAGCGGGGTCTCCAAGAGCAACGGATGTTAATTCCTTATATAGAAATCAGTTTGCACAGAGGATGCCAACGAAGACAATTGCAAGTGCTGCTTCTGCTGCAGCTGCAGCTTCTGCTGCTGCTGCTGCTGTTGGATCCAGCAGCAATACACTCCTTGCTCCAAACCCTAAATCTGCTGCTGCATCGACAAGGGGCTTCTCGACAGACGGATGCTTTGATGGGGATGAGGAGCAAAGTGCAGCTCAAGACCCAGAGACTCGGTGAGACAAACAAAGCATGAAAAAAAGATAAAGGAAAATATATATAGACAGACAGAAGAAAGGCTGAGAGAAAGGAGATAACGCAGAGACAGACAATGCTGTAAAGACAGCAGAGCCACTCGAATAAACCTTTAACGAAGAGAACCAATTAGAAGACGTACTTATGTTTTTGCTCTTGCTGCACATGCTGCTGCTGCTGCTATTGCTTCTCGGGAGAGGCCCGGGTGCCTTCTATGAGGGGCGTAGCTGTGACGAGGGTTCAGGGGTTTAGAAGGGGTTTGGGGTTTGCGGTGTACGTACAGCATGGATTGGTTTTTCTTTGTTTTTGTTTGTATGCATGCAGGAGCGTACGCCTTCAGACTCCAAGAGCAGGTTTGTCTCTTTCTAGTGTACCTCGAGAGAGAGCAGCAGCAACTTTATATCTGTTCTCTCTTGTTGCTGCTAATGGAAGCCGCATATTATTTATAACAGAGTCTCCTCAAGTAGCAGAGAAGCTACGAGCTGGGGGCTCTGCATTCGATATGGTAAGGGAGGAGTTTGTGAGGAAGGCAGGGAAGCAAGAAGGCGGAGCAGCAACTGCTGCAGCTGCTGCAGCAGCTGCTGCTGCTGCCGTGGCAGCAGGAGGCTCGGGGCTGTACGACTCAGGAGGAGGTCCAGCGGCAGCAGTAGCAGCAGCAGCAGCAGACAACGCAGCCTACAACTGGGGGAGGGCGCAGCCTGCGGGAGGGTTCTTTGCTGCTGCTTGTACACCCGAACCGGGGTCGAGTAGGGACGCTAGTGCACTTGTGCAGCAGCAGAAGCGTGGTTCGCTGCTGCAGCGGAAGCAGCCGCAGCAGCAGCAGCAGCAGCAGCAGCAACAACAACAACAGCAGCGGCCGCCTCCTTGGCTCGGTCTTTCGTTTGAATTTCGATTGCCCCGACTGACAGTCACGTGGATACACCAAAGTGAAGTGGTGAGTAGTGAAGATATCTAGCAAAGACATCTTCTGTCTCTTTCTTATGTCTGCCTTTTCCTTGTGTGTCTCCTTTCTGTCTCTTTCTTTTCTGTGTCTCTTTCCCTTTTATATCTCTTTTTCCTTATTTTGTTGTTGGTAGTGTATATACACCCTATAAGTGGTTTGTTTTTCTGTCTTTGTTTATAGGTGTTGGCTCTGCACCTAACGGGTCTTTCTCTGGCTGTGTCAGTAAATCCACGACAACTAGATTTCTTCTTAGATTCTATTCCTTCTGAGCGTTATATGAAGCAAAAGGATAGGGCTCCTTTAAGTCTATTAGGGGGCACCTCCTCTGCTTCATTAGTTGGGGGTAATTCTGGGGCCCTCGCTCTACCCGCTGCTTCGGGCTCAGCAGCAGCAGCAGCAGCAGCAGAAGAGGGTCAATGGCAGCGCGGGGGCAGCAGCAGCGGCGGCACTTTCAGCAGCAGAGGGTCCTTAGATCCATCGAGCAGCGGCAGCAGCAGCCGTGGGGCATCCCCTGTAGGGGGGGCCCCCCAAGGTGCATCTTCCCCAGTGGGGGCCCTAATGGGGGGCCCCTCCGATACCCCTATAGGGTCATCTGGGGCCCCTATAGCTACCGGTCCCCCTATTGGGGGCCCCTTACATAGGGGGGCCCCCCATATTGGGGGCCCTCTAGAAGAGGGGCCCCCTGGAATAAATGAAGAAGATCTTCTGGCTACAGAAGACTATGGATTGCTTGTGATGACGCGAAGTGTTGTTCGTATATCTGGGTGTATATCCATGTTGCATGTAGACCATTTCGTAAGAGGAGATATCCCTGTGATATTAAAGAATACAGCTTCTAAGTATGGAAGAGAGAGCGAAGAATTTCTTGAAGTCGAGGTTGTTAGAGCCCTTGTAGACCCTCGTCAAGCCCCCACTTATGAATTACTGCAAGTTCGTCTTAGCCCTTTCAGTGCTAATATTGAACTTCTTGTCATTGAACAACTCATTTCAATTTATGAAAAGGAAATTGAAATGCTCCATAAGTTCGCCGTCGCTGCGCCCCAGGTAAATATATTCATATATATATATATATGTATGTATTTAGTATTCTGTTAATATATTTAGAAGGTATAGAAGCTATTAATATTATTCTATTAATAACTCTTTCTTTTCTTTTATTATTTCTATTCGTATGTTCTTCTTCTCTCTTCCTCGTTCTACTTTATTTTTGTTATTTCTTGCTACTTCTTCTTATCCCTCTATGTCTCTTACCTTTTTCTTTTTATTTCTCTCTACTTCAATCTCTTATTTTTATTATTATTTGTGTGCGGTCTATCCGGCCCTTCCCGCTACCTGTGGCTGCTGTGCTTTGCGTTTCTTCTTCTCTCTCTCTCTTTCTAACCCTCTCTTTGTTTGTTTGTTTGTTTGCTTGTTTGTTTGTTTCTCTCCTTCTTCATCTCTGCGTTTCTTTATTGTCTGTCTTTGTCTGCATTTGTTTACGTCTGTATCCATGAATTGCATGTTGATATTTCTTCTGTTGCTGACCCGTTGGGGTGTATATAGAGTTGGAGTGTATATGGAGTTGGGGTGTATGTGTATTCAGAAACCCCCAGCGCTACAGACGGCCTTGAAGTGCAGCGTAGCAGCGGAGGCTCTACGTCAGTTGGCTGTATTACAATATGCAGAGCAGAGCAGAGAAGAGCGAATGGTGTTATCAGAGACAGCTGGTGCTGGTGTACCTGGTCCAGGTATATGTGGGGGTGTAGGGGGCCCCCGGGGGGCCCCTATATCGGATTCGTGTGTGGGCGTTGATGGTAGCTGCGGATGTGGCGGTGCAGCAGCAGCAGCAGCTGCTGCTGCTGCTGCTCTACTTGTACACCCTCTAGCTATGGATATCACACACTCCACTGTACACAGCCTTTCGAAGACGCATGCATCAGTCGATCAGCTGCGACATACAACAAGTTCAGGATGCGGGGCTTCAGTGGGTGCAAGCAGCTGCAGCGGTGGCGGTGGGGGTGCTAGAGAAGGGCTTGACGGGAACATATCTTGTTATTCAAATCAATGGATTGAAGGTTTGCTGCTGAGGAGCCCCATGCAGCTGCAGTATTATGCTGCACCTCGGGTGTATATAAATCGGCCTTCTTCTCATGTATTGGTATTTCCAAATCCACGTTGGGTAGAGCTTCATCGAGCAAATCCTGTATATATAAAGAATTTAATTATAAGCAGTTTATCTTTAACTGTATCTATACGTACATCAGAACACCGTATATCAAGACAAGTATTGCATATTGTTGATGCTTTACCCCTGGATACACCCTATATGACAATACAAATAGCTAGAGAGAAGAGGAAGCTGACAGTTTGTTCTTGGCAGGAGCTTCTTCATTCTTTAAGAAATTCATATCTAAGACAATTTATTCGGCAGTCTCTTCCTTCAGCTTGGATTAGTAATCCTTGTGCATTTGTTGTTGGGTTTGTAAGAGGAGCAAGTGCTCTATGGAGGCAAACTCTAAAAGGAGTGAAGACAAATAACAACAGTTTCGAGGGTCTTATGATGGGCTTTAGAGTTGGGTTTATTCTCTTTATTATATATACAATGGGGGGTATTATGCAATCTCTCTCACATGTTCTAAACATACTTCATAAAATTATGAGAGGATCAAGGCCAAGACCTTATGGGGTCTTAGACGCCTTTTGGAAGGGCCTCAACGGCTTCCTTTTAGATACCTTCTGGAGGCCTTGGGTGGCTGTTGTTACGGAACCCGCTGCAAGCGCAACAAGGTATGATTTCTTATATATATATTATATATTATATATATATCTATATATCTATTCATGCATATATCTTAATAATTATATACATATATATAATTTTTAAGATATATGCATGAATAGATAGATAAGTAGCTAGCTAAACAGATATACAGCTAGCTAGACAGATAAACAGATAAATAAAAAACTAAATGAATAAAATAAAATAAATAAAAAAATAAATAAACGGATAGATAGATATATACCCATCTAAATACAGAGTACAGACGAACAAGCTAGCTAGCTAGCTGGCTAGCTGACTAGCTAGCTAGCGAGCTCCTCAGATGAACAGGCAGAGACAGTTAGCAAGGTGATGTGGGTAGAAATGAATTTTTGTCTAGTGTTTATTTTTCGTTGTTGCTGCAAGTGTTTGATTTTGTTGCTGTTGCGTCTGCGTTTGCTGCTGCTCCTGCTCTCTGCTGCTGCTGCTGCATTTGCTACTGTTTGTTTGTTTGTTTGTTTGCGTGTTGCTGCTTCAGGGGAGACAGCTGGTGGAAGACGAGTGCAATACTGTTGGCCTGCTTATTGCGTTGTTTGGTGTCTCCTTTATTTGGTCTTTCGAATTTTCTTGCTTCTGTTGCTGAGGGTTTTGCAAATACTTTGATGGGAGATTTCGAGCAATTTACAAGAGTGCAGGAAAGAGCAGACTTAGATAAAAAACATAAACATCATTTATCACCTTCAGTTGCAGGAGGGGGCTCTATGGATGTTACGGGGACACCAGCAGCAGCTGCAGCAGCAGGGCTTCGAGCTGCTGCTGCTGCAGCAAGAAGAAATACTAAAAGAGATGAACATGCAACACTAGCAGCAAGATTTAGACGCAATAGAAAGCAAAACATTAACCCCACCCGTATCCCAGGAAGAAGAAGGATACAGCCAGAAGCAGCAAAAGTTGCAGCAGCAGCAGCAGCAGCAGCAGCAGCAGGGAATGAAGGAGCAGCAACTAAAACAAGAGCAGGAAACAGCTTCGCTGGAGCATTCAGAAGGCCTTCCTCTAAGCAAGTTACGTTTGCTGTCTAATACAAGGAGGCTCAAGAATAACAATAAAGAAGACGAAAAATAAAGAGATAGACAATTCAATTGACGAGGGAGATACAGACAGATTGAACATAGACAGAAAATAAAATAAACAAACACAAGACCCAGGGAGGCAGCACAAGCTGCAGCACAGGATGAAGCAGCAGCAGCTGCAGCAGTAGCAGTTGCGGCAGCAGTAGTTGCAGCAGCAACAATTGCAGCAGCAGCAGCAGCAGCAGCAGCACCAGCTGAAGCAGGAGCAAACCACAAGACCTGCTGCTGCACAGCCAGCGGGCTCCTCTACAGACATTCAGCATACGTCTATATCTATATCTATATATCTATATCTATATGTATATATATATATATATATACATATAACATAAACATGCGTGCATGCATGCAGTTATGTTATAGTTCGTTATACAGTACAGCTGATGGGGTGTATGCATGCAAATGTTTACAAAGAATAAAGAAATTCTTTTTTTGAGTTTATTCTGCGATTCTCTTTTGTTCATCTACACCACATTTTCTTTAGGGGATTTTAGTTATTATAATTATTATTATTATCTAATTAGTACTTGTTATCAGTATATTATTATTATTATTATTATTATTATTA